TGCGTTGTCGAGGTAATGTATATATCTGTCATTTAACCCATTGATTTTATATGTCGTGTTGTTTGCCTTGTGTCCTGGGACCAATTGTGACACCGAAGCAATTGTCTGTTGAGCTGACAGTTGTAGTGGAGTAATTTATCATATTGGTTTTTTGGTTGAAAGTTGCCATCGGACATTGGGGTTCGTCTGTTGTGAATGCGTTGAAAACCACAAATGATCTGTCTGTGATCTTCTATTGAAATCACTGGTAAGTGCTTTCTAATCTTAAGAATAATTGGGTCCTAAGAATATAAAGGTGTTTTGTCATGTTAGATAAAGCAAGGCTGCCATGATAAAATAGGCAATGCATCTAGTTGTGTAACAGACACATCTACCGAATGTCGGTTCGTGAAGGTGAAAATGTTTTTTACAGCCAGTGTTAACAGCGATCAATAACGTGCATAGAAAATTAATGGCGCAGTTGCGGAAGGTACTAAAATCATATTATAGGGGAACCTACTGTTTGTAATTATGTATTATCAAAAGTTTTTCGGCGTTTCTCTCTGGGAACAGGTCACCGTTTTTCAAATAATGCAAATAATGTGATTCCCAGACGGGGCGGAGATCCCGCCCTAACCCCTCGTTGCCATGATGATTTTAAAAATGGTGTAGAATTAGGCACCGACTGGATCCTGGATCTTTTTTTCTGTTGCTGAAAGAGTTGGAGCACTACATCCGCTTTATTTTACGCCTTGTTAATACTGACTATATCTGTAACAATTAACAAACCAGGGGATTTCTTGTTTTCAGTCTGTCGTAATACAAATCTAGAATACATTAATTGGATCTTCGCAAATTTCATTATGGTTAAGAGATCTGAACTCGTAATCAATTATAATGAAACTGTCCCAAATGTCATATAGAACCAAAATGGAATTCCATCCTATATAAAAGCATGCACATATACCCACATCCATGCGTTTTCCGTGTGTATTGAGCTTCTTACAAGAGTGGGTTTAATGTCGACTGTGGTTCACAGTACTTGCTGTCTCCTTCGAGAGACGCGCTCACTTCGCCCTTTAATGAAACTAGATAATGAAATTTACTTTCCATTTTGAACTGCTTCATAAATCTTAATTGGAAGAAAATCTAATAGAGCATAGGCCAGTGGGTATTGGATATGGCACCACACTGTTTGAGTAATAGCCCTATAGGTCGCAAAACGCTGCAGATCGACAGTCCGACTGACGCCAGTTCAAAGATCACGGGAGATTCACTTCAGAACTGATTTTTTTTTCTGGAAGATGGATCGGTATTTCATTTTTTTAGTCAATGTCTTGATAAAGGCTGTGAAAAAAAGCTATTTTCTCTTCTTTTCAATCTCATAACTGGCATACACTGATAGATTGGAGAAATTTTCAGATAAAGGAATCACAAGATTCCCAATTATGGATGTGGAATCTTATATCTTACTTCAAAGAAAGAAGTTTCACAATTATCTTGCCTAACATTGTTCCATGTTACAAATTGGAATAGAAAAAAGTTACATATATTCTATAGCTTACTTTGAAATACATACATGAGGAAGTATGCAATACATATCCTTTGTCTTTTTATTGCATAATCTCAACAAATACTGGCACGTTTGGTCATGTCCTTTGTAACATGTGCTTATAAATATTAAATAAACATTATAAACATATAATTATTATCACAATTCTACTGTACATAAACCCCAATTTTAATAAACACAAAAACTGCTTTTAGAAACAAGACAAATTCTTCTACATATCATGTAAATTTACTGTCATGCTACATCCTTGGAGCCATTCATCATCATCATTTAAGGTTATTTCAAGCCTCGCGGTTAAACGTAGGCTATATGCGTTAATAATCCGGGATAGGCCTATTTGGACTTACTATCCTACCGGCTGGTGATTTTTCATCTTTTTTAGACTCCATTGTTACTACAAATTATGTTGTATATTGTTTTTGTTTCATAGTGGTTTAATTAGGCACTACAGAGATCTTTATCCGAAATCAATTCGGCTGCGCACGCTGCAGGCGTTTGATCAATGACTGGCTCCGCGCCATGCTCTGAGGAGACGGGACTGCTGTGGTATCGATGTTGCACTCAAGCCACTACACAGAATCTTGATTTCATTACGAACAGAGCCATGCTTCGTTATACAACATTATTGGCTTAGGCGCTATTCAACTACTAATTTAACTCAGCGCGTATCGAGCAGATTTGTTTGGGACACTGCTTTTGAGTCATTGCTTGATAAAACAGCGTTAACGTATTTTATTCATGTGTAGATTTACAGGATCATATTGATGGTTTTACAAATTGGCAAAGACTTAAGAAGACAAATTGCCTGATCGGATTTTAAAGACGATAATAACATTACCAGCATCATTCTGGCAAAGTTGATTTTATTCTTTTATTAAGGTTTTTTTTTTTCTTATTACTCTTTAAATTTGAAATTTTCAACAAGAAAACATATCGCAACATACGGTTTGTAAGTCAATGTGCGGCAATATGATTTTTTCATGGACATGATACTAAAGGGCGTCGACCACCGCTTCTGTCTCCTCAGGCAACGGGGACGGAGAACGGAATCGGCGAAAGGTTCTATATCGATCTAAGATTGAAAATAGGACGTTGAGGAGTTTTCAACGGTCTTAATGGCCTGTTTGTTCCAAGTAAGCTGATTGTTCAGATTGGACTATAAGGGGGTTTTCGAGAGAAGAGTTAAGCGCACGAGAACAGGGTAAGATGCATGTGACAATGATGCGGTATGCTTGGTGTAGTGTTATCTATTCTGCATCAATGATGAAGACATATGAATGTCGTGCTATTTCCATGATTTCTAGTTAAACGTTTTTCTTTCAATGTCAATTAAAGGGGAAATACTTGCATTTATATTTTTAAATATATATATATGTAGTTTTTTTACAATCTTGTTTAATACAATTCTAAATTCTCATATCTTAAAAGTAGGGGTTTCTACGTTAAGAAGGAGTCAACGTTCCATGACAATAAAGATGTATAGAGTCAGTGGCTACTAAAGAAGCCAGTTAAACACTAGGAATAATATTGTCCTTCGTTATTAATCGATTAGGTAAATGTCGCAGTGGTTCTGTTTGAATACATCTTGATGATCAATGAGACTGGAGAGCGGACTGTTGTCGGAGGTTATTGCCCACTAGTCATGTGGAGGAGCATACAACCTTGAAATAACAAATGTCATTGCGGACTCTCTCTCTCTCTCTCTCACACACACACACACACACACACACAGACAGACACAGACACACACACTCAGACACACACACACTTAACTTAACTAGACGCACCTACAAGAATGCATGCACACACCCGAAAGCATATTCGAACGCACTTTAACACAAATGCACACACGACTAAATCTATCTATCTATCTATCTATCTATCTATCTATACGCATTATATACCACCTAGTTATCCATTGCAAATGAAATTTATAACCATATGGATAGCGGCATATCGGTAGCTTGTCGTTGTATTGTGTCCAATAGCTACTGTGACCTTCAACTCTTTAGTATGGGTTTTTGCTAAATTCGTCTTAAGCTGTCCGTTTTCTCCTAGTTATGTACAGTATAGCTTATTCACATCTTCCTTTTGGTGTTCCTTTGTCGCATATACTATTTCCAAAGATTTCCCTAAAAAAAATCGGCTTTGTCCTTATTTACCATCAATATAGATATTGGTGTATAAAATAATAAATAGATTATGCATCCCCTTCCCCCCCCCCAAAAAAAAAAGTTGCAAGATGACTTTCTAGATCAATAGACAGAGACTATGTGGCTGTATTGTGTCTGTGTGCGTGTACGTGTGCGTGCGTGTGCGTGCGTGTAAACTTTTCATTTTTCACACATTGACATTTTCAAGGTGTGGCCTTGAAGTTCCATAGTCCCCTGAGCTAGTTTATTATAAGGATGCAAGTGCCATTTCTAATGGACAGGATGGTCTTGTAACGAAATTACATCTTGTGATGGTCATACCGCGTGAGTAGGAGCAATGTTATATTACGATATTCTTACATTGTTTCTTTATCCATTTCAAAAAATTCACCCGTCTAACTTAGCACTTGTCAAGTGCATAAAATAGTCCAGTCCAGGATCAGTAGTAACGGTGTGTGAAGCCCGTTCATGTCGATAGTTTAAGCCTCTATCAAAACTCTGAGAACATAAGATCATAATTGATCCGCATAATGCCTTGACACTTCAAAAGCTGCTGAGTTATCTACTTGAAGCAAACGCTACACTGGCATCTCATTGAACTATCCTCTAAGCGCGGCTAACCTTTGTTAAAGTCAATGTTGAGTTGCAGTATTACAGTCCCAATCGAAAAGGCACTTTCCAACACTGAAATTGATATTTACATATTATCTTATTGCCTTTATTACAACCCAATATGCTTGGGACCTTAAAAGTACAAGTGCTACTAGTATACCAATAACTGCCTGCATGTATGTCAGTGCCCACTAGCATATGACATATAAATAACCAGTAAAAACTGCTTTGCTGTTGTATAGCAACGGATTATCCCTGGGGATACACGGGGAAGTGTAGATAACAGATTCGACCATAGCATGTATGTGGTGTTAATGAGCCGGCTGTCAGGGATTGGACCCAGGGGATTAAACCCCCAACCGAGGGGGGGGGGGGCGATCTTGAAATGCCGGAAACGGGACGTAGACATATCAATAATTTACAACCGTTATATGTACTAATGCAGCGCAGTGGCACTTTCCACGAACACAGTAAGTTTTATCGACAGATTTGAAGTGATCTGAAGTGGAGCTTTGAAAACGCCATTCTTAGCACTGCTGAATGATGCCTTGTCTGAAGTGAATTTACTTTTAATTTGCCATTGTTGTCTTTAAAGCGACGACTGTTGCAGAGAGGCGTCCCAGTATCATACGCTATTTGCCAGTTATACAATGTAATTTAATTGATCCCTTGTACCTTTGCAGGCGAAAAACAAGTTCATCATGCTGAAGGTTCTGAAGCAGTTTCGGGGCAAGGACACTGCAAGACAAAATTCAGAGGAATCCGACAAAACGCGTCGCCAGAGTAAATTGTCATCTGAAACCAAGAGTCCAAGCACGGATGATGACCTCGAAGATTCGGAATATAACCCAATGTATAAATTACGAGATGCCAGACAACGAAGCACACGGAAATGTATCATATTGCATTATTCGCCGTTCAAAGCCGTTTGGGACTGGATCATTTTGCTGTTGGTATTGTACACCGCTGTCTTTACGCCGTTTACGGTAGCGTTTCTCTTAAACGAGGACGAAAGAAAGATGCAACAGAACCATGCTCCTAAAACACGAGAGAGAAACGCAGGAAAATCTCAAGCTGAACCTTTGGTTATCATCGACCTCTTGGTTGACATAATGTTCATCGCCGACATTCTAATAAATTTTAGAACCACTCACGTCCACAATGGAGAAGTGGTCTCCGACCCACAGAAAATAGCTAAAAACTATCTTAAAGGCTGGTTTATCATTGATGCCGTGGCCGCCATTCCATTTGACTTGCTTCTGTTTGGCTCAGGCACTAGTGATGTAAGTGTTACATATTTGAATGCATGTGTCATGTTTGCGTAATTGCACGCGCTTGCATGAAACATTTAATTAAATTTGTCTTTGCTTTAAGCATTTAACAATAGCTGGAAAATCAGGTAAGGTATTGCCTCCAAAATACTCATAAGACGGAACTTTGTCAGGCAATTATACGATTTGCTTCAAACGTATTGATTCCATTAACAATTTATCCATCTGCCATATTACAAGTCCATTTCAAAGTTATTTTAAAATATCTCAAGTCAGTGGAGAGTTGTGAAAATACCTTTTTTAAAGAAAACCAAAAAGATAAAAAATTTATATATAAAGGCATCAAATTTCATGCTTAGACAAAACATTTTCGAGGAAAAATCATGAGACAGTAACCTATCTATTGTGCAGCACGATAGAGGTGTAACCGAGAGAGGGTTGCAAACGAAACGTGAATTGTTTTGTTTCCTCTGTAAGTTTTACGGGCAGCCGTGACTGATTCAATAGGTTCTTGATATAGCAACTGCAGTATATTTGGGTTTATCTCTTATAGCGCTAAATTCATACTTCTCCAACATCAAGACGCACTGTTCTATTTCACCAGCCAAGTTTACCGTTTGGTAGGTTGATGGAGCTAACAAATGCAATCCTCCAATTCTAGTCCCAACGCAGCTATTTCCAACCGCTGGCCAATTATTTGGAACGCTGAAGTAAAATTGCTGCATGCCCAATCCATACTTACACTATTACGCGTTCGTACATAAGTACTCCCTGTAGACTGAGAGCAACGTTGAGCGACATTGAAGGTGCCTCATCTGGTTCGGAAATTATACCAAACAATGTTTTATGATTTACTAAATTAAGCCAGCAAGATGGGTTACCAAATTTAAAGAACACAATGGCTTCTTCTAGACCCATCAAGAACAGAAAAATGCCAATTGTAATTTTCAATCCCTTTATATCTCAAGTGTGATTGAAAAATATCTCAAATTTGTCTTTGAAAATAAAAGGGCAAATATTGTTAATTGAAATATTGTTTAATATTGCAATTCTACTCCAAGAGAAAGGTAAAACACGCGAATACGAAAATGCCATGTATAGCATGTCTGTGTTGTAATATCATCGCAACTTCAGCGAAATAGAATAGAGTAAGCCTAAAAAAATAGACTGGTATTCGCACGCTTTCAGATGGTCACCTGCACTTTGGCAAATATCCCAGGATGTAGTGGTTTGATTGTTTAACTTGCTGAAAACACGGACACTCGAGGGACAATGTGCATTATTCAAAAACAATCAGCAGTTAGATATTAATATCACGTTTCCTCTTGAGACCGATAAAACACTTGGAGTCAATACGAAACCCTTTTACTTAAACAGATACTGGAATGGGATAGAATTGAACATTCAATATTTACTTGGTTATAGAAATACAATTGCCTCTCTTTTTAGTCAGTGCCAATATGACGTTTATCAAAAGAGACGTTTTTTCTCCCGTGGTTTGCTCAAGTTGACACACTAAAATATTCTTCTTCCCAGCAAAGCAAACTTGAGCTAAAAAAATATTCATTACACCTCAAGCTTTTTGTGTTACATCTGTTGAATTGTATGTATATTGTCATATGGAAGATAATCTCGTCTAGAATCACTTTGGAAAGAGGTAATTGTTGCCCATAAGCCGCTTATAACTCAAACATTGAATTTGACGCATCGATTTGCTCAGCTAAATGGCCAGACATTAATCGAGCTGGATATGAAGAAGCACATGCTGCTGACGCTGATAAGGCGACAAATTTCCCTGACTTCTAACGAGCAGGCCCTCCAAAGTTTCGGCACTTTTACTGAAATTATATAACAGAAAATTGGCGTTGGTGAAAGCGATTGCACAGTAATCACATTGAAAGAGACGTGTTATGTAAAAGTGTTAGTTCCACCCAGCAGTTAATCACCATATAAGGCAAGAACACCCAAGTATAGGTTTTTACGTTACAAAATGGCGTTGTATTTGAATTATGAGGCAAGAACGTCCTAGCATAGTTTTTTTTTTTTTTTTTTTACGTTTTTTGAACTATGAAAGTTTGTAATCACAACGTTGATCAAAAATGGAAAAAAACGTATGCTGTATTTTATTCGAAAACATCAGTTTTCTACGAAATTTATATATTTATTAAGACAAACTGTCGTATATTATTCAGCATGCTATGTCAAGTGACGATTTGAGCCATCGCAGTGCAGTGAGTATAAGCTGAGAGTGCGTTTTATTTCCCGTCAAAGTTTCATTTTCAGATATACACTGACTAAGCCCTTAAGCAATATATTTGAGTCGTAGCACAAATCGACACACATGAAACCATTAATAGCACTTTTCTTTATGTGATCATCATATTAGACACATAAGTAAAAAAGTTACGTAGTTGGACCAACACAAGACAGCACATAAAGGTTCGCGCAAGTAAATAAAAATGGAGTATAAAATGGACCATAAACAAGCACTGCCCGATAATTTTTATGTATATGAGTTGATTCCTTGTCCACTGCTTGAAAACATCGCAATGTTTGACAGCACAGCTTGAAATACGCCTTTATGTAGGACCTTTGTGAATTATAATGGCTGCAGAAATACCTTCAAAATGACGTCAAAGTACATGTAGTATACTTGTATATCGGTTAAACGGCTTAGTAATTTTTTAAACTTTACTTTTTGTTTAAAATACATTATCGTATATTCATCTCCTCATAAATTTGAAATAATTCTTTTTTTTCTTGGAAAGAATTGTTTATATTTTTCAGGAGACCTTGGAATTTCTTTTCCGTACGGTTTTAATCATGCTAAACGTCTAATTTCAGACCATGACCATCACTGGCGTTCTAAAAACCGCGAGACTGCTGAGATTACTCCGCGTTGCCAGACGTATGGACCAGTATTCAGAGTACGGTGCTGCTGTGTTGCTTTTGATGATGGCACTGTTCACGCTCATTGCCCACTGGCTGGCTTGTATATTTTATGGCATTGGATATGTCGAAAGACCCACATTAAATGAACCTATATCATGGCTAGATACACTAGCCGATAAAATGCAGACGCCATATCTAAAAAATGATACAACTAGTGGCCCAGATATCACATCTCGATACATTACTGCACTATATTTTACCCTTACAACGCTCACGAGTATTGGATTTGGAAATGTAGCGCCAAATACGAACGCCGAGAAAATATTTGCTATATTTGCCATGATGGTTGGATGTAAGTATATGTGTTATTGTTAAGAGCAAGTAAATTGTCATTTTTTGGGGTAACACGATGCTTTCTTCCAATAATACAAAAAGCTTAAATGTTTTCTTTTTTATTTCTTTTGTTTTGTTTTGTTTTTAGAGGTGTATGTGCCAAGCAACATACTATTGCAAAGTCATAAGAATTAGATATTCAACTTCTTTTCTTTCACGGATTGTCATTTTTTGGTTGGTTTCAAACTACCTACAGCATTGCCATCAAACCATTGTATAAGGTGAATAGACGGACGTTTTTCCAAGAAATGCCGCTCTTTAGCTTAATGCGTTGAATTCTAGTTGACTCGAAATGATATACCACCTTGGGCGATTTCCGTTTAGTTTATTGAAGAACTAAATAGAACCTTTTGTATCGTCAAAGAATATTGCATGTTATCATGCTCAAATGTTCCCGCAATAATGAAATACTAATGAATTCATCAATTCTTCATCATAGCTCTCATGAGCGCTGCCATCTTTGGAAACGTTTCTTCCATCATGCTGCGACTTTATCAAGGAACAGAAGAATTCCATGAGCGTTCCGAGAGCATAAAAGAGTTTATCAAATTCCACAACATCCCTAAACAGTTGGCAAACAGGCTTCAGGAATCGTTCCAGCATTCGTGGACGTACACCAATGGAATTGACATGCAAAGCGTAGGTTTATCATCTCCATGCAGTCTTCATTATAACAGAACAGGAACGTATTTTACTGCGTGTTAGTGGGGACGCTAATAACATCGCAATTTGACAAAGGAGATGTCCTTCCTTTCTTGTCGTGTTGTTTCAATCCTCAGAGTATTCTTTCTAAGTATAACAACAGAATAACATTTAAACAGAAAGTTTTTGGAATGGCTGTTTTATCAGCGACATGTTTTTCCTCGTGAAATATTGACCTTTTAATTGCAAAATATGCCTCATTTTCGGCTTGTTCAACGCTGTAGAGAAACGTAACATTTTTCATTGTGAGAAACAAATATATTTTTCCATAGATCAGTTAATATGTATTTACCTGATGTATGACATAATGATATATCCTTATGTTATAGGTATTGAAAGGTTTCCCAGACTGTCTGCAGGCAGACATATGTCTTCATCTAAACCGGAATCTCTTGAATAGTTCCGCAGCATTTCGAGGCGCTAGCCCTGGTAAAACTTTGTTTGCGTATTGGCCAACCATGCAGACCCATCGATGCAGATAATTTTACTGCATCGATGTCGATGAAATCACATAAAACCATCTGCCGCTTTGGATATACTGTACATATATTTAATGCACCCGATATTGCTTTAATTGGTCAGCCTTTGGGTCTCCAACTCTATTGTTTAAAAGTAAAACTGTTTAATTAATTTAAATTTTATTCCAAAATTTATTTGAATTTGATCAATACAGTAACAGTCTTTCTAGAACCATAAAATACGTGGAAAACATATTATCACTTCAGAGCAAGAACTGAAATGAGTCTCAAAATTGAAAAGTACATGCACTGGCTTGTTGCCATTGGTGCATAATATGAGATAGGAACTAAAAGAAAATTCCTGTGAATTTTGCATTTAATTACAGGTTGTCTTCGAGCATTGTCGCTTAAATTTCGCACTACGCATGCGCCTCCTGGAGACACGTTGATTCACCCAGGGGACATATTGACCTCCATCTACTTCATAGCAAGAGGATCCATTGAGGTCCTGAAAGATGACATAGTAATGGCAATTTTGGGTAAATATAGCCTTTTTCGATCGTATAAGTATTTGGCACATTTGGTTCAAATGAGCGTGAAAGTTATCAAGTCTGTTATAGTAGGCCTAAAAGTATTTTTCAGACAAGTGAAAGATTCCGATTATTAATTTGATTTTTTGGGTGTGTCACTAAATACCGAAATACAGCGAAGTACACGAAATACAACGAAATACCACATTAAGATTATTTTAAACGTCAAAACAATTGATTCTGCACCCCAAATTACGTTTGTCTTGAACTCAACATAATATTTATTTGTAACGGAGAAATATGTTCACAGATTCTGAGTTAGGAAAGAAGTGGGCGTTCACACTGTCCGCCTACTTCCGTCGCAGCTGCCAAAAAAAGAGAAAAAATCACTGTACTGACTCGATCGGCAGACAAACATCATGTTGCCTTGAAGACAAATGTAATTTTGGGTGCAGAATAAAGTTTCTTAAGTTTAAAGTAATCTTAAGATGGCATTTCAAGGCATTTCGTGGTATTTGGTTTTTGGATTTTTCGCATTTTTGCGTATTTTGTGTCTATATATAGGAATGGGATCCTGGCCGGCTTGGAATTGGGCACTGGCCGGCTACACAGTGGCACGTATAAGCACGAGTCAGTGAGGGAATTTCAGCCAGTCAGGAAGCTGTCTGAGCAATTGCACTATAATCAGCGGCCTTTCATCTGGCTTAGAAAAAAACAATAGAGTAGACTCTTTCATGCCTTTCAATATCAGAGAACCACAATAGAATGAGCTCTCTACGAGCTTCGCACTCAAATATATATGAGCCCAAATACAAATGGCATGGTGGAATTGGCAAATGTAATAGAGCTTAATTGCATATACTTTCCATAGTCTAATGGAACCGTTTGTCTTTTATCCTCTGTTAGTGAATACATTCGCTCTGACCAAGTTAGCATGTTCTATGAAGAAATACAGAAGTATAGCAGCACTTAATACATCATTTATGGCTTTTGGCTAAAATCGATCAATTGCTTTCTGTTTTCGTGTTTGCTTTTCTAAATCACACTAACAGAATAATGAAAGCATACTGATGCCATTAACAGAAAGTGAATTAAAACGTTATTTGGGAATGGCCGTCTCCTGTGCCTTGTTATTTTTTGTCTGCCTTGACTTTTTTAAATCAAATGTGAAAGTGAATTACTGAAATGTATTTGTTTTACATGTTATTACTATCGGGACCTCTTTCAGTTGCGTTGACAGCTTTTGGATTGCAGATAACAGGCCGGTGCTGGCTTAATCATACATCGGCATGCATTAAGGGGATCATTCCCAGACCCTATCCCACTAACTGTGGGTCGATCTATCTCCAAGGGGATTTTGCTAAACTGCAATCAACTTAAGCGGCTTAGATGTCTGTCACGCTTACTGAAGCTGATAGGGCGTGCCAGACATCTAGACCGCTTTAGCTGAAAGCGATTTAGCTAGAAACCCCTTGGAGCGGGATTGATCCTGTTAGATCGATCTAGGTATGGAAACTCAGTCTAGCATTATGATCTCTCTCGTTTATTAAAACTGGCTATGCACCTTTTTTGTGTGACTAAGAGCATATGGTTTCCTTGACAGATTCTATATTTATGCTAATTATTACAGGAAAAGACGACATTTTCGGCGAAGACGCCAGTAACTTTTCCACCTTGGGCAAGTCCAACTATTGCGTCAGGGCTCTGTCCTACTGCGACCTCAATAAGATTGATATCGATGAGCTGCAAGGAATCCTCAATACCTACCCAGAATTTACCAAAAAGTTTGTTAAAAACTTCCATGTCACATTTAATCTGAGAGACGTAAGTAGATTTTTTAAATTATCTTATTTTGATAGAACACTTGTTTCCACTTCATATATAATTGTGTTTGTCCGTAAGATGTTTAATGGAGCATCTTGTCACATTTACGCTGGAGCATGAATTTAAAAAGTCGGTATATTTACAAACATTGTCAATTGGTGCTTTGTGACACGGTTCTGACTAGAAATTGGAATCTTCTAAAACAAAGAACATCCAAATATTTACAGGACTATTGCTATGCTACCATAACTAAAACGTAAATTATACCTTTCCGTGTTGTACGTCATTGCTTTGCACAATACGTGTCACATCCGTTTTCTCTAACACAATCAGCTCTCATTTAGTGCGCCTTTTGCGCCATTCTGCACAGAATCCAATTCGTCTTTACCATATTCTTTGATTCTAAAACAATCGACGTGAATATTTTTGTCTTTAAGTGTTCGCGTATCTCACACCCACTTGTTCTGTTACCCATCTCCACTCATCATTTAATTCCCTGCTGTCATCTCCTCTTTGCATTGAATGTCTCAGCTTCTGCATAATTGCACCTACTTGACACCGATGTGTTCATCAAAATGCGTCAGTTTACCAAATACCTCCTCAATTGCACCATGTCATATTTATTTGTACTTTATGATAATATGATAAAGCTTTCTAAATGTACATGTGCCACCAAAGCTTGCAGTTCCTTGCATGTCATTATTTGTTGTGTAGTATGCCAAGAGCTGTCGATGTAGGCGTGTTCCTTTTTGTTCTTTGAAATGATTATTCAAAATGTCAGACAAACTATGTATTTCATATCTAATGAGGACTTTCCACCGTTTATCGTTACGCATCCAGCCGAGTGCCACGGTAAGCGGAATAGTATGATGGACATTTTTGGTCTGTTTTAAAATGGCGGCGTCTTCTGTCTCTTTAGAAAACAACACCGGAATTATAATCGTGGCTTTAAAATATATGGTAGAAATTGTAAAAGGAAAGTGCACGAAAGTATATTAAAAACATTCGCTCTTTCTGTCTTCAGTATAGGCACAGAGTTTGTTTTTTGAAATGGCTATTCGTTATTGTATGTATTTGCAAGTTTATGGAGCATTATTGTAAAATCTAACAAAGTACCTTACGCAGAGAAGTAAGTCCCTTAAGTCTGTTGTATTTTTCATAGGGCCAATACCTCCACTGTACAGTGTAGATTTACAAACAGTAGTTTGTCATACATGTTTTTGAAACCTAAATACAAATGCACAAACGAACAGATCGTAAACATGTTTCATATTTAACAGGGGCAGTTATTAAAGCAGAGAAAATCCGGGAAGTTTGACGAACAAACCCTTCGTTTTATTCGCCAGAAGAGACCTAAACTCCAGTGCAGAGGAAGACCATCGGATGCAGATACCCGCGGAGGTAAGAACAACTCTTTATACTGTCCTCTTTCATACCCAGTTGGTTTTAATACATCAACTGTATTATTTGGTCGATACACTTAGAGTGGATCTCAATACAAGTGCAATGATAGCACATTTGTCATTTTTTTATGATTTGCCACGCCAGTGGAACACTCGCTAAGAACGTCTATGTCATTCTAAAATACCCGAGTAATTCATAGCAATCTTGTTTCTGAACATTACAAATGAAAGATCAATATTCATTATTCTATATATTTTAAGTACCGCACAATAGAAATTTGACTCAGGTTTTATATTCACCAAAGGTGCTCCTGGAAGACAACGATTTGGAGTTAGAAAGAAAATCCAGAACGCTCATGAACGTCATGCAGCTCGCGTCGCAAGAGGTCACCTCCGCTCCACGAGCAGAGACAAAACCCAGGCATCCATTGCAGAGTCAAGTGACGAAGAGGAACCCAAGATACTCGAGCTCTCCACGCAAAGATCCACTGATATTCAAGGTACTGCCACCGTAGGTCGGTACCGGAATAAGAAAACCAAGAGGGATGGGTTTAGGCGGAGCTCTGTGCCTGGTATTTATTCATTTATTGTACCTTTATGTAAGGATTTTGGCATTTCTTTTCGGCGAGTAGTTTTAGTCATTCTTTGACAGTGAGCTTAATCAGTAAGCTCAATCTGGACATGACAAGTTTTGCAAGCATAGTTTCTGTATCTCTGGTGGGCATTCGCAAATGCAGTCAGTAGTAGACTCATTTCTGGTGTGAGTATTCATCTAGTTTTTGATGTTCATATCTAAACAGGTCTTTCACTAATTTCGAGTGTTACAGTATGCCTTTATTTCAATATTACAGGTGTGGCTTTCTCATCATTAATCATGCCTGCACATGTGAGGCAACGTCGAACGAGCCAGCCGGCCATACTTACGAGCGCCCTGCAGGAACCACCCCAGAAGGAAGCAGATATACCTGTATTGGCTCTTCCTCCTCCAAGTCAGCCGATATCTGCCAGCGACTCGGCAGCACTGGAGCAGGACAGTGGCGTTCCCCTCACTCATCAGTCTGGCGATTTGCCACTTGGTGTTTCTCACGAAAGCTCGTCATCTCTGGTACCAAAATCCAGCGTTTCAAGCGTTGGACCATTGCATCCGACCTCAGCGCCGTCAGACTACGTCATACAGCCACAGCCCGTACAACAGGTGCCAGCAGAGCCTCACCACACACAGGGGCAAAAACTGACCTGGGCAGAGGTGGACACTAGGCTAGATCATCTTACTAGGTATTAAACACCGCGATCTTTACATGTTGTTCGCGAACTTGCAATTAACAAGTCGCCTGTCGCCTATATGACAGTATGTAGCCGCACGACCAGTATGTCAAAGATCTACCAAGTTATTCTTAGTTCTATTGTACTTTGAACTGGATGCTATACTAACTTTCATAGTTCAGATCACAAACCTTTCTGGATATATGGATTATTAGTTGATGGAACCTTACATTAATTTCATATTTTAAGGCATTCTAATCTAGAAGGATAAAAACTTAAATAGAAATTTTGTAGCACGGCGGAAACGCATTTATTATTTTTTTCAGCTAAGTTTTAAAAGTCATGTTGCCACGAAGCAAACTTTGATATCAACTTACTGTGTATGAATTTACTAAAAACCATCCCTTACTTAGTTTTAAATAAAAACAATTCTCCTGAACTGCTCCTATTCGTATTATATTGTAATACCGGTATCGCTTTGGTGCTGTAAATATCAGTGCACGGTAATACTGCTTTAGGTAATTTTCCTTTAAACTTAAATTTGATTTTTTTTTGTATATTATAGGAGGATGAAAGCCTTCGAGTATAACCTCACTTCAACAGTGGACGCCATACTGGAGGTGCTTGGCTACGACCCTGCAGTCATTCGACCGCTCTATCAGCAAGGCGTCATGGGAAGCGTTCCCCCTGATACAGGGACGCTTACGCCCACGGACGCCCGTCACGATGTTATTCTGATTAGACGGACCCATTCAGATAGCACTGTTATAACAGCGCCAGCACCATTTGATCAAGTTGGAGATCAGACGGGAATACAGAGGGCCATGACGGCCCCTTAACCTGTTGAAAGAATATATTTATTACTTTCACAGTTGATGGTGTGCATAACCTATTATTTTTTCATTTTGGAAAAGATGTGGGTAAATGGGTAAACTGTTTCATTCCAAAATCGCCTAAGAAGACGGTGGTTGTTTATACATCTATTCCAAGAACTCTAACGAGTGTTCGTCTGTTTAACGTATATAGTCCTAATTTGTATTTATCTATATTTGTCAATCATCATATAATGCTTGATTGCTCTTAGACCTAAATACCCATGTGATAGAGACATTTTCTTTTGAATGAGTCCTCACCTGACCAAAATATAGATGCAGTGGTCTGCGTGGATTGCAAGTGATTTTTTTTTAGATAAAAAAATTATATAGATCTATTATAAAATCAAACATGTCGTTAATCATACTGCAAGCAAATAAATATATATGTATATATGTATAATTGAAAAAAAAATCATTTGGTTTTAGTTGCTTTAATCCCTTTTCGAAATTATTTGGGCTACATACAGCATAGATTGTGGACATGACCTATGTATATATAGTGCTAAACAGAAAAATAGAGCGTGTCAGAAAAGCAGAGAAGAAGAAAAACGCGTAAAAGATTGCAGCAGCTGCATTTATATGCAATATGAAAAAATCATTTAAAATCTTAATACACAAAAGGTCCTTTTTTTAGGCGAAAGCACGTGTTTTGTTGACAAGAGTGCAATATATACAGGCCTACCCAACTACCAGACTCGGCACCGAATGATCCTGAATTCACCGGTAGATCAGACCACACTACCCGTTTTCAAGGTGTGTGTCAGATCGCATTACACAGTATCAGACGCTACACCGCTCTTGCCTAGTACGCGATGTGATAGTGACGGTTCTCAGCGGGGTTGAAAAGCATTGCATCACCACTCAAAATTTGTTCAGGGCATGATACTGTGTAATGCGATCTGACACACACCTTGAAACGGGTAGTGTGGTCTGATCTACCGGTGAATTCAGGATCAATCGGTGCCGAGTCTGGTAGTTAAGGAGGCCTGATATAGCCATTTTTCTCTATGATATGGTTGTGCATCTCTTCTGGTTGCACATGTTGGTGGCGCCATCTTTATTGATAAAACCCTTGGAACCCATGCGTATACCCATTTACCACACCTTCCATTCATTTTATTCCCTAGTATAGACACTTGTTAATGTTCTGCTATGGGACTATATGCTTTACTTACTAGGTAAAAACGTCAAATTAATTTTGTTTTATACGATGAGATATTGAAACAGAATTAACTTGGTTCATATCGCTTGATTAGACACTTTGCGTTTGACGAGAAAGGAATGATATGCGACTACCTAAACTTCTGCATGTATATATTTAATGACTTATAATACACAAACCATTGTAAGTGCAGCTCACATATCACCAGCTGTTAAAAAATATCAAAGAGATCAAAAGAGCCTGCCTTGATGAGAATCGATACATTTTGCAGTAGAACCACGTTAGCACGAAGTAACAAATATCGTATATGTCTGAATCTATGTCACAGGTCACAAGAGTGATCGGCAGAGCATGCTAACAGTCTCACACTAGTCTTTATAACTTTCAACATAATTAAAAGAAATCATTTAAAGGAATGAAAAGTTTTCCATGATATTTTTCAGCAAAATTGCGACGGTATACTTGTTCAAATAGAATCATTATCGATTCCCCCATTTGTTTGAATTAAAAAAAAAACACACTTATGAGAAATGTGCTTTTGGAAACATATTCGCTGTAGTATAAAGGTGTTTTGTCTTATCAAATAATTTCCTCGTAAATTCCTAGATAATCCAAACTACATCTTGTGAGAATAAAATTAAAAGAAGGTAAAAGAATGATCAGGGATTTTACAAACAATAATCACGTAATAAAACGAGGAAAAGAAAAGCACCGAGAACCTGCTGGCCTTGTAACAATGCGGTCACTTCCTACCATTCTTTACCAAACAAAAGCCCCGGTATTGTTGCCATTGTTACCTCTGGCCTATGGTATGCCCGCTATGCAAACACGAGCCCCGATATAGTAAAACGATCGCATCGCCTGAGTTCGTCATAGACGAAATCACGCCCAAATTTATTTTGTAGAGGCTGTTCAAAAGTGAAGCGTTTGTAAATATTTGAAATATATGCCGTGACAAGGATACCAAGTATTTATCAAGACAAATTATGCAGTATGTAACTTCAGAGGATATTCAGCATTTAAATTTATATACCAATCTTTGCTGAATAGAAAAGAAAACTGTTAAAAATTTACACAAAATTGGGCAAAGTTGATTCCCTTATTGTCAGCACTTAGTATTAATACTTAGTATGTTAATATTTAGTATAACATCTCTGTTATTTAATCGAGACTTATGCCAGTAGTTTAAATTACAAAACAAAAGTCATGTAAAGTACATTTTTATCATTTTCTCTCTCTGTCAGAAAGATACTAGTTCGCAATATACTAAGCAAATACCGTCTAAAGTCACCATTGCCCTGCCCCACATATTCCTAAAAAAACAGCAAGTAGCCTAAGCGAGTCACGCAGTAAAAGACGTAAATGTCCTTCACTGGGGTGAAAGATTCATACACAAGTACAATAGCCGAAGCTCTGTGAAGTGAGTCTTTCATTCCCTTTAAGGCGTGACCACAGTAACGTCGTGATCAAACTATTAGGTTTCAGTCAACTGTTTCTATCTTAACCCCCCTCTTATATAAACATCAGGACGAAAGACGAAATACAGCATTAGTCATTCCTACTTCGGGCACCTGTTAAATAAACAAGGTATCGAATATGAATTATACGTATATCGACTATTGATTCGCCAATTGCCCCTGCTTTAGTGAGGCGAACAATAGAGCCGCGGTGAACTTGATTGTTATAAGAGTTGCACTATCGAGGTACGAAAATAGCCGGGTATAAAAGGCGACAGAGCTGAGGGATTCCTCTCATGGTGACTTCCGGCACAGGGAGTGACTGTGGTGAATGATTTGAAAAAAAAATACTTCTCTCCATTAAAACTCATGTGGATCTAAAAGGATACTGTTCATTTTAACTAGGATGTCCTGGAGAGCGAGATACGAGGATTTTCAGGTGAGTGTGGTACCTGAGTGAAAATTATTTTTTATCAGAAGCACATTTGCTAGGTTTATGCTTCAGAATTTAAGCTGAACATTTTTCTGTAGACTACTTTAAGTGAGTGGAATACAGGATGTATGGATGTAGGCCACTGGCTTTGTATAACTTTTTTAATCCACAGAGCTCTGTAAAGAAAAAACTTTCAGTAAGAGAAAACGGCGTGCGCTTTTCGTGGACAAGGGGCGTGGCCCCTGTCCATAGTTAATTTCACTAATGGACACAACACAAAAATAAATAAGATCAGCAGTGGACATTACCGGAGTGATGCAAGTGACAGATGGAGTGAGACTTTTACTTAAAAATAAAAATGTTTCATCTTCTTCAAGTCGATAAATTCTGGGCTACTGACCCCTAACTGACCACTCTGCTGGACACTCCTCGGGACAATCGAACACCTGTGGGTCGATATGTGATACAATGTACAATGTAGGGCATAGTGAAGTAAGGCAAGTGAACCTTACATCGGAAAAAGATATTTCATATAAATATCAGGGGTAAGTTTATGCCATATTCCTCAAGCGAATTGCACGCAACACTGGACAGAGGGTATGGGGTTTGTGAAGACAGTGGCCGAGCAATGGTCAAAACCAACATGGCTGAAAGGGCGGGACCAGCAACTTCATAACTTGCAGGCCCGGTGTGATTTTACGCGACAAGAACACGCGCTACGAAAAAACTTTACAACTTTACGACAAAAAAGTAAGATGTAAGAGTTCAGGCTGTTTAAGTGTGGGATGAGCTAAAACCTGAACTCTTACATCATACAGAGTCCTTCTGCCATTTGCTTACAGCCAGGCCAAACTATGCGATTTCCCTGAAAAGGGGTTTAAAAGGATAAGCCCTCTTAGGTGAGCGTCCAAATATAAAAAGAAAAGTGTGCCCTCTGTGTTGTCTTTGGATACTTCTCTTAGCTATACTGTAGGCTAGGTACTAAGGTACTATTCAGCAGAATAATGCAAGCATTTCTTGATAATGAAGTGAGCTGCTATTACGGTAAAGGGATGGATAATGCCTCATATGTGCGAGTAATTGGTGGTTCCATTTACAAGCAGTACAGTGCGGTTATGTTCCAGTATTTTCAAGTTTTTAAAATTTAATTTAGAACAAGTGTCACCTGTTGATCCTTAGCTGATTGAATTGTCAAGGACTAATGTTTATTTTAAGCTTAATTTATGCTGCTTTTAGTTCAGAAAATAAATATGGGAAACAATCATTAGTTACAATTGCTGTTTGTTTAAGAGAAAGTTTTATTAGTATTCACTCACTGTCAAGTGTTTTTCTTGCTTGTAAAGCTCATTTTTAAATCGACACACCTGTTGAATATATTTAATGAGTCGTAAGTATCCGTTAAGACTGACATATTTAAGCTTTTGCTGGGTAGGGCTGGGTTAAGTTTACCCTCTACCAGGGCGACTGATAGATTTTTCACAGATGTTGACAGATATGTCTCTAGATAGATGGCCATTTTGGTTCAAACTTTGTTGACCAAAATGACCATCTATCTATCTAGAGACATATCTGTGAATATCTGTAAAAAATCTATCAGTCGCCCTGGTAGAGGGTAGGTTAAGTTCACAGTAAGGATACTGTTATATAAAACAATCTAGTTCGCAATACAATGAATGAAACATACTTTAAAGAATGTCAACTTCAGACACATATTTAACAATTGGACTTTTCGTCAAGTATGTAATTTACTGAATGCCACAACAGGCTTGTCGATTTCTTTTGTATATTTTGCGGTTTCACAAAGAATCCGGAGGTGCAGAGACCTAATAATTGGATGATCCCTCGAGCAATGGCATTGATAATTTCAGTTTCTAATTTTGATATTTTTCCATAATCATGAAAACCTGTTGTATGGTTATATATTGTTGCGTTAACAAAAGTACACGTAATAATTCGCATTAATGCATGAGCAAATATTAACTTCCTACAGTAAAATATATAGGTATTTTGAAAGTGTCATTAGTCTCTAGCTAGTAAATCTTGTAATTTTCTGCATAAATAAATAAATAAATATAAATAAAATATAATTAAAGACGCTCAGGTGCCCCAAGAAATATCTTCTATGAAATTCATGTTTAGTGCACAGCGTCAAAACGTGTGGATAGAATAACGGTTTTGGGGCAAGCAAGGTGTGCCGCCTCGCAGCGTGTTTCCATAAACCAGTCACACAATAGTCAGCTATTTAAATAATTGTAGGTTTGCTAATATCCACTGTAAAACGCCAAGTAGCAATAGCCTGAAGTAGCCCGAAATATCACGGTTGACAAATAGGCTGGTATTCCAAATTATAGAATTACATATTTGGAACGGCAATTTCCCTATTACGCAATATTTCAAAGAAGGACTGCCTTGCAGAGCTGCATATGGCAAACACACAGTTTTATAATACTACAAGAATAGAGAGACTTTTTTGCTCTGTCTAATAATTACACGAAAACTTTCGTGGTCGAGGGAATCACTGAGATACTCGACATGGGAATAGTAAAGACAATTATGCAATAAGACAAGAAATTATAATAACGTAATGGATATTAACCTTGTTTTGTCTAAGTATTACGGAATGTGACGAGACAGAAGTATATAGAAACTGGTCGTATTTGTACATAATGCCACCCTGTTTAATACAGGTGGATTCCACTTAAACAAATGGCATGGCTATCAGATACCCAGTCCTATTCAGGTGATCCATATGCACACAGTATTAGTACAATATAAGCGCCTGATCCCGTCATTATGCCCTTGTAAGAAAGGCGTGACCCTACACCACTGTGGAAATGATACAATGCCAACGCTTTCGTTAATTCGACTGATTGATGCAGGTTCGAAACAAGGATAGATTTAGCTTGGAAAGAATGCCTAAGCACAACCTGTTGCGAAAATGCTGTTTGTGAACATAATAATTTAATATGCGCTTCTTTGCTTCTTTATGTTAAGCTCTATATGTATATGTGCTTATTCCCGATAAATTTGTGTAAAATTTTGTCGGTCTGTTGTTGTCAGTTCTGTTCAGTACAGTACATTACTTCATGATATCGCATGCAACAGTCACAAGCCCGATTGCATACATGATTTAGATGAAAATATCTATTCGGCAAAAGCGACAGAGGGAAATCGAAAACGCATTACTTTGTAAAAGATAGGTTAATTTTATTCTGTTTCATGTAGAATTCACAGAGGTGTGTTGATCAATACTGCCTATCAGTACCATGAGTACCGTGGCATGAACGAAACTTACAATCCTGCAGTCTTTTTTAAAAGTACCTAGAGATATACTTCTGTATGTGAGTACTGCCATTCCCCATATAGGCTAATTATTTCTTCAAATTAATGATGTCAGTCAATGATTTTGGCCCAATCTCAGTATTTAAAAAAAAAAATTAACATGTAAACACCTGAGCAAAGATAAAAAATGCTGCACCTAAAACTTTATATTATAACTTTTATTCACGAATCACAAAATGGCAGAGTTATATTAGATTATTTAGGTAGGTTTTGTATGTTTGTAGGTAGAATTACCTTTACAGATCGATCTTCGTATGTGGATATGGCACGAGGGAGATAAAACGTTTACAAAGCAACATAGAATTAAAAAGGAAAGATACCAGGATCTTGCTTGTATAGCCACAAGGCGAAAACTCGACCTGGGCGCAGTAATGTGGCGTAACGCACCTATTGTATACTGAGGATACAATAACTGCACTCTGTCATGGCTGTCTCTTTGTATGATTTAACGATTGAAAATGCCTCCCTCTGCACTGTCATTACTGTCACATTCAGAACTCTCTTTCATATGGTCTGATCTACCCGGGATAATTTTGCCATTACCATGCGACGCCTGACAATGAAAGATTACAGTAAGAATTCTTGTTGTTCGTACCCGTATTTCTTCTACCATTACTGTTCTCAACACGTGCACAACGGAGAACGAGTCACAGTTATTGACATTTAGAGCAATGGTGACACAAGTGTTTGGTGTATTTGATTCAGTAAAGAAATTGTAAGACACAGGGACTGCAAAGCTTTTTTCTCATGATCTTCTGTACTACTTGGTTTCTTTTCTGTTCACTACAAACAGGTACCAGCATGTATTAAACAGCAAAGATTTTATATTTGTATACAGTTTAAGGTCCATACCGATAGGCCTATACATTTAAACATGAATAATGTATGACTTGATCATAATTCGCGAATTATAATTTGAGTCGAAGAACATTACTTCTTTTTTACATCTCACTTAATAAAACGAACAAACCGGTTCCCTGCAGACACAAAATACTATCGGTGAACGCTTCAGTAATAGCAAACGCGCAAGCAAGTAGGCCCCTAACCAAGCCGAAAGTTAGCAACCCAGAAAGCACAGAGCGAGACCCAAAGTACATAATATGAAGTGAATCCCAGCACAAGCACGTTACAAAACGCTACTGTATACAGTTTTTTACTGTCCATAGAGAATTTGTGCGTTGAATTGCTTTTATCACTGGCCTGTAGTATACAGTACTAACCCCTTGTCTTATGTTTCAGTGGCCACGCGGGCTGTACTTGGCACCTATAGGACATGGGAAATATGGCGTTGTCTATGACGACCAAGACAGTAAACTTAGCTACCATGACGAAATATCGGCGTACAAATATGACAGTTATGACAGGTATCTGTCTGGCACGTGCACATCCTCACGTGCATTTTTTTTTGTATTTTTTGTATAAAATAAAATATGTGTGTGTTTGTGTGTGTGTGTGTGTGTGTGTGTGTGTGTGTGCGTGTGTGTGCTGGGAGAGATTAGGTTCAAGTTTTATCAGTACTCCTGTATTATATTGTGAAAGATCACTTGGCAACATCTATTATTGTCTTGTACATATTAGTATAAATCGTCGTTTTAGTCGGACAGGTGCTTCCCCCTTCCATCGCCTCCCGCCCACCTATTTGAGACCTCCCAGAGAGGAGAGTGAACTGGAGTCCTACACCACATATTCCACGAAATCGAAGAAAGCCAAGATGGTGAAGGTTTTAGTGGCCCTGGCTATCATAGGTGTCGCTATTGCTATCGCTATGGCAGGTGTAGGCATATACTTCGCAGGTATGCTCTTTCGTATACAATTGTTTAATTTTTGTGATTCTCAAATTTTGTCTGTTGCTGAAAGTTAATAATGGGCGATTATTTAATGCTACAAATTTAATGCCTCACCGGGTTGCAATAACTCCTATAGCGTATTAAAGATATTTTCACCTAAACCCCAATTATTATTTTCTCTTAACAGTAACTGGAAGCGGAACACAGCCAGAGAGGCTTGGATCAACGTCGACCACGACTGCGACAACTGTGACAACTCCAGAGCCGGTATATTATGGTACGTGGAGAGATGCGTGCCACAGAATAAAATAAACCCTCATTCAGTTGGAGGAACGCTTATATTTTGGTTTCAGTTTTTATTTCGATCGATTATGTTATTTACAGTTTTTTTGACATACCCTGTTCCTTCAGTCTTTTTCAATAATTCATCATCAAAATAAGCTTCTTCATTGTTAAGCTGTTTTAAAACATTCCACTAGCTTACTAAAAAGGTTCCATCCCTTTCAGTCACTGCGGAGACCAATCTTACCCTCATCCAGCCATACACCCCAGGACTTGCTGATAACACCAGTGCTGAATACATCAATCTGTCCAACGAGTTCTGTAAGGGGGTAAGTGTTAGTAACACACGGTCTTAAAGAACATTGTTTCTTTTCATATTCTTTCGTATAGTAATATATTTTGTAAAGTTAAGCTGGAATGGAATGGAATGGAAATGAAAATTTAGACTTATGCTCTCTTAGGGAACAGCCGAGCATTGGAGCATCCGATGCCTGTATCTATAGTTGGAAATTAAAATTTCTTTAATAATTGATCAAAGTAAAAGTGCTTAATCAAATACTTTCCTCGGATTTTACGCAAAGGGAAATTTATTTTATCAGATAACGCAGCTTTACGCCTCGAGTAACCTTTCCATCGCTCCTGCTTCTTGTGAAGTTCTAGGATTTCAGTAAGTATAACTCTTATTTTATTGCAATGAAGGTAAATTGATAAAATATTATTCTACGCTTGAAAAATCCCACCCTTTTTCATAGGAAGCAGTTGTTTTCGGTAAAAGAAATATTATTGAGTCAAATATTATAATATATTAAATGTATAGCGGTATGTTTTATTTTTTAAAAGTTTCTGTGGGCATCGTAATTTCGTAATATTCAATACCATTAAAATGTTATGTGCTAAAAGCATTACCTAGAAACATCCCGATGCAGGAGCTGTTCAGATTTATGCAGACACTTCAAGAAAAAACATTTTGCTTTCAGAAATGGAAGTGCCATTGTATTCTTTCGACTCATATTCATGGAAGCCCAGTTAAAAGCTAAAGTCGAAACTTACCGAAGCAACGTAAACAACCAAAACAAGGTAACAATATATATCGAGGCCATACTTGGAACGTTACAGATTCAAGCAGATATTAATTTTGGGCCTTACTTCCCATTAAGCGGTACTAATATAAAAATTAAGGACGACTCAATTGCTTCTCCGCGTGTTGGGATAACCTCAGCATCACCAATCCCCCCGACAACAACACCAACCCAAGCGCCAAGCTCCGTCACTGCTTCAGCGACACAGACTGTGACATCCTCAACAGAAGTATCTTCAGCAACAACAGCGTCAGCTACCGGCGACCTATCGACAGGAGTTACCACATTGTCGGCTAGTACGGCCGTAGCAGTATCATCTGCATCAGAAGCATCTTCATCTGACAGGGCTTCAACTTCCTCTATTGCAACCACAGTTGCAACTTCTTCTGATCAACCATCAATATCTTCCAACGCAGCAGCTACCACATCTTCTGCTCCAATAGTAACAACTTCTTCATCTGACCAAGCTTCAGCATCTTCTGCTGCAGGAGTAGCAACATCTTCTACTGCAGCAGTAGCCACATTTCCATCAGACCAGGCTTCAACATCTGCTACAGCAATAGCGACACCTTCATCAGACCAGGGTTCAACATCGTCTGCTACAGCAGCAGCAACATCTTCTGCTTCAGCAGTTGCAATATCTTTATCTGACCAGGCTTCAACATCTTCTGCTTCAGCAGTAGCCACATTTTTATCTGATCAGGCTTCAACATCTGCTACAGCAACAGCCATATCTCCAACTGACCAGTCTTCAACATCTTCGGATGCAGGAGTAGCAACATCTTCTGCTTCAGCAATAGCGACAGCTTCATCAGACCAGGGTTCAACATCGTTTGTAGCAGTAGCCACATCTTCAGCTGGCCAGAGTTTATCATCCTCTGATGCAGCAGTAGGCACAAGTTCATCTGACCGGGCATCAACATTTTCTGCTTCAACAGTAGCAACATCTTCACCAAACTCAGCTACAATATCTTCTGGTGCAGCAGAAGTAACATCCACTGCTTCAGCAGTAGTAACATCTACATCAGACTCAGCTTCATCATCGTCTGCTACAGCAATAGCTTCATCTTCTGCTTTAGCAATAGGAACATCTTCATCAGACCAGGTTTCAACATCTGCTGCAGCTGCAACCGCATCTTTATCTGACTTATCTGACCAGGCGTCATCACCTGCTTCAGCAGTAGCCACATTTTCATCTGAGCAGATTTCAACATCTGCTTCCGCAGTAGCAATATCGTCACCTTCATCATCTTCTGCTTCCGCAATAGCAACATCTTCTGCTTCCGCAATTGCAATATCTTCATCTGACCAGGTTTCATCGTCTGCTGCAGCAGTAGCCACATCATCCAACCAGGCTTCAACATCGTCTGTTGCAGCAGAAGTAACATCTACTGTTTCAGAATTGGCAACATCTTCATCAGACTCAGCTTCAACATCTGCTGCAGCAGTAGTAACATCTTCTGCCTCAGCAGCAGCAACAACGTCATCAGACCAACCTTCAACTTCAGCTGCAGCAGTATCCACATCTTCATCAGACTCAGCTTCAACATCGTCTGCTGCAGCAGTGGCCACATCATCTGACCAGGTTTCAACATCGTCTGCTGCAGCAGAAGTAACATCTTCTGCGTCAGTAGCAGCAACAACGTCATCAGACCAACCTTCAACATCTGCTTCAGCAGTAGAAACCTCTTCATCTGATCAGGCTTCTACATCTTCTGTTGCAGCAGTGTTAACATCGTCTGACCAGGTTTCAACATCGTCTGCTGCAGCAGTGGCAACATCTGCTGCAGCAGTATCTACATCTTCATCTGACCAGGCTTCTACATCTGTTGCATCAGTGACCACTGCTTCATCAGACCAACTTCCAACATCCTCTGCTGTAGCGGCAGCTTCATCTTCATCTGTCCAGGCCTCAACATCTTCTGCTGCAGCAGTAGCAACATCTGCTGCAGCAGTATCTACATCTTCATCTGACCAGGCTTCTACATCTGTTGCATCAGTGACCACTGCTTCATCAGACCAGGCTTCTACATCTTCTGCTGCAGAATTAGCAACATCTTCTGCTTCAATAGTAGCCACAGCTTCATCTGATCAGGTTTCAACTTCTGCTTTAGCACTAACAACATCTTCATCAGACCAACTTCCAACATCCTCTGCTGTAGCGGCAGCTTCATCTTCATCTGTCCAGGCCTCAACATCTTCTGCTGCAGCAGTAACAACATCTGCTGCAGCAGTAGCAACATCTTCATCTGACCAGGCTTCTACATCTGTTGAATCAGTGACCACTGCTTCATCAGACCAGGCTTCTACATCTTCTGCCGCAGAATTAGCAACATCTTCTGCTTCAGTAGTAGCCACAGCTTCATCTGGCCAGGCTTCAACATCTGCTGCAACAGTGGCCACATCTTCATCTGACCAGGCCTTAACATCTTCTGCTGCAGCAGTAGCAACATCTGCTGCAGCAGTAGCAACATCTTCATCAGACCAGGCTTCTACATCTTCTGTTGCAGCAGTGTTAACATCGTCCGACCAGGTTTCAACATCGTCTGCTGCAGCAGTGGCAACATCTGCTGCAGCAGTATCTACATCTTCATCCGACCAGGCTTCAACATCTGCATCAGCAGTAGCTACATCTTCACCTGATCAGGCCTCAACATCTTCTGCTGCAGCAGTGGCAACATCTTCATCTGAGCAGGCTTCAACATCTGCATCAGCAGTAGCTTCATCTTCATCTGACCAGCCTTTAACATTGTTTGCCACAGCAGTTGTCACATCTTCACCTGTCCAGGCTTCGACATCATCTGCTGCAGCAGTAGCAACATCTTCATCTGCCCAGGCTTTAACATCGGCATCTACAACAGCAACATCTTCAGTAGTAGCAACATCTTCATCAGACCAGGCTTCTACATCTTCTGTTGCAGCAGTGTTAACATCGTCCGACCAGGTTTCAACATCGTCTGCTGCAGCAGTGGCAACATCTGCTGCAGCAGTATCTACATCTTCATCCGACCAGGCTTCAACATCTGCATCAGCAGTAGCTACATCTTCACCTGATCAGGCCTCAACATCTTCTGCTGCAGCAGTGGCAACATCTTCATCTGAGCAGGCTTCAACATCTGCATCAGCAGTAGCTTCATCTTCATCTGACCAGCCTTTAACATCGTTTGCCACAGCAGTTGTCACATCTTCACCTGTCCAGGCTTCGACATCATCTGCTGCAGCAGTAGCAACATCTTCATCTGCCCAGGCTTTAACATCGGCATCTACAACAGCAACATCTTCAGTAGTAGCAACATCTTCATCAGACCAGGCTTCTACATCTTCTGTTGCAGCAGTGTTAACATTGTCCGACCAGGTTTCGACATCATCTGCTGCAGCAGTGGCAACATCTGCTGCAGCAGTATCTACATCTTCATCCGACCAGGCTTCAACATCTGCATCAGCAGTAGCTACATCTTCACCTGACCAGGCCTCAACATCTTCTGCTGCAGCAGTGGCAACATCTTCATCTGAGCAGGCTTCAACATCTGCATCAGCAGTAGCTTCATCTTCATCTGACCAGGCCTCAACATCTGCTGCAGCAGTATCCACAACATCATCCGACCAAGTTTCAACATCTGCTGCAGCAGTAGCCACATCTTCTTCTGACCAGGCCTCAACATCTTCTGCTGCAGTAGTAGCAACATCTGCTCCAGCAGAAGCCACATCTTCATCTGACCAGGTTTCAACCTCGTCTGCTGCGGCAGTAGCAACATCTTCTGCTACAGCAATAGCAATATCTTTATCTGACCAGGCTTTAACACCGTCTGCCACAGCAGTTGTCACATCTTCACCTGTCCAGGCTTCAACATCATCTGCTGCAGCAGTAGCAACATCTTCATCTGCCCAGGCTTTAACATCGGCATCTACAACAGTAACATCTTCAGTAGTAGCAACATCTGCATCAGACCTACCTTCAACATCTTCTGCTGCAGCAGAAGCAACATCTTCTGTAACATCAGCAGCAGCCACACCTTCATCAACTTCTGCTGCAGCAGCAGCAACATCTTCTGTAACCTCAGCAGAAGCCACACCTTCATCAACTTCTGCTGCAGCAGTAGCAACATTTGTTACATCAGCAATGGCAACATCTTCAGCAGACCAGGCTTCAACATGTCTGCTGCAGTAGTGGCAACATCTTCTGCTTCGGCCGTAGCAACATCTTCATCAGACCAACTTTCAACATCTTCTGCTGCAGCACTAGCCACATCTTCTTCTGAGCAAGTTTCAACATCTGCTTCAGCAGTGGCAGCATCTGTAACATCAGCACTAGCAACATCTTCATCAGACCAGGATTCAACATCATCTGCTGCAGTAGTGGCAACATCTTCTGCTTCAGCAGTAGCAACATCTTCATCAGACCAACCTATAACATCATCTGCAGTGGTAGCAACATCTTCTGCTGCAGCAGCAGTGACATCTTCATCAGACCAACCTACAACATCATCTGCAGTGGTAGCAACATCTTCTGCTGCAGCAGCAGCAACATCTTCTGTTACATCAGCAGCAGCCATACCATCATCAACTTCTGCTGTAGCAGTAGCAACATCTGTAACATCAGCAGTGGGAACATCTTCATCAGACCAGGCTTCAACATCATCTTCTGCAGTGGTAGCAACATCTTCTGCTGCAGCACTAGCAACATCTTCTTCTGAGCTGGTTTCAACATCTGCTTCAGCAGTAGCAACATTTTCATCCGAACAGGCTTCAACATCATCTGCTGCAGCAGCAGCAACATCTTTGGCTTCAACAGTAGCAACATCATCATTAGACCAAACTACAACATCTACTGCTGCAGTAGTGGCAACATCTTCTGCTGCTGCAGCAGCAGCAACATCTTCTGTTACATCAGCAGTAGACACATCTTTTTCTTATCAGGCTTCAACATCTTCTGCTGCAGCAGTAACAACTTCTGTAACATCAGCAGTAGCCACATCTTTATCTGGCCAGGTTTCAACATCTACTGCAGCAACAGCCACAGCTTCATCTGACCAGGCTTCAATGTCTTCTGCTGCAGCAATAGCAACATCTTCTGTTACAACGGCAGTAGCCACATCTTTATCTGACCAGGTTTCAACATCTGCTGGAGCAATAGCCACAGCTTCATCTGACCAACCTTCAACATCTTCTGTCACATCATCAGAAGCAACATCTCCATCTGACCAGGTTTCTACATCTGCTGAAGCAGTAGTCACTTCTTCTGCTTCAGATGAAACATCTTCACCTGATCCTGCTTCAACATCATCTGCTGCAGTAATAGCAACATCTTCTACTTCAGCAGTGGCAACTTCTTCATCAGACCAGGCTTCAACATCATCTGTTTCAGCAGTAGCTGCATCTTCTGCTTCAGCTGTCGCAACATCTTCATCATACCAACCTTCAACATCTGCTGCAGCAGTAGCAACATCTTCATCTGACCAGACTTCAACATCTGTCACATCAGCAGCCACAACTTCATATGGCCAGGTTTCAACATCGTCTACTTAAGCTGTAGCAACATCTGCTGCAATGACAGCAACATCTGTTGCAGCAGGAGCCATATCTTCATCTGAACAGACTTTAACATCTGCTGAATCATCATCTAGCCAGGCTTCATCATATGCTGCAACAGTGGCCACATCTTCATCAGACCAGGCTTCAACATCTTCTGTTGCAGCAGCAGTAGCAACATCTTCATCTGACCAAACTTCAACTTCTTCTGCTGCAGGAGGAGCAACATCTCCATCAGACCAGGCTTCAATATCTTCTGTCACATCAGCCATAGAAACATCCTCGTCAGACCAGGCTTCAACATCATCTGCTGCAGCAGTAGCAACATCATCATCTGACCAGGTTTCAGCCTCTTCAGGAACTGCCACCATTTCTGGAGTTACAGACAGTGCAACAACTTCAGTCACAGAGAGTACTTCCTCACCATTATCATCAGTAGCAACTTCTTCTGCCACATCATTAGCAATGGATGCAACAACCTCAGCATCAATGTTATCAGAAAGCACCATTACACCCTCAGGAAGTGAAGCAGTAACAAACACCGCTTTCACAGAAACTGTATCTCTGTCATCAGAAACTAGTAGTTTTATGACAACACCAACAATCACATTAACTTCCACAGAGATGATGACAGCAACAGGCACTTCTTCTGCATCAGAATCATCATCTATTCCATCTGGCCCATGATGTGCTGTGATTTGAGTTATTTATTATTTTTATAATTTAACTTTTGTTGTTGTTGTTGTTGTCTTAATTGCTACAGTAGATTTTAGTTATTAGATATTTTACCTATCCTTTAAATAAAAAATTTACAAGATGAAAACATTCTGAAATGAGACTCATCATCAGACGATCTTCACAATGTTTCATGGAGCTGACTGATAGAACTTGAAATAATGCTCTTGAAAAATATCTAAGAATTGAGACCTTCACTGTCACTAGATTTGATTAGTTATGTTTTAAGCAGATTGCTGTTGTAATTAATTTAAGTAAGGGAAAATGTTAAAAACCCAAAACTATCTATAAAACTCTGTATATATTGTATATACAATTTGCAATTTTTAAAAATATAAACCGAGATATAGTATTAGTACAATTATTAAGAAATAAGCTTGTTAAATAGTAGAAGTACCACGGGGCATATCTGGGCAGATCATATAAATTGAATTTCAGTCATATACTTTTTACAATTAAACAGACCTTATGTGCCCAAAATGTGCTATTTCTTAGAAAACAGTGTTCAAGTAAACAGTGAAAACTGTGGTGCTGGCTTGGTGATGTCAATTTTGAAATGGATATAACACTTGGCCAGACTTTTTTGTATTTCATAAATTCGAATATTAATTTTATATTAAAAATGATTCATGTTCTAGTTATGAAACAGTAGTTTGAATATAAAAAAATCTTTACTAATGAAATATATATATATTTTTGTAAAATAAAGTATGAAGCTATGAATTATCAGTATTGTGTTATCTGTTTTGACATAGATATAAATGGTTGTATGTCATTTCATGTGTTCTGATGAAAACAATGGTTCCTCTTGGATTCTCTTATATAGAAACCAGCAATGCAAAAACAGCAACTATTATATTTTCAGTATGTATCCACTTTATAAGTTAAGAATTTCACTCTTCAAATTTTTGCTGTTACAGTTATAAACAAAAAATTGCAATTTTACTATTTTTACTAAAGATTGGTGTTATTTAATTGGTATTACTCCACTTTCAGCTGTAATTGGCAAAACAATCACACATTAATTGACAGCTTTGATTTATCAAAATATGCACACATTTCCTTGAGCTTAAACATAAAAACTGCGATAAAATGAAATTTAAAGTTACTTGAACAAATTAAAAAAAATAAAAATACAAGAAAATCATAAAAATTACTCAATTACTCTGCCCCCATTTAAATAAAACTCCCACAAAGACTATCAAATACATTGTAGTTACATTTCCACAATTATAAGACAAAATTTTTATATCACATTATGTGTTTTGTGTATATTTTCACCTCACTGTCTACATGTATCTAGGAATTATAAAATACAACATGATTTACATTTGACAGTTCAATAATTATGATATTTCGCTTGTGCAAGGTATACATTAATATAAATATTCATGATATTCACAAATTGGCAGATTCTCATAATCAATGCCTGTAATCATTACTAATGTTATTCAATTCCATATACAAAGTTCTTCCCTGAAGACTGAGGCAATTTTTTCAAAATTTAGATTTTTTTTGAGGTGATTTAGACGATGACTTGGTTGGTGCTTCCTCTGTGACATTTGTCTTCTTTTTATCTATACGTTCATGTTCACTTTTCACAAGGGTTCTTAGCTCTTCCTAGTAAAATAAAAAAAAACAATTGATGTAACATGTGCACTTAATATAAATAAAATACAAATATATTTTAAAAATAATTGTTTACTAACAAATTTTTTGGCAATCAAATAATATTCACAAGTCAACAGTAATTAATACTAATATATGCTACAATCATCTTAAAATAATGAAACCAAAATCAGTAACTTACCCCCCAACCCAGCTGGTCAGCCAGCTCAAAACAGCCTTCATCACAGGTAGTCTGTTTAAACACATCCCTGAAAAAGAACAAATTAAAACATCATTCACACAAGTTGTTAAACCATTTTCAAATTCTCATACATGCCTGCTTATTGTGTTTGAGCTTCAGTGGAATTAAAATGAAATTTACCATGCCAATCACAAATATCAGTCAGAGCTGCTACTGAAACTCACAATCTGGATAACCTGATGTATGGTACGTCAGTAATGAAGGCTCTCAACACTGTGTGATGTCATATAGGACAAGAAAATATGCATGAATCTGTGCAAAGTGGGGTTAACAACAAGGATAAAACCATAAGCCCCGGGAATGCTGCCTAAGAAAGCAATACAAAAGTGACACACAAGCACAGTGAATTTAAAAGATTATAATTCGAAAGAACATAAAAGAAAACAGATTCTGGATGAGTCTCATTGGCATTTTTAGCTTCAATAAAATTTATTGCTGATTATTCGAATCCAATATGTGTGCTCATATGAAAGTTTGAAAGTAAAAAAGTAAAGAAGCTGGCACACAGAATACTAAAAGATGAAATGGAAGTGACCATACCTGTATTTACGTTCACTTTCGAAATCAAAATCTGTACCGAGTCCGAACAGTAACATAAATGGATCTCCCTGAAAAGGCAAAATAACATTAAAAGTTTAAAGGAACACATTCCAGCAGTTCACATTTTATTAAGCTGCCAATTAATAACATACCTCATATAATATCATTAAGGATATAGCAAAGGTTTATTATTACTTACCCCAATTTTTAAAAAAGTTATTATCCAATATTTATCATAATATGACCTTTTTTCTTTTTCTCTATAACGAATATACATTTATTAGTTAATTAGTTATATTTTAATGTTATCTTAGATGAGCATATAATGCATATAGTGATTTGCCATCTCCATATATGTACACTAGTCATAATTCTCATTAACTAATAAACGTGTTCAAAAAAATAAAAAAAAACTTACCCCACATGGTGGAGACTCTAGATTAATAAGTAGTCTTGGACAACTAGGATCCACTCTGAAAAATGAATGCAATACTCTCTAGTGCTGAATTGTTTATATCAAAGGTATTTTTTATCTCAATTTAAAGTTGGAAACCAATATGTACTTGTTTATGTCATAACAAGTAGACAACTGTGATAATATTACCAGAAAAAAAATTACCTTGAGACCAGGGAAGCAAATGGCTGCACCTTCAATGAGGTTCCCATGACAATCAGGAGATCACATTTAGGCAAATCCTATAGAGATTAATATGTAAAATATAGCCTGGCTAAAATATAATGTTGTTATAGAATATTAAAATAATATTGTTATAGAATATTAAAAGATATGCAATTTACGGATCACAATTTACTAGCACTGTAAGTTTATTTGTAATTATGATATAAGTATGAATGGCTGGACAAAACTGATCTTTGATCAATAAAATTAAATGCACCATATATATCGTATAATATTAAATAAAATAGTTTATACCTTTCCAACCCTTTCAATAAACAAAGATGGTAGACTTTCACCGAAGAAAACAATATCTGAAAAGGGAAAAAGATTTACATATTTAGATTTACAAAGGACATTACCTTTTTGATGAAAAAAAATGATCTTCTGTTAATATATCAATATAAGTATATTTAGCTACCCCCAAAATGACCAACTTGGTCATAGAGGCATGAAATGTAGCCAAAATAATGAACAATTACTGTCAACAAAAGCTGGAAGGAATATAACAAACCAACACATGTTGATGACAAAAAATGAATTTTAACAATGAACATGCTGCATTGTGAAGGAGATATATCTAATATACAATATGGAAGAAAAGATTACCTGGTTTCACAAGTCCATTACAGTCTTCCTTTTCACATGTTGGTACTGAGTCTTTGCCAGCAAAGATTTTCTCTAGAACATAGTGATAGTTTTGAGATTTGACATGTTGTGGGTAAATATTGGGTGTGTTTTAGTGAATTAGTCCCTATGTTGCATAAAAGTAAAAAAAAAAGAATTACCCTTTCTATACCCTAGTTTCACACACATACACACACACACACACACACACACACACACACAGGCACAAACAAACATGCATGCATGCACACGCACACACACTTAAAAACTTAAGTCAGTTTTTGGGCTAAGTTGACTAGGATTTCCATGAGAGTGTTGTAACACTGTTCCTGATAAGGTAAGACGTGCACATGTGACCATGTAAAATTGGTAATCAAGTTCTTAGCCAGGTTATCTGACTTAAGTTTTCTGTGAAACCAAGGCCAGATACTCTCCAGTTCTTGCCTGGTGTTGTCAGAGTGAACAAGGTCAAGGTACACAGCCATGCACTTTCTGTCAAGCTTTCACAATTAGTATCAGTTTCATCCTATACAACAGTTAAGTTTTCCTAGATGCTTATATGAATGCTACCTTTAATCCATTCTTGGGAGTATTTCTGTCGACAGTCCACACAGTGTGATGTGGCAAATGTCCCATGAGCCTCCACCAACTTCTCCTCCGGAACACCCGCCACACGCTCCAGTGTGTCGATGTTCTGCAAACAACAAAAATTAGACTTTCTTGAGTTTGCCATCAATGATAATCAACAGGGGCAGATCTTATATTAAACAATAATTGTATAATACTGACTATTGCATGGTCATAAAGGTAATTCACATCATCTACAATAAAAAAAATAGCATGAAACAATCGAAAAAAAATTCCTCACCTGTGTGAATGCCCTCAAAAGAAGATCCTTTTCATGCAGCAGTCTCAAAAAATAATGGCATGGAGTTGGCTAGAATAAATAAATTCTTATTAGCAATGTGACCTTTAACCTTAAATAAAATTTAAACTAAATTTTTAACTTTAAATTATAAGTTAAGGTTAGATAAAATATCATCAAACTAACTGAATAAATGAGGCTGTTTTACTAGCAGGTGTGTATTTTTGCTTTCTGTCACTGCCTCAGGATTCTAACAAACTACAAAACAGGTCAGCTTTTTCCTTTCCAAAAAATACATAAAACATTTTTTCAGAAATATAAAAATCTGACAGAACCTCTGCAAAATTTAAATAATATTTTAATAAAATTTAGTTCTACCTTGAATGATCCTGGCCATAGTTCTCTGGCAAGTGTGAAGAAAGGAACTGGGTTTTCCTGCAAGAGAGTTGTGTTGATAGTTACTGGTAGGCAATCTTATCACATTATTTAGAAAATATATCTAGTCAGTGAGAATTGTGTGGTCTGTATCTGAGTGTGAGTGTGTGCATGTGTATGAATGGCGTGTGATTATATGTGTGTTGAATTTGGATATGCATCCAAACACATTTATTCATGCACACATAAAAGCATGCATGCATACACACACACGCCTTTTAAGATGGTGTACATGCATGCATTAACATTTTTAGCTTAAAAGCTAAAAAATTAAAGATTCTGAATCAATGTAGATAAAATAGATGATAATACAGGTGAAAAAAATTGATCTATGTCTATATAGACACTATGAAAAAAAGGAAATGAATATATACTAAATGGAGGTTAATTTGTGTAAATAAAGACACAAACAATGCCTTTAATCTTAAATGCCTTACTTTGAAATAGCCTATTTCAAATATTGCTTGAGGTGATGGTAGATCATACTTCTGTAGGTTGTCATAAAGTCCTGTACCAGGACTACGGAAATCTGGAATCCCAGCAGCTGTAATTACAAAAATCTGGTGTTAAAACGCTGCTAATTTGTAGTTCAACAGATCAAGGTTATTTTAGACTATCTTAGCACCATTGGCACTCTTGTTGACAAAAGAAGAAATACATTTATCAAAGCATCAGAGTTTGTCTTCTACCCATTCACTTAATCTAACAGATGCCAATATCCAATGTAAAAAATGCCTGGATCACATGAGAAGCTTACAAAATATCCAAAATACTTCATTATCATGTTATTGAGCAGATAAATGTGTAATCTGCAAATCACCCCTTAGGTTTAAAGAGATATTATGCATCCGAAAAAAATGATGTGTACTCCAAGTTGTCTCATTTAGGAACAATCCTGATCAATAAATGCATTTTTTCCTGCTTTCATGTTTGGATCTACACAACCTTATCCTTGTCAGTATTATGTCTACTTACATGTGGATATTCCTGCTCCAGTCATAGTTATTATATTCTTGCACTTGCCACTCTTGATGTACTTGACAATACCTTCAAAGCTAACCTCCTCAAGAACCTAAAAAAGAAGAAAAAGCATTTGATTTTTTTTTTGTAAACTAAATGAATGAAATTAATAAGAGGGAAACATCACTGATTAATTTGACTGTAAAGAGAATTTAACATTAATCAAGAGCACCTCAATATGTGTTTATTTATTGTATTGTTAAGGCAATCAATCAAGTTTTGGTTCTGCCTTACAAATAAAAGCATCTTAATATAACAGGTACATGCATAATGCAAAATTTACTTGCTCTGGCAGAAAAAGTCTCCAATTACTTCAAGAGAGATAATATCAGTCAGAGGTTCACCTGTGGGGGAGCTTCGTCTGATACTGCAAAGTCCTGAAATGACTTGAGAATGTGCTCCACTGCAAGGTAAAAATAAATAAATAATAGATGAATAGGTCATGAACATTATAGTGCATGCAGGGGAACCAAACAAACCAGGTGAATTCATCAAGCAAGCATCCAAGCCTTTTTATTCTGTTGATGAAAATATTGGGTTTTAGTTTGATTTTTTTCTCTCATAGTAAGATTGCTGTGACAAAACTATTCTTAAATATTCCTTAGACAATACTGGAGAGGTGTGTGTGTGCTGGAGCTATGCGTAACATCAAGGATAGCTTTGAAAGGATTTGACTGTATGTACTTAAAAGTATGGACCTGATTACAGAAATATGCTTGTTGCAAAGTATGGATGCAAATTAATACACATCAATCAAATATGTATGTTACTTGGATAAACAACAAGGCACATGAGCAGGGCATTTGGAAAATAACTCACTCCTTTGGGAAATGGAGTCCTGTGTGTTCTCCTCTGGGCTTGGAGAGCTATCATGGTCCTAGAATAAAGAAATGTTACCTTTGTGAATATTATACATATACAAAAAATACTCACGACTTTTCAACATCTCTTCACTTATGCAATAAATCAATTTTTGAAAGCCAACAGGCACTAGTAGAGTACCAATACAAATTAATAAATATCTACACTATCAATACACAGTCATTAGGCCTTGTATACTTAAATACCTCACTGCCATCTACATGTGCTTCTGATTTGCTGTTGCCTCCTCCTGGAAAAAAATATAGATTTTTCATTTAGTAAATACACATGCATTGCTGAAAATCGTGACTTGTTTTTTTTTATATGTTAATTTATTTATCTTACATCTAATACAACATTCAATATAATAGTGTCACATTTACAAACAAACCCACGCGTTGCTCCAGTCTCAGTGGACATATTTCTAGACTTTCATCCAAACTTTGGTAAAAAATCTTGAAAGCATGGATTTGAATGGCTTAATAAACTAGGTCAAAACAAACCTAGTCAGATGAAACTTAAAACAGCAAGAGCATGCTATAGTGTAGAGGTTTGTTTCAAGTTATCTCAGGGTGGTATTTTGCAGATTCAGCATAATAATAAGCACATGTAACATGACATCTTTATTTTTGAGGTCTAGTATTTCTATTAATCTATTTTTATTATTAACTTTATATTACTTATCAATTAGTTTTTAAAATCATCACCATTAGTGTGTGTGTGTGTGTGTGTGTGTGTGTGTGTGTGTGTGTGTGTGTGTGTTTATTGTCATCCCCCTCCCCCTCCTTGCAAAGTACCAAGAAATTGGGGGGGGGGGGGGGCATAATGCAAAGGTATCAGCAAAATAAAAAAAGGTTTATTCACGCTCAGATATGTGTGGACCCTAAACTTGCCCTAATGTTAAGCCAAGGATAGCTATTTACATGTAATTACACAGAAGTTAAGTCACAGCAACCATCAAGCTTAGTTGTGAGGGGGAGGTTAGTTTTGCTTTAATGATGGCTATCGGGCAATGAGCATCTCAGTCGGTTGAAGATTGGGTAGTTGCTTAATATTGATTTATGACAGGGATTTAAGCTGAAGGTGAACTAACCGCGTCTACTCCTACCTCCGTGTTTACCCACCTTCTGCCATTTCGATTGAAACTGCACACCGATTATAATGTTTATGAAGCATTCACAAGACAGGCAATGTCCGCATTTAAAAGATGGTTTTCCATTTCTGTTGGGTTTTGGGCGTTTCGAAACATGGCGATTTCCCTCAAACTTCAAATTAGCCTATGACACTTTTTGATAATAAAGATTTGGTCAGATATTTTAGGGCACATGTTTAAAATCCCTAACGTTAAGTATTTTTTAATGTGAAAAAGGAAGAATTTACAATAGGCCTAAAATTAAAAAAAAAAAAAAAGACTCTTTAAATTAAAAGAAATTATGCTAACGTTTTGAAATAATAAATAAATAAATAAATAACGTAAAAAAGAACTTCTAGTAGTGCTTATCAAGTTGCTGACAATATACACCTCAAAGAACTGATTAGAAACAAAGTAGTTAAACCACCTTTTATACCTTTTTGTTACAAGTTTTTTTTATACCTAAATTAAACTACTACGTTTGTAACTACTTGTAGGGCTACTAGTTTTGTGTAGTGCCGATGCCATCTAACTAATACTGGGTTTTAGTAAATAAATTAAAACCATGTAGCACATAAATAAACAAGCTATTGTCATTAATCAATTGAACAAGCACAGGGTCTCTTGGGGCAATACTCGTACGTCTTTTTTTACGCGTGGGCTATTGGCTGGACGTGTCGGGTCGTGTAATGTGTGTGGACAAGGTGGGTGCATCCTCCAGCGGTAGAAAAAAGTCTGTGCCTATTCATGCAAATAAACAATCTGTCTTATGTGATATGATATAAACTGTATCAACAAATGACAAATGCGTCCATGCATCAAAGCACCGGTGATGCACTACTACCTGGGTTTCAGTGAATACTAGAAACAGTGGGCCTACGTGTCGGCTGACGTGTAGAAACTTTTGGCTACAGGAACATTAATCACCTCTTTACGTCGATTGTCCTGTCATTATTTTCTCTTGGAAAATAACAGGCTGTTGTTGAGGCAGATATGTAGGCCTACCCTTAATGATGATCTATTAATTGGATAAAAATCGTGATTAGAGCAAAAAATAAATAATTAATTTATCTCTACTGGCTCAAAAATAAGGAAAAATAAAATCAAACTAATCAGCGGAGTTAATTTACATGCTACACGACATATGTTGAGTTGAGCGTGGGTAGGCTTGCCATCGTCTGATTCAAAGACTTTTGACTTTTGGCTATCGTTTCTGTAAGGGGGTGTAGGACATTATCCAATATGAAGAGAACAGAAAAACGACCTATTTTACTTTCCATTTCAATTTTGATATTCATGTAATTAAGATATTTCCAACTTTTTTCACCAAATTGTTCCATAAGGATGACCATTTTATCCTTGGAAATTCTGCAGAAATTGGAAACCTTAAAGGAAGTCAAGTTTCAATCATCACCATCATCATCATCATCCTTCTCTGTCTCATGGGATCTTGATCATCTGTAAAAGTGCAGCTTCTGTAATACAATTGTTTTTTAAATCCTCCTTCATCTATTAATCTGTTTAGGAGAAATGCCCCAGTTCACCAAACACTCAACTTTGTCTTCGGGTGTATGCCCAATGTTTGCTCGCAAGAATGTACTTGGAAATCAAGGCACTTATCAGTAATTTGCTCCCGTTCCCAGACATCGCATCTGCAGAGGTGGATATTATCACGACATCAAACTCATTAGAGTTTTCCTGACGTCATAACATAACGGGGTATTGGGAAATACTGTTTTAATTGGTTTATTTGATAAATTTTATGCACCGTTTTGATTTCCTTTGGATGAAGTTTTCTAAAGATACACTTGGTATACCTGAACNATGCGCGAAACCTGCGCAGATCGCAAAAAAAGCTAATATGAGAGGACTACCTTAAATCCTCCTTCATCTATTAATCTGTTTAGGAGAAATGCCCCAGTTCACCAAACACTCAACTTTGTCTTCGGGTGTATGCCCAATGTTTGCTCGCAAGAATGTACTTGGAAATCAAGGCACTTATCAGTAATTTGCTCCCGTTCCCAGACATCGCATCTGCAGAGGTGGATATTATCACGACATCAAACTCATTAGAGTTTTCCTGACGTCATAACATAACGGGGTATTGGGAAATACTGTTTTAATTGATTTATTTGATAAATTTTATGCACCGTTTTGATTTCCTTTGGATGAAGTTTTCTAAAGATACACTTGCTATACCTGAAAGGGTAAAAAGTATTCCTAGGTAAATGTATTCTTTCACTAAGGTTCAGCGCCAACTGGGAATTGCGGCCATGCATGCACACGAATAGTAACAAATGCATGAGGAAATTTGCAAACCAACCTCATGTTAAGTTGTCTTTGGAGTCTAGTTCAACGAATTCGTCGATTAAAGTTTCTTAACTAATCATGAAATTGGGAGAGTTATTAATACACTAATCGGGGACCCAATTTATGAACAACTTGTTTGCAATAAAAAACGCTTTAGATAATTCATGCATGCGTTGAACACGAACGTCTGCCGCTTTTTTAAATAAATAATAAGTTAAACGGGCAGAGCGTATCGATTTCTTAAAACCCCATTCCCTTGTTGTCTGTTTATTCTCTGTGGATACTGCATCATCAATTATACATACGTGTTATTGTTTAACCCTCAGATACAGCACTAAATGCATCTAATCCAAATTTGACTGGGAACAATGACATATGGTAGCAGATATCAATCACTATAGGCGAAACCCTATTGCAATTAGGCTTAGTTCATATTTCTTTGAAAGCAAACTTTTGTCATTGAATCCGAGCTAGTTTCTTTTTTTCACTGAAACGCAGTGATGAGATAAAACTGTCATTATAATTAGTTTGTTGAATTTTACATCCGTATATCTAACTTCTAATAATTCAGTCCAGAGCTTCACTTTCAGTCAAGGGATTTTGCATATTATCTTAGAACTAATTACTATAACATGATGACGCCGCAATGGTGATAGCTATCGATCGCCTCCTATAAAATGCGAACGACGCAGAAGGCTAAAACGATCCAGCCACGCACGCAGGAGCGAGAGGATCTTCAGCTCCCCGCGCTGGATCAAGAGGATCTTAAACTTACCTCCCGTGCATACAAAACTCTTTCAGCGAAAGGCATGTTTCACTCTGTCACGGTTTGGCTTGCAGTGGTGGGGTTATTTGGCCAAGGTGAGTAGGATTCAAACAGAAATATCTTATAACGTTATTTAATCTATAGGACTTCTGTAGTAATGTGAAATAAGAATTAAGACTCGGCTCTGCAAGAAGTGAAGGTTACCTTAACCACGGAATATGATAAAAAAGATTATTAAAACAATGTTCCTGAGGCAATACCAGCGCACGTCATACTGTTTGATTGCTTTTCCCAAAAGAATCATTGAAAATAACGTTTGACATTCCTCTAAGGACACATTGATGCAACTTTGCAATCTATCACTTGGGCTAAAAAGACCATTTGACCCATATATGAGAAACCTCCAATGAGTAATAGTAACGAAAGAACAACCGATTTCCACTTGATGTCGAAGCAGTTTTAAATAACAAAGCCCTGTTAAGGGGGGTAAAAAGAAGGTGACTGTGGGAGGGGGTGGGGGTGGGGTAACACGCATTCAGGGGCGAATCCAGATTTATTTTCTGTCTTCCAAATTATCTTTTTTGATCAATCCTCCATTTTTGACCGTCTTCGGAAAAATTAGATGCTCGTAAATGCAAACTTGAAAAATTCTGACTGTCTCCCGGAAGACCCAGAAGACAGCCTCTGTCCGCCTTTGCGCATTTACAAAATCGCTGTTACAAGGCATGAATGACTACGAAGAATGGTTGTGCATGATTCATACATTTATGGATCTTTACTAAAAGACCAGTTCTGCAATTCCTCGGATCACGTAGACGCGTTTTGGGGATGAAAATGTCATTTTCGGTTTCGAGGATTTCCCAGTCCCCAGAGCAGCTATCATTACAAAACCCATGACTTTGTTTGGCTCAATCAACTGCAAATTGAATTTTTTCTTTTTAGGTGTAGCTCAGATTTAACCAGCCAAAACGTTGGAGAAAATTTAATCAAAAATCGTAGATATCAATTTGTTTTCCACGTTTCTACATAATCAAGACAAATTTCAATATTGTCAATATTATTAAGCAAATTGAAACTTCGAGCGTCATATTCAGATTCTGTAGTAAACAAACTATTGGTTATTGGTTTATTCACTTTTTTTAGAGCAGGACATTATTCTATGTGCGAGGGAATACAATTCTTTATTTTAGACGTAAGAGTGTGAACACAAAAGACGATGAAACCCACCAAATCACAATTTTGGGTGAAAGCAAGGAAGTCACCCACCTCAAATGCCACTTAATGCAGATTAACCTTATAGCAAAGTGAAGAGAATTGTCTGGAACCGAATTCGCCAGCTCTTAATAGACCCAGGGGACCATGGAGTGGGCAGCTATTTCTTTTAATTAGATAAATCTAGAAATTGACGAAGCTTAAAGGCCTACTGTGCTCTAGGAACTCATAGCGTTCACTGCTTTTTTTACAGTATAAAAACTATAAATCGACGTCAAAAAATTGTTCTTTTTAAGTTTTAGAGAGAAAAGATGAGATTTAGATGAGAAAATTCTGATTGGTCAGTTTCTAGTGACGTAACCTGGGTAGTAGCTTCCCACAGCTGTACTAGTAATAGTATATACTATGCAGTAGGTGACTAAACATCCAGGTGTCAGAAAAACAAAATGCCGCAAAGTTGTGTTGTTCCCGGGTGCCGTAATGTACCTGTAGGTTACGATNAGAATGGTTGTGCATGATTCATACATGTATGGATCTTTACTAAAAGACCAGTTCTGCAATTCCTCGGATCACGTAGACGCGTTTTGGGGATGAAAATGTCATTTTCGGTTTCGAGGATTTCCCAGTCCCTAGAGCAGCTATCATTACAAAACCCCTGACTTTGTTTGGCTCAATCAATTGCAAATTGAATTTTTTCTTTTTAGGTGTAGCTCAGATTTAACCAGCCAAAACGTTGGAGAAAATTTAATCAAAAATCGTAGATATCAATTTGTTTTCCACGTTTCTACATAATCAAGACAAATTTCAATATTGTCAATATTATTAAGCAAATTGAAACTTCGAGCGTCATATACAGATTCTGTAGTAAACAAACTATTGGTTATTGGTTTATTCACTTTTTTTAGAGCAGGACATTATTCTATGTGCGAGGGAATACCATTCTTTATTTTAGACGTAAGAGTGTGAACACAAAAGACGATGAAACCCCCCAAATCACAATTTTGGGTGAAAGCAAGGAAGTCACCCACCTCAAATGCCACTTTATGCAGATTAACCTTTTAGCAAAGTGAAGAGAATTGTCTGGAACCGAATTCGCCAGCTCTTAATAGACCCAGGGGACCATGGAGTGGGCAGCTATTTCTTTTAATTAGATAAATCTAGAAATTGACGAAGCTTAACATCCAAAACCATTTGTCAATTAGGTCGTATTTAAATCTGGTTCACTTCTACCTACTTTACAATCGCGATATTGAATAATCATTCCGATAGACCACAGCGATGAGAATTCAATCAAGCAATTTCTAAAATAAATTTAAAGTGACTTATTTTATGGCAACGCTGATTACCGCAAGCATTTTAATTAAAAAAAGCGGTGACTTGATTAAGAAAAAATAAATCTTAATGTAAGAGGACAAAACAAGGAGATTGCAACAGCGTTTGTTGATATCAGTTTGAGAATATAGAAATGTTAAAAGGTTTAAAACAGGCCTTATAAACGGATTAGCTGTTTGTCTGTTTGCGAACTTGAGCCAGATTTGTGAGCAGGAATACCCAGGACTCGAACCAGGATTTAATGGCACGACCGTGAACCCACAAACCACCAACCGTTAATCCGCTTACCTGTCAGTTCTGTACGTTCCGTATGTGCCGCAGATTGTCAACAGCACATTACTGCCGTATCAATACCCGTTATGGATAGAAAATCATAGAAATACATTAGTTTGGTTTGTTTTGGGACTTTTTTTAAAATTTATTTTCGATTATTTTTCTAATGATAAAGTAAATCCAATTATCGTTTATGAGGCCTGTAAAAGTACAGAAGAAGAAACGTAGAACACCTAAGTGATTGTGTCACATTTCCACATAAGAAGGCTGATCCGGGATATTAAAAATCCATTCATATTCAAATCAAAAAGTTCAGAAACTATTTAAAAAATATTGAAGTTATTTTTTAAAAAACCTCTAGTCTCTTACAGTCGTACATTGTATTATGCAAGTGGTGTTACCATTTGATAATATCTTCTTTAGCAACAGGTCACAATGTATTTTTTTGAAGTCTTGTTCCTTTTTAGTGTTCTTTCAGTTTCTAGAAAGGAGAAAAAATCAGATGGAGCTTGGGAAATTGTTCCACAGCCTCCTCACAGCTCTGAACTACATGTAGCTCTGATTTATTTCAATTTGTCTAAGAATTTTTTTAACCCACCCTAGGATTATGGGATAACCAGTAGTATAAAAAATGCGAGTCTCGGTAAGTAATTTGTTGGCACGCCGAAATGCCACTTTTCCAAAGGAGGTACCATTCACTTGTGTCCGAGGTTCTTTTTGTGCTAATTTGCGAAGCGTGACTTTTTGAGGCATCAGATCCACTCTAAAGGAGTTCTGTGGGCGGTTGCCATTACGAGGGATGCGCGTGAGGAATTATCTTTATTTGCTTGATTTAAACATTCAAAAGTTATCTATATTTCATTTATTAGTCTGAACTGCGAAGAGGCATACTGCAATACCCATGGACTCGGCATCAGTCTATCTAAATTTAAAGGCATTATATGTAACAGACAAAAAATAGTTGGCAGTACTAGGGCGGTGCAATGTAAAGAGAAACTCGGCTTATACAACAGCCTGATCAATATATCGCTACGCTATTTATTCATTGGTATTGTGCTTACAAGGTCTTGCAATTTTATTTCTGCGACTCAAGTGAGCCTAAAAGAAAAAGCTCAGAAAAAGTTGTTTCACGAAAAACTTATCTACCCAGTAGTATTACTTCAATCTCACCTAAACAAAAGCTTTTTGGCACTACGATTGTGTCTACATCCACTAATGGCTCTGGAGTTTGGGAGTTTACACCTTTTTCAGACAATTCTCCTGTGAAAAACTTTGTTTCTCCAAGCAGATGCCAAGTTTACAACAGGAACACGCAATATAATGAGGCTGCCCACATGTACCGGGTACCATTCCTCATCACGATACACACACAATTACTTAGGTTATAAAATAAATATAAAAACCTAAAGGAAAGTTTTTTCTACTGCAGCAAGCATACCTCGATGGTGTACAGAAATATAGCCTTCTCAACACACAACTTTAACCATAACGAACTATCATGGAGTGAAAATGGAGGGTGTGAAAAAATTCTGAGTAATAATGATTTTGGGGATGAAATGTCGAGAAAAAAATTGCGAAATATTTTAGGAGAAGACTTACTGAAAGCTACATATGCAGTCTTGGCGATATAGCATGTCTTATTAAAAAGGCTTTATTGAGAGGGTACATGTAAACGTAATGCCCATTTAAAATTTAATTCGATAAAGAAATCTACTTAGTTGTTTTTAAATGATAGATATAAAGGTATGACTCTGACACTATAACTTTAAAAAAATCAATTTACATTTATAACTAGGTGAAACAGAACGGTTTTCACTATCGTATATTTTATATTAATTTTTATCTCTGAAACAGTCCATATATTCTTCAAATAGAAACTGGTCGGCATAACACACCCAAATAAGCCACCCCGGATATCAGAGAGGAGTCCACGGTGCACGTCATATAGGCATGGAGAATAAAATTCAATCTGTTACTGTGTGCTACAATGTGAAGAACTTCGACATCATCTCTTTCAAATCAGATCCACCATTTAATGTTCTTAGTAACAACGAAAAAAAAATCATTAAACGTATGATATGTGCAAGAAAGCCCACTGTCACTTCGTTAGCCGCATTTATTCAAGACGCCTTTGATAGAAGGAAGTTATTAATCAACTGAACTGTGCTGCATTTAGCCATCTATCATTAAAGGAAATAATTTGTAAATGAACTAACTGTTGCACATACATGCATGCATCACATTCATAAGATTTTTCCGAAGTCTAGTGTCACCTTAATGTATATATACACGTACACCTGTCAAACTGAACTAGTACATATTCGCCAGCACATGCTTGTGTATTCGTTGAAATAAAATAACTATATTTGAATTCTGTCAAAAAAAAAAAAATAAAAAAAAATTAAGCTTAAATCCCTGCAGATATTGTTGATAGCATTGATGACGGCTGTGTTCTTTATCTTGTAGTCATCTGCGTACCAGTACGCATCAAGCCCAGATTTCAACATGATGGCCATATGGAGCAGGATGCGGTGAGTATTTAGACGTTGAAACACAACGTGACGACGCAAAAGTGAATAAATTAAGTAAGCAGCCAGTTCTAAAGGGGGACACTGTTAAATCGGTTGACTTTTAAAGTTTTATGTAAGAAAAAAATCGTTCTTCTCATGGGGGTATTAATTTGGTAAATTTTTTATTCATTTTTAATAAATCAATTTAAAATGTAATAGGGAATAAGTCAGTAGTTTATTGAAATTCAGCCAAGACGTTACCGTCAATATATTCACAAACATGCCAACTCTGCGATTCCCTAAAGATAACATGATAGAAGAGGTGCGAGAGAAAAGATTTCACCACAGTGAATAATCGAATAATGAAGAAAGAGTTTGAGACATCCGCTGGGATAATACCATGGAAAAAAGGCCGGTGATGTTGAAACCAACCGCCTAAAGCTAAAAGAAAACTTAAGTCTGCCCAACTAAACTGCGAAATGAATTAAGAGATGAAGTGCTGTCGCAGGATGGCGGTGTTTCCATAACAGAAGATTCTGATTCTGATTTTGGTTCAGCTGAGGTAGCTTGCAATGGGTGCCGTCACGGTAAATTAACGTGGCCTCCTTGATCGATTAAGACGTTTTTATGTAGGCTTGTCGTGCCCAAGATCGGTAAAATGTGTGGGAAATTAATTTAGACAATTTAATTAAAAAACGTCAATCCGGACAACCCAAGTCCAAATGTAGGCCTGTACCATTTATGATTTAAAATGCTTTTCACAGAAAAGTAGAAAGGTAAATTAGAATGTACTTGATTCATGAGCATGGGTATTTTGTAACAGTCTGGAAGTAACACACACACACACACACACACACACACACACACACATATATATATATATATATATATATATATATATATATATATTACATTTTGTACTTGACTTTTGCAATCCTGACAGAAAGCAAGATAGATAAGCTCAATATCAACCTGTTTGCATTGTTTGGGATACTTCACTTTTTTTTTATAAACACTGACACGGATATTTCTTTCGGGTGTGTTGATACAGTTTCGACCTGTTATTCCCACACAAACTTATGAAAAATTAGAGAGTGTCTTTATTTTCTAATTAGAATCAGCCTACTGCTAAACCAGGGATGATAGAGGAAACGGCCAAACCGCACACGAAAGACAGCGAACATCTCCGAAAACTTACTGATGCCATGCGCACAATTCACAAAACTTACAAAGGCCACCACGCGGGCGACCTTGCCTTGATTACTGCGGTCATCAAAAATATTCAGGACAATCCAGAGATAATTGAGAGCAAGCCAGGTGATGCATACATAATTTAGCTGTCATTTCCCCGCACTTGCTACATTTTGTATAATGAGATGTTACAGTACTGATCAATAAGTTTGTTTGGTGAAAATTTATTTTAGAGGAATTTAAAAGCTTCTGTAATATTAAACTTTGTTTGGCAGTGGAAGACGATTTTGCCTCAACTGTTAATGATTTTCATTTATTTGCAGTGACACCAAAAGTTCTTGATGAAAAAAGAAAGTTAGAAACCGTTGATAATCTTGAGGAGCAGAATTTAAGAGAAGAAGAAAAGAAAGGTAATATATTTTGCGTAAGTAAATTTCTAAATGTGTGTGTCGTAATGATGTCATAAAACTTACATATCATCTGCTTTTCTTTTGCTAGGGACCGATTTATAGTTTCAGTCAAAATTTGAAATAAGAGCAGTAGCCTACACTTCATTGTGAAATACATATACGTAAATTCACTCCGACTAAAGGTACAGAAAAGAGATTTATGTTAAAATCGATTTTCCTACTGCTCCCGTGATGGCGCTGTGCCTATTATCGGGAAAGGTAGCAGCTGCGGCATGTCTACAGCAGTAACAACTTAAACGAACCTTATTAAAACATATAAGCATGAAAACAGATCTGGCAGTGTACCAGTATACCAAGTTGCTGCATCATTATATCTAGTGATTACTAGGGGCTTTTTCCATTGTGTCAAAATGAGTTTTGTTTTCATTCAAAATGTATGAAATAAAAGAAATGATATAAAAATTTTAACGCAAGGGGGATTAATGATCATAGTAAAATAGTTTATTTGACGGATTAAGGTCACATTATTCATTCAAACGCCTTTTCAAGATTAGAATTTTTCATAACGATAACTTGTAAAGGTACCCATTCATAATTTAATTGACATCACCGCTTTTTACTTGATAATGACTACAATTGTGTACTGCATATAACATAATTATACAATGGAAAAAATATAGCTGATTATTCTGTGATACCAAGCCTGTCGTCTTTTATAATGCAGCTTTGATGATGATCAGCGAACTAGAGGACGAAATGGAACGTTTGAAGAAAGAACTCGATTTTACAAAATAGGAATATAGGGAACTGGAAGAGGGTCACAAGATGACCGGTCCACTAGTTGGCCAAGATGGCAAAAGCGCAGAGGAGAAAGAGTTGTTGGTGGTTTCCCACTACGAGCCCACACAATCAAACACATTTTTGGAGAAAAACGGAGAAAATGGTGAAAAAGCCAACATGCTCGACGTGACTCCTGAAATGATCGAATCAAGTGGACAACATCGTGATGAAAAGAACAGGCCGACGGTAAGTTAATAACAAAAGAAAAAATTACTTAGAAAGAAAATTATCATACAATAACAATAAAAAAGAAAGAATTTAGATAAGATAACATAGACTGATTCAAACTTACAAAAATTGTACCGAAAGTTGTAAAATCATTTTTAGACATGCCAAGATATTAAAGAACAAGTTTTAGTGCATTCTTGTACCTAATCCTTATTATAAAAAATGTGAAGATCGAAAAATTAGAATTTCAAAAAAATAATCCGTTGCAGGAAATAGAAGCGGGCTACTTCTTGCCTTTCCCGGACGACGACAAAGAAGAAAGCGGAGACAGCATGGGAGATCTACCTCCGAGTGAAGATCCTCGCACTGCAGTAAGTTATAAACAAAATAGAATACGCATGCATATGTCACATATGGTGACTACACCCTTGACATCATAGAACTTTGCCTAAACAGAAAACCCAGCCCTCATACTTTAGAAGTATAACGTTTTTAAACGGGCTAAATTACGTTGAATACCTTGGCACACTTTTTTCCCTTATACATGTATTTTAACTGCAACGATTTATACGAAAAAAAAAAAAAAATTATCACTCAAAGTATACATTTATAATTAATTTACTATGTCAATTAAATTGCTTAATTGTCACTGTTAAGTGATGACAAAACTAAACTTTGCTTTCAGCAAGAACTCAAGCAGTTAAACGGGCCCGAAGCATCCCGCCGTCCTGGTGTATAAGATTTCTCATGTAACAGCTAGCAGAGACATAAGACGTCGGGACAGATCCCCTTTCTACAAACATTAACATTTTGCACAAATAACAGCATGGGATGCTGGCGTGCACTTTCAAATCCTGAACATTGGAAGTTTAAAAAACTTGCATTTTACAGCAAAAATATATGCACACTGTACACTCCGCATTACTCACTTCATAAAACGAATTATTGCACAAGTAGTACGTTTTCTTTGATAATAGCCAAAATTACATGAACAATGTCAACTGTGGTATTTTCGTCAGTGTCCGGTCACAGAGTAAACGAGCTATGCGAATTATCCTGTGTACTTCAAGCACACAAAGCAATATATTATTATATAAATGTTGGTCCGGTTTTTTTATTAAAATATTTTAGAAATAATCATAGAAGTTATACCACTAATTAATTCAATTAGTTTTTTCAAAAAATTATTGTAATGTGCTGGCGTCCAAGAAACTTCCTATTTGGAACATATTCAAAAGGTTCTCTTCTGTAGTTTGCATGCTAATTACTAGCCACTAGACATTATTGCAGGTAAAAAGCGATCTGTAGCTACCAGAGCACATAAAAGCATACTGCTCATATACTGTACACTGCTAGCAAAATGATTTTGTTGACAACTGTTTGCGATCTAAAAGATTTTCATACAAATAATTTATTGACACTTGATATAACAAATATACGTAACCATACAGAAATATTAAAACAATTTTTGATGCAAGCTGTAAAAAATCTTATAAAAAAAGATAAAATGCTTTTTCAAAACTTATTAAATAAAGCCTTTATTCCACTTTTATAGCTGTAGTTTTTCATCAAATAGAATAAAAATGCCTTAGATCAGCCCAAGCAATGTCTAATACATCACATCTATCACAATGACTTGCATTAGGAATCATTTTTGTGTAACCCACAAAACTCAAAAACCTGAGAAAGAAAAATATCCTTTTCTAACTTGGCAAATTCCCCAACTATTATGTTCTTTTTCCCCACATGGTAGCAAAAGGTCTTTTCTGATACTCTTGATAACACCTTTGCGAACAAAGGAAGCCCTCAACTGGAGCAGTGTACCGTCCACCAGCGTCCAGACTGACCACATCGCTGGCTATTGTGCGAAGGTCAAACCTGGCCAAGTAGTGGACAAATGAGGTGAAGCAGTAGCCACCACACAAACAAAGTTTTGCTGACTTCAGGAAGTGCAATAACATCGGTGGCAGATCTTCTTCAGTATGTTGCACTCTGGAAGACAGAACAGCGATGACATTATTGGTATAATCCAAATATAGTGATAATATTTTACAGGAGAAATGGTAACCTTGGTATACTGTAAATGGTAACCTTGGTATACTGTAAATCAAGTAGAAAGGTAAAACATCACAGAATGGATTCTGTTAACTAGATCTCTTCTCCATTTGCAATTATCTAAATATTTCAAGGCTACCTGATGTCACAGAAAAATGTAGGAATTAATGACCACAGTTAATAGAAATAAATCTCAAATGTATGGCTGCTGTCAAATGAAGTTTGTGAGAAGGCTACATGAGCTTTTTTCTCTATCCTTTTTTTTTAAAATAAAATTCTAGATATCTGTCATCAACTAAGTGTATTGATGAAGTCAATTACATTGCAGATATGTAAGCTCAGAGGAACAAATTAACAGCACTATTATTGATGAGATCATTGAAAAAACTCAAACTATGCTAGATCATGCTAATCAACTTGCCTTCCTTTCTTAATTGACCTTGCTGCACATTCTAGAAGTGATGGAAATGACAATTTGTCCACAGCAGTGGCAGGTCCCTCCAGCAAGAACTCATTACAATACAAGTCAAGTTTTTCTAACAGTAACTGTGTAAAAGTTCCTGGTAAAGTCTTTAAACTGTTTTTGGCAGCTGACAAGAATCGTAGCTTTAATAAATGACCAAACCTAGCTGGCAGGCACTGAAGTTGGTTTTCATTCATATTCAAAGTCACCAAACTTGAGAGAGCACAAAATGAAGGGGGCAAAAACTTAAGTTTGTTCTTACTGATGTTCAGAAAAGTCAAGGAGTTTCTGAGACTACTGTCACCAAGTGGTTGTGGAAACTGCTCAATTTGGTTGTCACTGACATCAAGTTCAGTTAAATGCTGTAGCTCTCCTAATGCAACGGGCAGGCTGGTGAGACAATTCCCACTGAGGTTTAAATGGCTCAGATGTTTCAACTGAATAATTCTAGAATCAACCTTCTTGAGGGAGCACCCATTAATGGTTAGAAACTCCAGACTGCTAGGGAACCCCGTAGTCAGGGGGTAGTCTTTGCGCTTCAATATGGTCATTCTGGTCTTTGGTTTTTCGACTTGTTTGGCTGATGCTGGGGCAAGTGTGGACAGGGTAATGTTACCAAGATCTCTACCCAAAGCTCCCACCTTCACAACATTTAGAAAACTCTTCAACTGTATGGGGTCTGCCTGCAAGTAGATATATTTTTGTAATATTCATAAATTCATTTTAAATATGAATTTCACAGTTTTTATATACTTATTTTACAGTAAACTCCACTTAACTGGTCATCTTATTAACTAAATTATCCTCGATCTTGAACAAATTTTGTGAAATGGATTTCTCTTTGATGTCAGATGTAACTTGTGACTACTGCTCTTATCCAATCTTTGTGGAACTCGCACAAATTTTCCAGGGCCAAAGTCTACTGTAATTCAACAACTTCCAAAAGTAATGGCACTGAAGAGGAGATGTCATATGATTTTAAATAATTGTCTTTCTATGACGTATCAGTTCTAATTAAAGATACAGAGAATGCCTTGGTGATGATAATTTTAAGATTTACCATGTTTCCCCCTCAATAAATAAATAAATATTTTTTTAATAAAAAACAGAATTTGCAATTCTTTAGGAAGATAATCAGGTGAGCAGCTCACATTTCAAAGTTACAAAATCCTTGAAGAACAGCATCCATAGCCAACATGTAAATAATCAAACATAGAGCAATTTAATTCAGACAACCATGGAAATAATGAATTAATTGATTAATAAATAACTACCTGGGCCCAGTTTTATAACGGACGTTTAGCACTAACCAGTCGGCAGTGGATAAATTCTCCTAACACCCGTTAACTGAAAGATGGTTAAAATTGTGTTTCATATCAGCCAGTTAGTTAACTGTCCTGTGTTTTACTGGATAAAATATTTTAAGTTCAGTTAACTAAACGGTTGTTTAAACTCTGTTTATGAAACACAATTTCAACTATTGTTTAGTTAACGGGTGTTAGGAGAATTTATCCACTGGTAAGACTTAAACACTGGTTAGTGCTAAACGTCCTTTATGAAACTGGGCCCTGATGACTTACTTTACACAAACATATGTCATGTGGTGGGTCCTTTAGTCTAATTGTAGCCTTTCCTTCATCAATAAACTTCATAAACAGCTGTTCAATATTGTTTTTAAGCTGAAGAAAGAAGGTAAATACAGTTTATGGCTAGTCATTTTTTTTTTATTTTATGTTAATTCTAACATCAAACCAGGTAAACCATGAGTGTGCAATTAATTTCCTCTACATATCTTTTAAGTCAAACTACCGTTTCCATTTTCGGGTGTTTTAACATTTTAGACCAAAGAACTGGTAATCACTGTAAACAACATGTCAACTCATCATAATTACTACCTTATACCGTCCAAAGCACTTCATCCAGTTTTACAAATAATTCACGGAACTATGAAAAAACAGAGCTATGACATACATTATAATGCAATGAACAAAATATACTTAAATATCTAGCAATAACTTGATCAGTTGGTTGTTTTGAAATATCAGTTACCACATATTTGGTCCCATTCCTATCTTTTGCAGTGCACATCATAAGATAGACCACCCCTTCCTTGCTCTCCCCACTGGCTGAAGGCTTCTTGCCAACTGATAACTGAGTTCTGGTAAACTTGGTTTTCCCTCTCATGTTAAATGAGGGAAGAAGCCTGTTGCCAATATCTGCTTCACATGTGATACGCATTTTCAACTTTCAGTGTTTACCTGAAAATAATTTTAAAAAATTTTAAAAAGTGCAACTAGCGTAACAAAGCTTTCAGTTTAGCCTGGGCAAAGACAACCCACATTTTCATTTTATTCATACACTTTTTAAAATCATACAAATGTTTTTATTTTTTCTTTCCTTTTTTTATGGGGGAGGGGAGGGGGCATTGAAGAATTAACAAAACAAGAGAAAGATATATCGACAATTCTTTAGACAATATAATTTTCTTTTAGAAAAACATGTATAGCAGAGATTCCAAACTCTCTAACAGCAACAGTTTGATATTATAACGGTTATATCACCAGTTTACTGTNTATCTGTGCATGCAGCTAGTGGTATATGACTTTTGGAATGGCTATTTAAAGTTGCAGGACCAACAGATTATCTTATCTGCTGACAACAGTGGTCTGTCTTGCTACAACAGTTGTTTATCACTGGCAGGTGATACCCAGGTGATATTGATACATATGAGTGGATGCATTTTCTCTAATCTTATCTCAATCAGTTACAAAAAGCTTGGCTTTTCAACAGTGTGCAATACATGGAGGTGAGAGGTAAGGGGAAAAGGTTGCAAGGTTCTGTTTGCAGATAATGATTTTTTTTTCAATGGTCAACAGAAGTGCCTGATAACTTAAACTTTGCAAGTACAGGTAGAAAAAAATATTTAACACATCCTACAAACTGCTTTTAATAATTATCATGGTACGAAAAATTCATTTTGTCTATGAAAAGTTATAGTAATAATCTTTCTACTTGAATTGTTAAAGTTGCCAATTTTCTCCCCACCCCTCCAATTTCTTGATATCCTATATCTGCTGATGCACCTGAAATGAACTGATCTGTAACAAAAGTTAATGAATGAATATGTGCAATTTGAATCATGGTCAAGCAATCTTATGAGTACTAAAGGTTTCCACTGGTTTAGTCATAGCAGGGGTTTCATTATTCATGTTAATGTATGGATTAGTTAGTAGTATTAAAAGTTCACATTCAGAATTTGTCAACAATTGTAGAAAAGTGTCTATAAACTCATGTAAGTACAGTAAGTGTCAAGTTAGAGAGCCAAGCAATCTTTGGGTTTGCAACATAAATGGAACATACATACCAATATCAAATCTGAAAACTTGCATGAAAAATGGTGTCAATGGAATTTAGGCCAGTCACAAATGCTGTTAGGAGTTATAATTGTATTCTGCATGAAATACACGTATCAAGAATAACCTAATCTGAAAACTTGCATGAAAAATTGTGTCAATGAGAGTTAGGCAGGTCACAAATGCTGTTAGGTTATAATCATATTCTGCATGAAATATACGTATCAAGAATAACCTAAGAGAGGAATTCCAAGTTCTAACAAAATTGAATTTTGAATAGCAACTTTCTGCCTTCTATATTCCCCTCTAGATGACAATAGTTTTTGTAAACCAATATAAAACGTGTCTTACAAGATTTGTATGAAATTGTATCTGTTTTAACAATGAGTGCTGCTTAATTACTTCTCAACTACTGAACTACATTGACATATGACTAGGATATTACCACATAGGCAATCTTGGAAAGATGGAAATTTTAGGGATAAACTTTTCAGGTGAATTTCATATAGAAAGAAAAAGACCAAATACAATTGTGCACAAACACTAAAGCATTTTGTCTAGCATGCCCTTTTTTCTCTAGTTCTACATGTACATCACCTGATGCATAAGGCCAATACATGTATTCAGCCCAAATTGCAATTATTTGCATTTTCTCATATCAGCTGACCAAAATTCCTTCACTTTGCCTATTTCACATGCATATTACTCTGCTCAAGTTATTTCTAGAAAGAAATAAATGATGTAAATGCCAAGCTCCCATGCTTGTTTTCTGTTAAATATGAAGTGTCTGTGACAAAATTTTGGGGCTACTAATCAAAACTGGGCAACCTACTAGTACATGTACAGTACATGGGAACTTGATTATTTTTGAAAATGTCCCGAAAAAATGTCATTAATTGAACACATGAATATATCTCGATCAGGACCTAAATGCAATAGCTAAATAATTTAGACAGCTTATTTATATGTGACTATCTGTTTATTTATACATGGATGCCCGTATAAATTCACCAGAAAGAATCATGTTGAGTTGGTTTGAGTTTCCAGACTAAGGTGAAGTGCTCTATAACTTGGTACTTACGTGAATCTGGATGGTAAAGAGGCCCATATAAAATATATTGATATCACTAAAATTTGCTCTTAATAATTCTACACCGACCAATGTGACATACCCCAAATCAACTCAATAACGACGTAAAATACTGCGAAAATATTTCACAATTGACTCTCGCGCTGCCTCCCGCGCTAAATCGAAATGTACTTCCTGGTCATATTTATGCTCCACTTCCGGTTATCAGAGTAAAATGAAAATCAACATATTACAGTTATAAGACAAAACAAAGCTATTTTTATCCATTTATAATGGCCCAGTATAAGACTGATTATTTTCTTTTCCTTATATCTATAAACTGAACGCCTTTCCTTCTCTGTCTTCTTAGGGAATTTAGTCTCGCGGAGTGAAGTCAACTTTACGAAATGATACAAATTGCTGTTTCCACTCAATCGATAAGCGCGTAGCAAGATTGTTTAAAGAAATCGCTGAAGTAGAGATGTGTTGCTGCTGATGGCGTTAATGTCCGTTGTATCTGATGCATTGATCTATATTCATCGCTGAGCACTATGGAACGCAGCACTAAAAAGTTCTTAATTTTAGTAGTAAGTTACGTGTTTTTCGTTGTGATGGGAGCTGCGGTCTTCTCAGCCATTGAAGGACAGATCGAAAATGAGAAGACGAAGGAATTAAGAGAGTTTAGACAGGATTATTTAGATCTGCACAAATCTTGTCTCACAGGTATTGGAGCATGCTGTCAGGACAGTGACATTGTAGTGTATTAATTACACGTACATGTTTCTGGAACTGATAAAAAGATCTTTGCAAAAAAAGTTTGTTAAATTCAGCAAATTCAGTATATATCCTCTGTATAAGTAAAATACCCAGTGCATGCAGACTGAGACTAATACTGGAGTTGTTCAAGCGCAAAAATATACACTATTCTACCTAAAATATATGTTGGCTTTTATTGTCGAGAGTGTTTGCATGGTTTATAATGTTCCATATCATTCTTTATTATTTATGAAATTATGTAAAACCAAATGTGTTGGCATTAAAGCGACAGCTTGTGGGTTTTTTCTGTTTCTATGTCATTTGCCAGTAATAATAAATGGAGTAATGTTGCAGTTAGCGGGAAGTGAAAATAAATGCAATACAAATGCTCATCTGTGTTATTATGAAAATAAATAAGTTAAAGATGAGGTTGTGTTTTTTTAAAGATATTAATTATATCTTGATATAAGATCCCATGAGCTATCCCTTTAAACTTTTCAGAGTTTTTTCACATAATCAGGATTGCTTAGTTTATGATTTGTTTTATATTTTTGCACTGCTTTAAGTATTGTCTTGTAATTCTATCAATAAACTTTTAATCATAATTTTTGAGTTCTTTGTTGACTTCTTTTTTTGCCTGTGCTATGACTGGACATCTTTACTGAGGATGGCTGTGCAATTTCAGTTTGGTAGAAAAATATGTGCTATTTCTGATCAGCTGATAATCTTTTTCATATATATTTATATATAAGGCATTGATGCTTTGTACATTTTTACATCCTTCTGCTCTTTGAACATTATTCCTTGCATAATGAATCCATTTAATTTAATTTACCTACTTCCACTGACATTTGTACAGAAATTTGCTTCCATTGTCTGTCTGGACACCACATGATTTTTGTCCAAAAGGTCTCAACTGTCAAAAGTGTTTTGATGGACAAAGGTCACATCGAAGTGTGCATACCTATACATCATATCAACACAATGTGGATGTCGAAAATTCCATCAGTACAGTAATAATACATACTGGATGATGTGTAACACATCCTTCACTGTAGAATTGTAGTAATAAATGTATTGGCGATATGCTGAATTCAACTTAGTGGTATAAACTGTGTAACACTGTCTTCAGACTAATCAATAATGCATTCTTTTAAGGTCTCTCTCAAAAGACCTTGAGAAATCATTTTGTAAATGAAAAGTCAACTTGCACGAATTAAAACAACCCTTAGATACTTAAAATATATGTAGCTACAGTATATACCTCCAATATCTCAGAATAGAATCCAACTTATAAGCTGATAAGTTAGACACTTTGAATCCAAACAGGACCACCAACCACCTATGGCTGTGGTATACATGTTATTATGAAAAATATATGAGCCTGCATGTTATTAAATTTACTGAGTAGAATTTACTTAGATCATCAATCTGTACAATGTACACGTAATTTGGGTCTTAGAGCTAGATTAAGGTATGAATATTTCAGTGATGGATGCATGGCAAGTGTAATTTGGCTTCACTGGATCGTTTATCTTGTCTACCAACTATCGTCCTTGAAAATGGCATCATCATCTAAAATGCAAGAGGAAGGAAAGTACCAAGTCATTTAGGCACATTTTGTACTCACTGGATATCTGCTGCTGTAGACGCTTCCTAATAGTTCAAGTAAACTTATGGCGAAACCTTATGTTTATGTCATGGTAAGGATGATGTGATGCTTATGAAATTGATGTGGCCAAAGAATGAAATAATTTTATTAAATTATTTTAATAATAAATATTTTGATACAGCTATGAATAATTTCTTATAGTTGAAACTAAATTTGTAATTAGTTCATTGTAAAGACATAAATTATTTCACCTACAGAAGTACTGTCATCATTTTTGATTATTGCTCAAACAGAGAAGTGATGAACTCGATACAACAAGCTTTGAGATTGCTTGTTTTTGCAATAGCATTAACTTCATATTATGACATTTAAGATACATTGAGATGAAAAAAAGAAGGGCTTTGATGACAGTTTTTTAGTTCTGTCTGTAAGAAATAGACATTTGATTTCAATTCCTGTAGCTAATGTTCATCCTGCTGATCACTTACAGTAGCTTGACATAATGGGGTATTATTCTGAACCAGAGGCCAGATGGGTAATGACGGCTTTTTTTTTTCAAAAATTCTTGCTTGACAGCACAGAATTGTGCATAGAGAAGCCAGAAAAATTTCTTTTTAAATATCTTGTGAGAAATGTTCTTTGTGACTCAGGTAGGAAGTAATTGGGTATTGCAGTCTATTTACTGAATATGAACAAAAATGGTTTCTGTGAAAACATTAAAATCCACTTTAAACCGAATTGGTAAAAATTTGCCAATTTTTGAATTTTTATTCTCATAAATGTCAGAACTCTCTGACATGTCACTAAATACCACTTAACTATTAGTAATGGTGTTGCCCCTGACACCTAGAATTTTTGCTCAATAGCTGTGGTATTTTTATGGTATCATTAAATTAAATGATGATAGTCTAGAAACAATGTCAGAATTAATTGTTATGTAGCTTCTTTTGTTTCTTGAAAAAGGTAATATATTTTTTTTTTGTGTGCCCTTGCATGTTGCTGTCTCTCTCTCTCTCTCTTTTCGGTGCACATATCCTAATATCTGACAGGAAGGTGAATTCCCATTATTCCAAATTACTATCCTTTCACCTGTGGTTGGTACCAGTTTGGGACATTTCTCTTTAACCATGTGATGTAATATTTATGGTCAGTGATTCCTTTGAGATTGAATAATCTTTACATTCTTTAGTTCAATTTTACTATTGCCTGCAATTTGGTCTGGTAACCATTTTAAGGTGTACATGTTTAGTGTGTGTGTGTGTGTGTGTGTGTGTGTGTGTGCGTGCGTGCACATGTAGGTTGGGGGGGTCTTGACATATTTTGTAATTGTATATGAAACATAACTTACTTTATTTTGTTGTTAATTTGTTAAAAAAAAGCCCACTGGGACAGATTAATGCAGAAGGCTTGTGCTAGCGCACAGACCTAGTCACGATTTATTCTCCCCAAGGTAATAATTTATAACCTACTTTACTTGTACACCCATGTATCACCAAATTAAATACTGCAGCTGTTTAGTAATGCATAGGTAGTGTTCATAACAGCTAAACTCCACATCTGGGAAAACCGAGAGGGGATTGGTTAAATATAGAATTACGCATTAAATATAGGCTTTAGCTAATATGTATGAAGCTCATTAAATTTGAGTTCGTTTCCAAGTGATGATAATTTTATATATGTCTTAATTGGCTATTTCAAGTGAATTGACTGATATTTATGACATTATAGAAATGAAAAGTTAAATGAAAAATGCAGGGGGAGGGTGGGGGACAAATTTAAAAATGATTTGAAGTTTAAAAGTTATAAGCAGTTCAAATCTGAAAATGTCAAAAGCATTCGTGTTTCTCCTGCTATTTTTTTTTTTTTTTTTTTTTTGTTTCATACTGGTAGTGTTGGGCGGCTACAAGGTGAATTAATGGGTTTGTTGGTGTCATTAATTGCTAGGTATTTGCTGCAGCTACAGAGATGAATTAATTTTAGACTTGGTTAAAGAGACTGTTTAATATGATTTTTGCTGTCTGAAATCTTTGTGATAAATATCATACTTGAATAAGATATATCTTACACCAATATTCACAAGACCTTATACATGCTTTTAAAATACAGAAATTATATTTTTAAGTATTTTATAGAGGGGTGGGGATGGGTGAGATGGAGTTCAACTGCTTACCTGTTTTAAGCCAAGATACAAAAAGTACTAGTAACCAAAATAAAATGGTAACCAAAAAAGAAACCTCATTTTGTTTTAAATTTTGGGCCGTTTGCCTAGAATAAACTCATTGTCAGTGGTAAATGTTGTGAATTTGTTAAAAAATAAAAGCAAGTCCCCCATTTAATGTCACCCTAATGTGTAAAGCTCTGATTTCCTGATCCCCCTTAATCATATGCAAATGATGTTATCGTAGTCATATCTAGAGTATATACCCCTCTCTGTGTGCTTAAGATCTGCTCTACATTGCTGGTGTTTTATTCGTGAGTTATTAATACAGGCAGACCAGGTGTAAGACAGTCAAGTTATGTGGCTTCCAGGATAAAAAGTCCATGTACAACAGTCTGCGCTCCAGCCTAGCCTCTGTTGTTAAACTTAGCTCTTAAGTGTAATAATAGAGTTATTCAATCTTGAACAAGTGGAAAGGGCATCTTTTCAGTTTTGGGGTCAGATTTGTGAGCTGACCTGTTTTCTGACAGCCGTACAGTGTGAGGCTTGCACCAGGATGACATTATTGGTGTTTAACTGCAGTGGTTAAGTCCAACAGGATTTACAATTGACAGGTTGATGCAACAACATATGGTACATAATTAGGGGACCTACAGTGGGTTTTCTATTATAGTTGGTAGCAGATTCTACAGATGAAAGTTGTGATGAGGACTCTACCACATTAAAAATAATGCCGGAGAACAACAGCAGTAAGTGGACAGGACTACGGCTGGCCCTACTAGTCCTCTTCTTGGTCCTGTATCTGGTGATAGGATCAGTAGTGTTTTCTGCCTTGGAAGGACCCATGGAGCAGAAGGAGATAGATGAAATAAAGAAGTTACGAGCAGAATTTCTTGGAAATCATTCTTGTATCAGTGGTAAGCATAATCCAGTACCATTATACTTCAAGGCAACTTTGGAACTGTTTATTTGTTTTATATTTGCTCTAACCTGTATTTTTTTTAGGATGAATATTATATCTTATTTTATGACTTTAAAAGGAAATTGAGGATAATCTTTGCAAACCAATTGACATTTGTTGTACAAATTTATATGATTTTGCTTAATATCTTAGAAACTAGGTAAATTTTGTGACATTTTAATATTATATATATATTATACCGAAAGAGAAAAATGAAGTAAATCAGTGTGCTTGTTCCATGTTTTTTGTGCCCTGGAAACAAACAGACAAACTGATTTATTTCATTTCTCTTTATATATATGTGTGTGTGTGTGTGTGTGTGTGTGTGTGTGTATGTGGTAGTTATTTGTGAATCCATCTATTCATAATGTTTGTAAGAAAGCCCCCATAAGAAACCTCAACAGGTATGGGTATAAAATGATAGATAAGATTATCACTTGTGGTCTGTCAGATATTAACAGCTGTAATGTCAGTTTGAGTTGCATGTCGTGAATATTCCAGACACCATATTTCATATCAAGGTTCTCTTTAATATATTCACCCAGCCTTGTCCACTCATGCCTGTATAGATCCTATAAATGGGGTGGCGATTAAGCCAGTGTGTCAGAACTGAGTGTTATTTCCTTGATGGAAGAGAACATGCAATGTATATAGTTATGTTTTTGACATTTCTTAATTTTTTCATGCTAGAAGATTATAGCAAGCTAAAGTTTTTATGAAATGAACAATACACTGGCAAAGTGCAATTAAATTTCATTTCATTTTGATGGTAAAGTATTTATAAAAGTCAGCTGATAATGTAATATTGATAAACTCATTTGAAGAAAAATCAGTTTCCTCAATGGTTTATCTTACTAAAGGGTAATACACATGTCTGAACTAGATTTAATTTCAGTGTAAGCAGCTTAATTGACTTATAATATGTTAATTATAAGTGAAAATAGATCTTATTAATTTAGCTTCTACAACTATATATATATATATATATATATCAAGACAAAGACAAAATACAAAACGAAACCAGAATATATCATGTATACCAGTAATGTGCAGCTTAAAGACTTGGCACCTGTTAACCTATAATGTATATACATTGTATACATCCTGGCCTTAATTTAAGCATCAAGCATATTTATTCTAAGGTGGCTGTGTAAAAAAAGAAAGCTGCATGTTTTAAAGCTGAATCAATAGCTTGAATAAAAAGTAAGAACACATAAATGACTATATAGTGATCCATTTGAAAATCTTAGTGTTGGGTTGTCATGTCAGTTCTCTGCGTTTGTCCTAGGGTTTAGCTTAAGAGAAAGAAGAAATATACAGTTGCACATTGAAGGTCATTTACATACTGAGTATAATAGTATGTTCCAAATGACACATGGTTAGGATGTAACTGAGGGTGCTTTTCATCAAACAAATTGGCCTAATGTTTTTCTTTAATTAATCTTTTTTGCATGTATTGAATTAGTTACTTCAAATATCAATTTTACTATGAATTAAACTGCTTTAGTTCTGCTTGTTTCATTTTGTTGAGGCTCAAATGTGTACTGCTTGCCTTTCTAAATAGGAAATTTACCAAATTAACTTTGTCAGCACTTTATTTAGAATGCAATTAAGGTGATTACCAATTCAGCTCTCAACTCCATCAGCTCATTCCTCACAGTGCTCATCTTCTTAGGCAAGCATTACATATACAATAATGTATCAAGGAAGTGGATAGTACATATACAGACCAAGTTGAGCTTTCTCCAAAGACCCATAAGACAAATGAATCATAGGAAGGGCTGACATCTTTCTGTTCACTAATGAAGTTAATATGTAAATTAAAGATTAGTGGTTCTGTTGTAGTAGACAAGGAAATGGAGACCAGTGCAGCAAATTCACAGAGGTGCCATTACATAAGGCATGTTAAAGGACACGTTTAAGAACATTCACCTGCCTTATCTTGAGGGCAACAGTTAAGAAGTACACCAGGGTCTCGGTGTAAGAATAAACTCTACCTGCTGATAGATAAAGGAACATATAAATCTGATAGCAAGCACATCAAATGAAGCCTTTGCAACAGGGTGCTTTATTTTTGTCATGTATTGATGTACATATGATATATATATATATATATATATATATATATATATATATATATATATATAATTTGATTTTATCACTTGAAGTCACTTGCTTCAACATCTTGTAGATCTTAATTTCATGGCTTGATTTATAATTTATTTCACTTACAATTTTTACTTATTACAAATTTTAACTAGTGTACTTTTTAACACAAATTCTTATGGTTGTCTCAGACACTGGTCTTCAGTTTAGTTGGACACTATGCCATATTTCCCCACACTGATGTTTTTTTCCACTTCATGTGCATGAAGACATGAATAGAATTTATTTGTGAGCATGAATGAAATAACATAAAAACATGAGGTTATTGACATCACATAAATTCGCCTTCAATTCTGCTATCTTAATATGTTCCATATATCCCATTTCCAGATGCAGAACTTGAGCGTTTGATAGTCAAAATTGTAAAGTACAGTGAACGTGGCGTGTCTGCAGTGCGCAATGCTACAATGGAACCAAACTGGAGCTTTGGACAGTCCTTCTTCTTTGCTGGGACAGTTCTCACCACAATAGGTAACTTCACAGTGGCTATTGCCATTTTTAAGTACATGCCCATGACACCATGCAGTACTGTCATCTGAACTTACTCCTGTCTTACTTAAGGAAGTGGCTCATCCTTTATTTCATTGAGTAGTCTGTTTATACATTACACGTTTCCATAGAAACTAGATGGTTATGTGAATAAGCATTGTGAAATTATGAAAAAGAAAGATTTTTCCAAAATATAGTAAATGTAACATCTTAAAAGTAACATATGAAGTGAGCATGGAGTTCCTATGATGCATATAAATCATTTTCTATTAGTTTCTTACAGTATATGCTAATAGAGTCCACTTGACAAAAGATAAACCAAATAAATTACTTGATTGGTCAATTAAAAGCTGTGAAACTGCATCTTTTTCAAAATTCTCATCAAAAACTTGACCTATTTATCTGTCCCTCCAGTTCTTAAAAGTCCGCCAAATGACGTTATGTATAATTGCACAACTGCCGAGTGTCCAATAGCACAATATGTAAATGAGAGGCAGAAATGGTCTGGGGTTATATCTATCTATCTATTTATCTATCTATCTATTTATATATATCTATACAACAGAAAATACCTGTTCAAAAGTTGTTCCTTTTAGTTATGCCATTTTAATCAAGAGCGCATTCAGAACATCAGACTAACAGATTTGCAGATTGAATGCTTGTTGCATAATCCCCATTGAGAATCTATTTTAGTGCTTAACCAGAAATTAAGTGACAAGCTTTTTAATAGGTGAGTGACTATTATTTTATCCGTGGATCTGCTAGTCCACTGTTCTGAATGCGACTTATATGACTTGATCAGGTTTACTGACAAAGATTACACTGCATTTGTAACTTTGAAGAATAAAAAAGACAGATGTAAGAATCTGTGAAAATGTTTCCCATTGCCATTACTGTATATAAGCAGCTCTGTCCTCCAAGAATCCTAAAACTTATTTTGAGAAGCTGCTGCAACAAGTTATTCGCAGTGGACTCCCAACTTTGAAAAAATAACATTAATCTTGTTAAATAAAGTGCATAATGCCAGTGTGGATAATAACACTTGTTGTAAATACAGGGAATTTGCCACAGATATTGGATTACCCACAAGACTAATGCATTATCCAATAATTGTCAAACAAATTATCTGAAGACAGAAGTATGGATTTATGTAATTGAGCTTGTCTTAATTTTCTTTCCTCTTTGAGGTGCATGAAAATTTGTCTTGGGCACTTACAAAGATGCATTGTATCTTGATGTTACATATTTAAATGTCTCTAAGTAGTCAGAAAATTCAGTGGTCAAAAAGTTGATTGGATACCAGATTAGCTATAGATTATTATGATTATTGCTACTATTTTTATTAGATTAATTCTCAAAAGTTTAAAACTTCAAATTGTGTCAAATTTTTTCCTAACTAGTAAACCTGACTGATAAACCTTCAGACTGTAGGGATGCTTCCTCATGTTTTTAACTGAGAATACCACACTGGGCTGACAAAGCAGATACATGTAGCTGATTTATTTATAGGTCTCATCAGCTTTTTGTGATTTTATAGAATTTTTTTTTCATAAAATGCATCAAATAAAACAAAGTATACTGGTGTCAGTGGTTATATACAATAGTGTTTATATTCTATATGGAAATACCACACAATAAGTATTGAGACCAAGCAGTCACGTTTGAAGCTAAGAGTCCATTGCAATAGTGCATGTTGTTTAGCAGTAAAGATGAAATGATAATGGCACTTTTATATGTCTGTTAGATTGACATCTGTGTACAAGTAATTTAATATAGATTTTATATTTAATACCTAAAGCCAGGTATGCAGCTATAATAGCTGTTAAAGAGTCCATCTGTTTTGGGCAAAGTATTTGATAAAGACATCTTCTGATGCACTTGATTGAAAACCATTTCACCAAGAGAACAGCAGCTTTCATGACTGCTGCACTGATAAATTATATATTTGATTAATTCTTATTTTTCACAGTTGATTGATAAAGGAAATCTTTAAAAGAATGATGATAAAAAGGCCATTCATCTTGGAAATCAGCACATCTGATACCAGATATTGTTACAAGTAATCAGAAAAAAGATCATCATGATGATTTCTTTCAATCATATTTCACTATACAAAATGCAGTTATGGTTCAGTGTAATATGCCTTCAAAGTATCAGATTATGTGCTGTAAGCAACCCTTGTGATGTTGTACTGGTACAGCATGAAGAAAGTTAATGCACTTTGAAGCTAAACTTCTTCCACGTTATCATGAAAAAGGGAAAACATACCATTCGTAATTAACATTATTACTTGCGAAAAATTTTTCTCAAGTATATTGGTCTGCTTTTTTGTGCATTTGTGGTCAATTTTTTGTCCTGTAGAAGAGGCCACAATTTTATTTGGAGATTTTTGTTAAAAAAAATTAATAGATTTATAAGAGACCCAGGATGAACTGATTTATTTTTTATAAGGATCAGATTATGACTGGCAATATTTTAAAATATTTTAAAATTTTGAACTCTCATTTAAGATAGATGTCTGTGAAGAGAGAGTACATGAAATGACAGACACAGTAAAACTGATTACGCTTGTCACCCCTACTATAATTCAGACAATGAATGAATGCTATAATTGTAAACTGCAGGTGATTACTGTTAGAGTGTTCCATCAGCCACTATCACTGGCAACATAAAAGCTACTAGTAGGTTATAATACTTCTCCAGCATGCTTTGGTAAAATTTTCCAGAGATCAAATACTAACTGACTGCGCATGATCTCTGTATCTGTGGCTGAGAGATCTGGAGTCTCCAAAGACAGTGTGTTTTAGTTCAATTGGCCAAACTTTCTCTACTATATACCCTACTGAGAATAAAAACTATTCTCTGTATATACTAATATTACTATACATAAAATGAAGAACTTAGAAAAATATATCAAAGTGATTCCTGTAGAAAGATATATTGAGACCAATAATTTTGAAAGACACATCTGGTAGAGCTTTAATTGTATTATATTTTGCAAGTCCTTGCTCTGTTGAGCAATTTTAATTATTTGTTTTTTAACTTATTTCAGGTTATGGTCATGTGGCCCCTTTGTCAGATGGAGGGAAGGCTTTCTGTATATTTTACGCTTTAATTGGGATTCCATTGACTCTGATCATGTTCACTGCCATTGTAGAGCGCCTCAACATCCCAGTGACAGTCTTTCTACAGTATTTGCTGAATAAAATGCAGCATTTAGCCTCACCATTTCACATAAGACTGGTGCATTTGTTCCTGGTCATTGGACTTGTGCTGCTCTTCATTTTTCTCATCCCTGCTGCCATATTTACTGCTCTTGAGGTGGAATGGAACTATTTAGATTCATTTTATTATTGCTTCATCTCCATGACAACTATAGGACTTGGAGATTATATCCCGGGAGAACATCCAGACCAGCAGTCCAGGACTGTGTATAAAATAGCCACAACAAGTAAGTAATATTTAGATCTGCTCTTTTATTTGGTCACCAAGACAAGGCACATGTTCAGAGGATGAGAATTTGCCTTAGACTTGGTACCTATCGTACCAGCAGGATCGATCCAACTCCGAGGGGATTCTTGCTAAATTGCATTCAGTTTAAGCAGCCTAAATGTCTGTCACGCCCACTGAAGCTGCTAGGGGATATTTAACTTTCATGCACACTTAATCTGAGTTTAACAAATAAACTTAATTTGGCGAGAATCCCCTCCGAAATAGATCAATCCTACTAGTACAATAGGGTTATGGGAATAGTCCCTTTGACTGAACGATACTCTGGATGCTATCAAACAGTCAGTTGGATATAAAAGGTTTCCTTTATTAACATGGAGATTTAAATTAGAATGGCCACAAAAAGTCATGTTTTTTTTTTCATAGGTCCACACATGCTTGAGGAGACCATCAGTTCGATAAGGTGTAATATTGAATTGCTTTAGTTTCAATGCCAATTTCCTCTCATTTTTACAACAGGTGTCTTATGTGATATTCAAGTTAAGGCCAAGCATTTCCTGTAAACATGAATTAAAACCCACATCTTGGTACATGCTAATCACTCTCAAAGAATTAGGAAACTGAAATACAGCTGGTACCTTTGAGACTCAATTGCCACCCACAGATATTGATTGGAAGACTCGAGCCACCTGATCAATGATAAAACAAAACAAATAATTGATTTCTTGAAGATGGTGTTACTTAGTGCCATGGAAATGAAAAAAAAAAAGTATACATGAGGGACAAATGATAAAAATGCTAATGTTACATTGATTTGTACTTAAATCGAGTGTAATTAAATCAAGTAAGTTGCCACAGGAGTATAAAAAGGCAATTTTGTTCAGTTCAATTATTTTTACAGGCAATTTTTTTCAGGATGTGCCCTGAAATAAAGCTGAAGATATTTTTAAAACAAAAACATGCCTTATTTATTTTACCAATAATTTTGCAATATGTATGATTCTTGTTGTTTCAGTTTACCTGTATCTTGGGCTGATTTTCATGATGTTGATGATAGCTGTCCTCTATGAGATTCCCGAGCTCAATCTCGGAATTCACTTCTACATGGCCACAGCGGGGAGTGGAGACGGGGAGACAACATACTTACAGGCCAGGAATGGAGGCCCAAACTACACACAGCAGATTGACGAGCCAGTCCACACTATAACTAAGTCATACAAAAGGCAGCTTACCAGTGATAGTGATGAGGAATCGCCAGCAGCAGTTCAGAATAAATAGAACATGGCCATACGCAATATATTTTGGTTTTGTTTTTTGTTAATTGTTAATTAATAAAAGAACAACATGAACATGTTTAAATTAGTTTATTTGTCTGGTGAACTCCTATAAGATCTTATATTTCTTTTTATTTTAGAAATATAAATCTTTAATCAATTTGAAAGTTTAGACTTGCCAAAAATATTGAATAATTTTAGATAAAGCTATTGTTGATTAGCATATTGTGCTAACTTTAAACCCTCTAAATGCCAAGTTCCTTTCCATTTCAGTGGTGTTATATTGATCAAAGAATGTATGTTTTGTTTTCCCTGGAGAAATTTATCCTAGCTAATGTCTTATTTGATTGACTCCTGTAATATTTTTACTTAAATATTACTATGGTAATGTATGTTTTTAACTGTTTTTGTTGTTGTTGTTGTTGAAAGGGACATATTTTGTGTACTTAAGGTAAAGGTGAGTAAATTAAGTGTTTCTGACAATGGCATTATAGATTTAATTTAAGTAATTATGTCACCAGTTGAAGTTGAGCATGTGCCATTTAGACTGATGAACTTGAGCTTAGTGTAACAGATTCCATGTTTGATATGGACATTTAAAGAAAGCATTACTAAAGAGATTATAGAGTATAACAGAAAAATTAAGTCATAGTGTACAAGATGTAGGCATCATTTGATCTGTACTTTCTGATTTTCCCCAAAATTTTCAAAGCAGAAACATGAATATTTTAACACCCATTCTTGAGCAGGAGAAGTAATTTCAAATGTAAAGTAAGAATATCTTGATTAAATATTGGGATATATAGTTTAATTTGCAGTCTAATGAAGTATACCAATAATTAAGATGTAACAAGAAACCATTTTCTTTGAGAGTCAGGTAACCAAATCAGGGTAAAAGCTCTTTGGCAAAATTATGGACCCATCCAACTTGATCCAAGATAAAATAGAACACTTGGCAGTTGCATCCAGTTGAACAATAATATTTTAATGTCGGACTCGTACAGCTATCGAGTTTTGTACTCAGTGTTGTCATCTTATCCAAGAAAGAAAAGGTTACATATCATATCTGCATATAAAGCTTAGGGGAGAAAAAAGATGAGTACATGTCTTCTGGTTGTGGATCTCACCTTCGGTGCACCAACAACCTATGTATAATTTGAAAGCTATACTTCATCCAAATATTGAGGTGTCTAGTATTTAACCTACTAAATTAGGTGGTTGCAATGAGTTCAATGTATTTTTATCCTCTGGGCTTTTTAGGTGCCAAAGGCAATTGTGCAAGTTTATTTTTAGTATACCACACACATTATGTGATGCTCCATATATATAATAATGCTTTAGTTATGTATACAGGTGTAGTCAATATTATAGCGATAAACATTTTCAGAATTATCTGATGATCCTATGTGGATCTGTGAGCATCTCTTAGAAAAAACTGGTAATCAGAGCAAACGTGTGGTAGATACAAAAAATTTGGTGAAATCCAGTGCTAAGATATTACATATACAAAGAGGGTATAATTTCCTAATCGCATTTTAATGCCATCATCATAGATATACATTACAAATCTTTGTTACTTACATATTTTAGATCAAATATGCTTGTAATGTGGAAACCCATCTCATTAATGGAAACAAACATCTTTCTTCTTTTTTCAGTTATCATATGTATACTGTATTCAGTCTTTTAATCCTTTTACTGACAATATCTCAATTTGCTGAATGGACTTAAATCATTTGACAATGTCATTTTTAAATTGTAATTAGCTCATGTTTACTTTGGAAAGAACTTTAGCACATTTTTCTCTTTTCACGTAAAGTGAATCATCATATTTTATAACAAGAAGCAGAAAAAAGAACAAAAATGTAAAATGTTGTATTATGCATTTTTCTTAACAGACAATGTATGAAAAATTGGGCTCCCAAAATAAATTCAGATGAAATTTGACAGACTGAGTGTAACAATTATGATATCTATTTTAAAAACCACCTACTGGTGCAAAGAACTTGCAATAACCCTGTATTAGTGATTTCATAGAATAATACCTACTTCACACTTGCTAAAACCCCCTTTACACTGGACAGCATCCTTTCTGTCCTTTTGTGCAACCATGAAACTGGCATTGCTGTGGTTGTAGAAAAGAGGGACAAGCATTGCTTTGGTTGCAGAATCAGACATGACCTTTTACCGTGGAAACAGAATTCCGCGTTTTTTAATTCAATTCTGATGGTTCCCGAGATTCGTCAAGATCTGCAATAAAATCTGATCCAGTTTTTTTTATTTGAAACCTAGGCTCATAACTCTGAAAGAAGGCTCAATGATCAGCCAGTTGTTGGCACATGAGGTATTTTTTTTAAATTTCAAACAGGGCCATACTATGGGATGCAGAAAGGACGCTGTCCAGTGAAAAGGGGCTTAACTGAAGTTAAAAAATAATGTGCTACACCATAGAAAAATGTTGACATTTGCTGACAAATGTTACAGAAAAATACCTCAAAATAGTAATATATCCTTAACTACCTTTCGTGGTAGTTTCAATTTACACATTATAGGCACACAATGAGTGTTTAGATCATTAAACAGCAAAGTATTAATTTTCCTGGAAATTTCAACAATTTTCCCTTAATTACCAAGTTATGCTATATCCATCATCATTATTTGCCATATCACCAGGGAACACTGGCCACTGATGACTCTCTATACAAATTGCTTCTAGGCCAGGCTTGAAAGGTCCCTTCACTTGTAACAAAAATATATATCATTATCTATAAACCTATTTTTGAGATTCAAGTTTTTAATGTTTGAGTCTCTCTTGAAGATAGTAGTTTTCATTCGTTATAACATAAACTTTCAAGGAAAGCTGCCATATAAAGTTAATACTGTATTCTGTTCAAACCCTATATAATCCTTTAAAAGGTAGACACCTGTGTGAATGACCTGTTGGCACACTTGTCTGTGCATAGGATACTGCCATCATTCAACTCTAGACTGTATACTTGCATAGTGCCATTTCAAAATAGATCAAATTAAAAGGTATTTTAACTTGTAAAACGAGATCAACTTCCAAAACAACTGACAAAACTTTAATACCTGTAACACTATAGGTAATCAAAACTGATTAACATGCCACTGTCCTATGAATAAAATATTCAATAAATACAGGAAGAACTGGATTACAAATTTTGAAAAGCACCATTAGGATTGAACCTTAATGAGAACTGATAGGTATATGATATAGCAATTCAAATACATTCTTTTAACATATATTTGTATGATATGATAGCTTATAAGTTGAGAACTTATAATATGAAAAAATAAATAAGATAAAAAAAAACAAGTTAACATATGATCTTATTGAAAAACACATTTACTGCGATTTATACTAGCTTTCATATATCGATAAATATTAGCTAAATATCAATATAATAATCAATATAATATAATACTAATTTGTGCTCATCAAAACAAATGAATGCATAGTCTCTTCAATATATATATATATATACCATGATGCCTACAGAAAAATTTGTTAAAATAGTATATATTTCAAAATTATCATTCAATTTGTGCAAATTTTCAGTTCTAGCTAAATCCATGAAAGGAAAATAAAACTGCAGCAGATGAGTTCACAACCATAGTAACCATTATTTTGGAACTATCAGTGATTTCATATAGGTGTTTCAAAATTTTTTCTCATGCAAAGTTTTTACCATCTCTCCCTCTAAAACTTTCATTCTTGGAGTTTTAATAACTCAGTGGAAGTATCTCATACAGCCTGTTTGCACTTTCCAGTGCTTTGCTGCATATCTTCTCTGCTAGGTCTCCCAACTTTCCTCTCCACACACAGACTCCAACAAACAAAGAAGAGCCCAGCACAAGGAGAACTGCTCCCCTTTCCAAGATCTGAACATAAAATTGACAGAAAAATATTCATTGGAGCAGCATGTATTTTATATTGGTAGGAAACATCTTTATTATTGAATCCAGTGTGAGACATTGAGAACTCAATACTGTCTTTGTAAGCAGAGTTTGGTTGTATACTATTAACAGAAGAAAAAAAAAACTACTCACCATATCTTGCTTTTTTCTCCCATTGATACATTTATGGTATCTTGTGCGAGTGAAAGAAACCTACAATGACAAAACTTACATATAAAATCTGCCTTCTGTTACTAAATGTTCTGCAATATAAACAAATTAATTGGTTAATGAATTTCTAAACCATTTTATTATTATTATTATTATTATTATTATTTGACAGTGAGTTGCATCACAATATCTGACCATCTCTAGTAACATTAAGAAAATAATCATCATCATTTTTCACCCTAGGGCAGAATGGCAGCAGCACCAGTGACACACTCAGGCCAGAGAGAATAACACATGGACATGAATAAATCCTTTTCTAATGTAACATGGATAATAAAGCACAGCATTCAACATAAAATAGGTACATTTCAATATAATTAAAATCCCTGGATTTTGTAAAAAATGAATAAGAATGACCTCACCATTGTGTAAAGAGGTATCCATCTGTCAGGCAAAAGCCAGTGAAGAAAATTGTCCACCTTTTTCCTCAATAAGAATAACTTTGAATTGACAGATGCTCTCATCTGGAACAAAACTGAGATATAATCAAACCCTAAGAAATGAAACAGTTCAGAACACTTGAAGATATTTCACATGAATCTTAAGAACTAAGAAATATTGGTTGACTATACTCTGTCAATACCCAATCATCCCCCCTCTACCAGTTACTCTAAAACTGAATAAAGACTTCAACACAGTATTGACTCAAACAAAGGGCATGTCCTTTAACCTAGTAAAAGATTTTACCTCAATATAATTATACATAGCTAGGTCACACATGGCCCTGGCATCCACATTTCTGTAGGCAGTAAACTTCTTCAATGCCTCACCTAGAACAGATGCAACTTTTTTGATACTATTGCAGAAAGACAAAAGGCTTATACATCCTACCAATGCCTCTATTTCATTCTTCAAAACCTCAGAGCTCTGAACATGCCCAAGCTAAGAATACTACAACCTAAAGGTAGTTTGTTAAGCAGTGTGCCACAGTTGATCACTGGAGTGGTGTGTTGTCATCAATCTTACGTTAAAGCCAAATACTGCCATTTGAAAATAAATCTCTTTATGGATTACTCCATTTTAAAGGCCAACTGCTGTAAAGAACATCAGCAAATGTGCACCTACCAAAGTCATTGTTGGTCTGGTCCAGAATATCATTAAAAATGAGGCAGTCTTCAAATCCCTAAAAATAAAGTTCGCAAAATGTCAAATTACATCTATACAGCGTAATATTGGACATTGGTTTGTTTTTGGCTCATTTGGCTTGCTTTTAGGAAAGGGGAAATAGGGTGCCTCAGAAGCTCAGAGAAGGATCCAACACTGCTATTTATAAGAACAAAACAAAACAAAATTTCTCCCTTACACAGTTCATTCCCTGCCCATAGAAAGGCACCATAGCATGAGCAGCATCTCCCATGATAACCAGCTTGTCTTTGTGATGGTATGGCCCACACTGAAAGAAAAGCAAAGAAATCTCATTTTATGCAGTTCTGATTTTATAATATACTGGATACACATGAATACATGGTTCTTGATAAAATGACCCTGACAGAACATAAACATTATCACAGTGTCACGTTCAGAAAAAAAAAAAACAAAAAAACTAGCTATGTTGAAAAACAAATAAACTAACCTTCACAGATACCATGGGTAGAGCTTTGTTGTTGAAGAAGGTTTCTTTCAATGCTTGCCTGAAATAGAATAGAGTAGACGTTGTTTCAAAATGATAAAGGAATACATGTCTACTGCTTTATAAATCAAAAGAAATCTTTAAAAATATATACAATTATGTATAAAATTTAAACTGCATAATCCATCTGATATTTAATAACAATATTCAAATTCAAAAATGTCACACATACTCTCCCAGCAATGGAAGTGAATCTGGAAACTTTTCCTTGAAGAATCTCATCAAGTCCTCCTCAGTCTGTATAGCCTCAAACACTTCAAATGGCATAAACATGGTCACGGTGAAGGAGCCATCCTGGTTGGGCAGAGCTATCATCATATAAGCATTCCTAGGCCAGATATGCAGGTAGTTGGTTTCCATAGCATGCTGTAACGACACAGTGCAGTCGATGCTTATTTCATAAAATTTCATTTGTTCTCATTTTTGACACTCTTCAAGAAAGAAATCAATAGCTGGATACTAATTATATACCTGGCATGTGGTGATAACATACTCAGCAAAACAAATAAAATAAAATAACATAAAATAAAATAAAGAGACATTTATTCAAACGTTCATAACAGTTTGTCTTGTTATTAACTTTGTACAAAATCCACTTTCATATGACAGGAGTAATGTTCCAGCACTTTAACTGCTCGACTTCCAAATTTTCACAGTATAAAGGAATATCGAACAACACATAAGAACAGCCTAACTCTGTTTTCTAAACTGTGATCAAGCATTGGCACTCACCTTCCCATTTGCTGAAGGTGGCATATGAAGTTCCATGTACCCATGGGGTATGTATTCCTGGCTGAAGTCAAACCTCATGGACTTCATCATCTGCTGCCTTACTGCTGAGTAAGCCCCATCACAACCAACTATCAGATCACTACGGGTGTGAAGATCTTTACCAGAGGCACTGCAAATTTTGATGTTACTTTTGACAAAAGAATGTTAAAACTATGTAAAGTTCCTATGCTACTGAAATAGTTAACATCTATTTTAGTTTATACACTTAGTTTATATACTTTTTATGTTCACAGAACAGATTTTTATTATCTAAGAGAGAGAGAGAGAGAGAGAGAGAGAGAGAGAGAGAGAGAGAGAGAGAGAGAGAGAGAGAAGAAGAACTTAAAACAAGAGTCCCTAGAATGGTTAGTGATGTTGGGAAAGATGTCCTTACTCTTTGAAATGCATCTCTCCAGTATCCACATTACAGGAGACCAGCTTGTGTGAAAAGTGCAGCCTCACTCCAGGGTGTTTTTCAGCCTCTACAACCACACAAAAATATATGAAAACCCCACTGAAAAATGCTGTTTATATGCATTTTTTAATATAACAATAAAAAAATACACTGAAGAAAGATGTGTAATGTGATGTATCTATTTTTTTATCCAATTGATAAAGCATGGGGGCTCTGATATTAATGAGAAATTTAAATTTTATTACAGGTAATGGAACTTAAAGTTGTAATGTTAACCAATTACCTGTAAGTAAATCTTCATTTAGTTTTCTTCTGTCAACAGACATGATATACTGAAAATCAAAATGTATAAACAAATGCGACAACAAAATATTGAATTTGAGATGACAATGGGGGGGGGGGGGGGGGGGGGGGAATCAGTCAGTCACCAATCACCCTATGATAACAGATTTTGATTATATTTTGAATAATTTCTAGTTGTTTTTTCTGAAGTTCAGTCAGATTACAGTCTACTGAAGAATGGTACAAATCCATGATGTTTTGTGTGCCATTTCTGTATTGCTTTCTAAGATGAACTTCCCCTTGCAAAGAGTTTCACACATATCAATCAAAAGTTAGCATCGCCTTACTTGGATTCTTGATCGTTTTCTAGTTTCACATAACATCAAGCAGTGCAGACAGCCTTGTTTTAGTAGGATATCTTAGATGATTTGCATTCCCTACCTACTCCACAACATGTACATGAACATTATCAATTTATCATGCTACCCTCTCTCCCTATCTCTCACCTGATCTTTCTTTCCATACAATATAGGTTTCCTGGTCCCATCAGTGTTGTGGATCATTCTCGCATACATTGGAATGCCAGTAGCTGTCACCATCTCCTCCATACCCACACCTTTGAGTGCTTCACGCCCTCTACATGACAGTGCAAGGTTGATGCTACGCCCACGCACATGTTCCAGTGTACGGATATCTGTTAACATCAATTTTGACATAATTTACATGCTGTTGCTAAGGGAACAAAAGACACCAGCATTGTCAAAACATTATCATTTCCACTGCAAACAAAATGAAGACCATTATTATACATAAATTATCTGATATAAAACATACATTATATTCAAAAACAAATGTCAAAAAAAAAAAAAAAAAAAATCAGACAGTGATGTGCAATGAATGCTACCTTTAAAATGATAAATACCACACAAGTTAATGGCGCACATCATGAATAATACTGAAGCTTATTGATGTTTTCTTAAATGTCATGGCCAACAGAAAAGAAAAAGAACTATGTTTTTGATGGGCAAGAGAAAACATTTGCTATCATTATTTAGAATAGAGCAAATGCATATAACCTTTTAGAACAATGCAGACATATCAAAAACATTGGAGGTAAAGCCAGTAATTTAGACTGAACAATTGCCCCTCAATCTGAAAGAACTTGTCAGATTAACTGCTTGCCATCAGGACTTGATCCCGATCCTTGTCAGTCTGTGACCAAAGGACCAGTAGTTAGGTATGTCTGCAAATGTTAGAAAGACTACTTTATCTTAAAAGCTTACAAACCTGGTCTTCTTTCATACAAATCCACTTCAAACCCCCTTTGTGAAAAATAACAAGCATTCAATGCACCAACCTAAAACAAAGAAAAAAAATAGTAATTAATGGGTATTAACTTTTTTAATTTTTCGTAAAAACAATTCTTGTAACTCCTTGTAACTCCGTGAACTCCTTGTAACTAAATAATAATTGGAAAAGCATGGCTTTATCTCTACAAATAAAATGTGCTGAAACTAAGTCTTTATATTGGTTTGCTTCAACAATATTAATAAATTAATAAACATATTAATAATTAATAAACATATTAGGAAAATACCATTTATGTAATTTGTGCACTTTTATATGGGGGGGGGGGGCAGTTTATAAAATGACAAAGTTATAAAATTGCAAACATCTCACAACTGTGTTTTGTTTTTTAGGTTTATTGATAAAATTAATATAAGCCATACGGTGGTGAAAATAATTAATTTACAGCTGAGAAAAAGTTTGTTATTATTATTTAAAAAAAAACGAAACAGACTCAAAACTGCAAATCCGCCAAAAATCGTCTGCATAACATGGCTGTGTAAAGTTAGGTGTCCACAGTTGTCTTCTCCGTATGTAAGTAACAGTTAGTCCGGGTTTATTAATTCTTGCCTTCGACTGTGCATAATGAATATCGCAAACTGTCACCACGTGTCACTTGCTCTTGGGTATCCATGTTACACTTATATAAAAATAGGTCAAAGAAAAAAGTCAGCTAGTGCCCAACCACGATAAATAACTTCTCAAACAACATCGCAAACAAGTTAGTTATTTTTAACGGTAACAAACTAAAGACTGTTTCTGTTGTGTGTGTCTTATAAACAGCCAAGTGCGAATATCATTTTGCACTCACCAGGCCTCCACCGACCACTGCAATACGCTTCGTGTTATCCGCCATTATGCATGAGAACAATAATAAACACAAGCATGCGTGCGTCGTGCACGCAGTTCTCTTCTGCAATATAATATAATTAAAATGACGAAAGTTGAGTGAAGAAAGTAAAAATATTTGATAAATTTGATAAGTACACATGTATGCATTTACTTAATAATAAAAAACTTGATCTTAGAACGAAGTGAACGGCTTTATTTCGACCAATGAAAAACAGCTTATTTTTCATCCCCGAGCAAATTTTTGTACCAGCGCTGTCATTTTGGAAATCGTGATATCTGCGTTCGTCCCTCGTTCATATATTTTATACCCCTAGTTTATAGTTTTTGTGTGTCCTTAGATAAGGAGAAATTGCACGACAATGGAGATTGGAACGGAGATAAGTCACAAAATACGGGTGAGAATTGATATACACCCTTTTCAAGGGGGTGAAAATGAATATGAAGTCGGCACTTGTTTGGGTTTGGAAATTTTTGTAGTGAATTTCTAGCATTGGCACTTACTATAGTATAAATAGCAGATTGTGAATTAACTAACTAGTGGCAATTATCATATGCTGATCTCTGGAAAGTAAAACATGACATTATGTTAGCATTGGAGAAGATTGCATTTTCAAATGGCATTTTCACCCTTTCAAATGTACAGGATTTACCGGTAATTGAGCAGATATGACTCAGATTTTTCAGTTTTTAGTTTGAATTCATAAATACATGGTCAGCACATTGTTCAAAACACAGGCAATCAGGAACTCTTAAAATGCCTATACCTGTATCAGTATGTCTGTTAAAGTTAATATATCAAATAATGTCAAATATGTGGGCTGCATTGCAGATCTAGAACACTTGGGTTTTAAGTATTGCATTTAGTATACTTTCCTTTAATTTTGAAACTTTATTTATTTATTATGGGGGGAAAAAAAAACAGCCAAATGTGCTCCGATACATTTCAAAGTGATAGCAAGATTGTTTTTTTCATTTTCTGTAGTCTGCTATAAAGGCCAAGCTGGTGGACCTGGGGGCCTATGTGGATGATGAACTGCCAGACTATATCATGGTTATGGTGGCTAATAAGAAAACCAAAGAACAGATGGCAGATGATCTCAGTTTATTTTTGGGAAACAACACGGAGAAATTTACATCATGGTAAGTCATATGGTTTGTTGAATTGTTTTATAAAAATAAGTAGAAAAATATTAAGTTATATATGTTAACTATCAGTGTTTATAACAATTCTCTAATGCTACTGATTAACAATAACAATCATTTACTGCATATTATTTCTCAGGCTTCACAGTTTACTGACCAAATTGAAGGCCATCACCAGTGGAAACTCTGCAGACACTAGAATGGAAGATTTGATAAAAGATGGTAAAACATGATTTAGTTAAAACATGCCTAAGGTTGACACTTATATTATGTTTACCATAGTATAAAATATTTGTTTTCATTTTTATCTTTTGTCATGATTTTGGGAAAAAAAGCTATTGGATTAAATTCGAGTGGTATGCTAGTAGTACTACAGATACTGCTGGGGTAGTGCTAGCAATTTTTTTTTTTTGCTTAGCCAAATCACCACATTTTTGTCAATTTGTTATCAAAATAGTTATAATTTGGCTAAAACAAGTCAAATCAAGCCCTTTTTCTTTAGCCAGTTTAAGTCAGTTTTAGCATTTGGCTAAATTGGCAAGTGTTAGCGCTACCCCAGTACTGGTAGATTGTACACCCCTTCCTCATCAGGGTAATGTACATTGTACCTACTGGAATGTTGAAGTCTGGAATTTGAATTTTTAAAGTGTTATTCATCAATTTGATCCCAACACTTGAAGATCTTTAGCACTTTTTTTAGACTTTGCTGCTCATGAAATGCTTCTAATTCTTTTCTGAAGAGCAACCCAAAGCCGAGCCAGTAATTGTACATGAAGATGCTATCCAAGACAGAACAAAATCACAGACAGGAGTCAGCCAGACCAAGAAAACAACAGAAATCAATGATGCTTTGAAAGAAAAGGAAAAACAAAAGAAAGAGAAAAGTGTCACATCCAACAAATCTGCAGCTCATAAAGATCAAAAGCTGGAAGAGCCTGCAACTGATATAGTAGAGGTCACAATAAAAGATGGTATGCCACACATTACTGCATATCCCACTCTAAGCAAAAGGTTTTACATCTTCCTAACACATAATGCAAAAAAAAAAAGCAGTATGAATTGGCGCTTTAAGTTTTTTTATAAAGATAATTGTAAATTTTCATGCATTAATTATCTGTCTTCTTGTTTATGCACTTTTTTGTTCAATTTTATATTTAGATGAATTTCGGGAAGAAGAGCCCAAAGACAGTTTGCATAAATCAACTCAAGATAAAAAACAGACCAAAGTGTCTTCAAAAGTTTTGCCTACTGTTCAGAAGGCAGCCCCAGTGAGGTCTGTTACCTCTGTGGCACCAGCTAAAGTATCTGCCAAATCTGGAGCATCCAGCAGATACACTCCAAAAACATCAAAGGTGAGCATGATATTGATATCAGAATGGGGAACATACAGGCCAGTTTAAGGTGGAGCAGTTGAAGTTATACTCATGAGTCATGGATGCACTTTCATTTATTGCCCAATTTTTATTGTAAACCTAAAAAAATATGGCTACATATGTTGAAAAGTAAAGTACTAAGTTGATGGAATGGACTTTCAGGATAGAAAACGATAATCAAGATACTATGGACATTGGCAACCCATGATGTATTTGTGACTGGAGCTAGATTTCTTTTGACATTGTCCATGTACGTTTTCAGGTCCGCCCTGTTGTTCATGCTCAGAGGCGTTCAGTGGTAGGAACAGTGGTGCATCACAGTGAGGAGGAGGAGGACGAGGAGGAGTATGATCCTCACAACCCAGCAGTGGGCAGTGTGGCCAGTGTCATCAGGGTCACTGAGAGAAAGTAAGAGCTAATATGAATATGTCTCCAAAGGAAAAAGTTTCCAAGTTGATGTGCTTATTTTGACGGATAGATTTTTGTTTATATCTCTGCACTGGTTTTATATTTACACAAAATATGTTTTTGANATAAAAAAAAAAAATTCCTGTGTGTGAAAGCCTTGTGAAAGGGTCCTTTGATAATGAGTTACTTTGGTAATATAATAATGAATGACCCTTTTTTTGGAGAAGCTGTATTATACTTTTTAAAGATCTGTAAATATCGCCAATTTTATTAAAGATGTTACCTGTTACCACAGGTCCAGTGTTCCAAAATCTCTGCAAGCCAACAAGAGTCTTCTACTGAAGGCAATGACCGAAGCAGAGACATCAGTAACTAGCAAGAAGGCTGCACTTCGCAAGCCTTCCATTAAACCTCAGTACTTGGAACCTTTTGAAGATGCCAGATCTTTGCTGACAAGAACGGTACATCAGTCAGAGGAAACTAGGAAAACAAGTATGTTGGAAGGGAAAAGAAAATGAGATAACAGATAAGAATGGTCTTCAGTTTTAGTAATTGTGAAGGCAATTTTAGTATGATGATATGTCATTTAAGGTGGGCAAAATTATGTGATATAGGAATTGTTTTGGTTTTATGACAGGTTCTCTCTAGTGTTTTATGTTATCAGTTGAATTCAGTATAAATGTAATTCACTTTAAATACAGAAGACAGTTCACAGTCAGTGCATGCACATTTCTCCAGGTCATGCTCTAGTAAGGCCTGTGCAGAGAAGTAGAGGGATGCAGCTGTATTCAAAGACCAGGCGAGAGGAACTGCTGCAGAGACTGGGAGCTAGTGCATCCTCAGAAGAGGACCAAGAAAAAGAAGTGGAATTTGAAGGTATGCACAGCAATCTGAAGTTTATGTTGTGACTTAAATTTTGCATGCTCAGTGTCAGTATTTCAAGAAGGGGTTAACACAACTCTTTTAAAGCTTTCTTTTCGTGTACGTTTTTGCAAGGTGGTTTTTGTAATACAGTGTCATTGAACAGCAATTGGAATTGGTTTATCCACTAGGTAAGATTGCTGGAAGATCAGTGCATATCTATTTTTGTTAAACAACAAACTATGGTTCAAAATCTGATATAAGTTAATGAAATTTGATGTTTTTTTATTTATTTTTTTTCAGTATACCCCGAGATGGACAGCAGAATCATAAAAACTTACCAGCCAACCCGTGTGCATTTGCCAGTAGATTATAGCTCAGACATACTCAACCTAAACGACAGTGAAGACAACAGTGATGTAGATAGGATTGGAGAAAGTGATAGCATTGACAGGATACCTGATAACAGAAAGATCATCAACAGGTATAACTTACTTATTTGCAGAAATTGTTAGGAGTGAGAATAAAGCCGCTGACATCTTGTCAGATTGTGAGGAGCAAAGTGATCAGTGCTTTTCTGGAATCTGTTTTGTCAGGTGTTCATGGTAATATAGTGCTGATGCAGCACTTCACATGGATTGATTAACATCCCCATGTAGAAAAATAAACTTAATTACATGTATAAAGTTGATTTCATTTCCCATTGGCACTTTACAAATACAGTTAGTAGTAGTAGTTAGAGTTGTTGTTAAGTTAAGTTATAATCTCAGTGAAAACAGTAATTTGTTTGCACTGTGCTGATATATTAAGCTGTAGCTGTACTGTTACCTAAGGCTGAATACATTGTGCTAGTCAACACTTCAGAGTCGGATGAAATTTTAATTTGTTTGTAAATTTGTATCTGTAGTGAAACCTCTAGCTGTATTGAAATTCTGTCTCATGAATGTATCTCTTACTGTCCTTGTAAAAGTTGCCAGTTGATGTCAGAAGCCATTTCAAAGTCCACTTTTGATCTTTAGTTACTGTAGAGAAATCTTGCCTTATAATTGTCCCTCTAACTGTCTAGGAAGAATATACAACAAAGTGAGGTGAGAACAGAGCGTTATTCACCTCACCTCTGGATCACATGACCACACCTGGTAAAGGTGACATCTGTAATACTTGTCACATTTTTGCACAGGGCCTACAGGTAGCACACTACTCATTACACCCACATACAACCTCTAATGCCCTACCAGGTTGTGAGGTGCAAACTATATAGTGATATTTGTTGCATTTATCAGCTCCTGGACATAGTGTTAATGATAATATATAGCAAACTGATACTTCTTTTTTAGTGGATAATCCGATTTTCTTTATTTGCATATCCTTTTTTTCAGATTGCTTTTGTGGTTGTTGCTTACCACATTGAAATCAGAGGTTTAAATTTTGTTATCATTACCACAAATAGTTGGTGATGTTTAATTTGCCTGCAGACATTTTGCTGCTTGTTGTTTAAGAATCACATCACCTTGCGTCACTTTATTGTAAATGCCAGGTTGTCTGCTTTTGTGTTTTTGTCATTGAAGATAAGTTTTTACTTCATTACAGTAGAGATGAGTGCCTTCCCAATTTTTGCCCAGTAATCTTTTGGGTTTGAGTTTTGTATTTGTGTGTATTTGTTTGACTCTCCTAATTAGGTGCGTGCCTCATGTGCTTGTATTTTTGGGATTTTTATATTTAGAGGTCCATTTTCATTTCCAGTCCCAGGAGTGCTGGTATGACCAGTCCAAAGTTTGTGGTCACTCTTGATGGTGTAAACCCCTCTGACCTGAGACACCGGAGAAGAGGGTCGTACAGCGACGAGGAGGACATGGACAGTAATGAGGGAGGAGAGGTGATAATTGTGGAGGACTCTGCCACCAAGAATCTGACTTCAAGAAAAAGACCTCCAGTCCAGGGACTGTCAATAAACCTAGCAGCAGATTCTGATGGTACGTGCATTTAGTGAACATGTTAAATTTGCTTTGCTATTGAATTATGTATTTATGCATGCATGCATGTTTGGTGTGCTCAGATTTGCAGTTTTAAGTAAGAAATGTATTTCTGTAAGGATGTCAAACTTCATTCCCACTTTTATTTTCATTTATGCACATTTATGTGAAAAATCTCCATTAATTTATGATTTTTCAATTTTAAAGAGGATGCAGTGGAGGAGCAAGAGAACAACACATCACCAAGGAAAAAAATGAAGCCAGCTGAGAGGTGTAAATTTTGGCCTACATGCAAAAATGGTGAAAGTTGTCAATATCATCACCCAAAAACACAGTGCAAGTAAGGACTCTTACATTTTTTACCCATCATTTTTAGTATTGCAGAAAGGAAAAGAAATAATATTGGACTCATTGTGCATTAGAAGTAAATTCATAGATGGTAAAATGCTCAAAATAGCTCTCTTGTAAACTGAACTTCACAGACTTGATTAAACCTTAGAAAAATGAAATGTTTAACATTGGCAACCTGCAGAATGGAAGAACTTGATAATTTTATTACTTGCAGAACATTCCCTAAGTGCAAATATGGAGACAAGTGTTTATTTGTGCATCCCAACTGCAAGTTTGATGCCAACTGTAGCAGGAGTGATTGTCCATTTACACATGCAAGCAAGCGAAGCCCAGTAATACCCACTGTACAGCAGGGTAAGCTGTCTTGATACTTAGTTTAAACACTAAATAAGTTAAAAAAAAACACATTAGCTTAAGTTTTTCTTTGTTTTTGTTTATATATGGAGGTGATGATATTGAGAAGTTGGGCTTATGTCATTAAGTATTTTGTGTGAAAAAAATTAAAATGGAGAAATGAAACTGGAAGAATGTTTGATAATTGTAATTTCCATATTTATTAAGTATGATAAAGTGTAGATTTAAGAGTTTTCATAGAAGTGGTAAGTAGACATATCCAAAGCTTTAAGTTGACACTAAATATTCTTTCCATATTTTACATTTCCAGTGGTTATAGCCCCGCCTAAGTTTTTATTTCCTACATCACATGCCAGTATCCCCCCAGTGCCAAAAGGTCCCAAACAGATCACCTGCAAATACATCCCAAACTGCACAAATGTTAACTGTGTTTTCAGTCACCCAAAGGTATGTACACATAGTTTACCATTTGCTTTAAAAAAGGATTAAGAATAATTAATGCTTGCATGTCGACTTAAAGCTTAACATAAATTTTATTGCTTTTTAGAGTAAAGTCCAAAGACCATCTGTAGCTGAATAAAGCTTAGAATTTGTGATTTGCACAGATGTTTACTTAGTACACAATTGTGTTAATTTTTCACTTGTTGAAATGACTTTTGGAAATTACATTGGTTTGAATGGTCAGATATTTCCTTTGACTAGCAGTATAAAAGATTTTGTGTGTCTGTGTGTGTGATTTAATATGTTATTGGTAGTTATACTTTTAATATATTACCAACCAATACATTGCTGAACTGATGCGATTTTTTTTCCAATTTCAGCCATGTCGCTTTGGCATCAGTTGTAACAACAAATCTCAGTGTGCGTTTACACACCCCTCTCTGCCCACTCAAGATAAACTGAAGTGGAAGGCTGGCACATAAAGTGTGTGTTTAGTATATAACATAATGTTTAATATGCAAGTTGAAAACCCAAGTAGAGATTTCTGAAAATAATTTCCCTTACATATGTTTAAGTATGTGTTAGGCAGTGTGAAATCTATAAACCTGCAAATTTACCAGGGAGGCAATCTGTTGCTGTCACCTTAGTAACCTCCTTTTTCTTTTACTTTTAGATGTATGACAAAAACAAAGTTCAAGTTGGTGGACTGAAGAACAATTGTTCTAAGACATGAAGCCATGATGGTTGAATCTCGACAAAAAAATTAGCAAGTGTAACAGCGAAGGAAACATTTACCACAACATGATTGTGGTTGTGAAAGATTCAAACTAGTCAGTGGGTGTGTTTCTAACATGAAGATGAAGAGTTGGCGTCATTTACTATTCAGCCATTGAGTGTCTACATTTATGGAACTTTTGTATGCGTGCATTGTTAGAAGTTAAAAATGCACTGCTATTTATGTCAGGGACTCTTTTCAGGACTTTTCATTTATGGCAGAAATAATCTTTTTATGATTGATAGTATTTTAAATACTGTAAGAGATTTGAAAAATAAGTATCAAGCACATATCCCATCAAGACATACTATTATTCCACATTTAAAGTGAAATAAGAAGAGGATTCGTAATAAAGAAAAATAAAATGCAATTTGCAGGACTTTTCATAGTTTATCTTACCAAATAAAATGCTACAAGAATGATTAAAATATTTTGTGTTCATTTCAAATGATTGATAAATGTCTGCATCAAAAGGTTCACAATTATTTGGTAAAAACCATAATCTGAGCATGCGTTTCTCCAAGTTTCAAATAACTACACTGCTGTAATACCCAAGATATGTGCACAACCTCTTCCTCTACACATTTACTACTGGACCTAGGATCATTTTTACTGTTCTCAAAGTTCTTGTGCTCGGCGTTACCATTTTTATTGCCCAGGTCTACTGCATGACCAGTGCTTGCAACTTCTAAACGTTTATCGAGCTCCACTTCACTGTTGACAGTTCCCAAATCAGCAGGGGTGTGAATTTCTTGTCCCACATATTTCTTTTCTTGTCTAATAACTACTTGATTAGATTCAACATCTATCTCTTGATGAGCATGCTGACCTGAAACCAGGTGTAAGACCAAATCTTTCAGATCTGTGACTGTGAGAAGAACCACTCTTCCTCCTGGCTTCAATACCCTGTTCATCTCAGAGATCATCAGTGGGTAAAGGGTTTCCACAGTCTTTGGGCTACAATGTTTATATCCAAATGGAGGATCACATATAATGACATCCACACTGCCTGATTTCATTGGTAGCTGCCTGACATCTGCTTGTAGCAACTCAATGCTATTAGAATCAGGTAAAAGTTGTTTATTTTCACTTGCTTTCACCAGCTGTGAGTCTGAAATGTCAAATCCATAATATCTGGCATGGGGCCAGCTGTGCTGTGCCTCCATTAAGATGGTTGCTGCTCCACACATGGGGTCTAATACAACATCACATGGGGAAATGTCACATAAGGAGCATAGAATCCAACTGACTGTGGATCTGAGACCTATGTGCTTAATGTAAGTCCTTTTTGAAAGTGGGATTTTAGTTACTGGAAAGCCAATGACAAAATGAACATCGTTGATCTGAACATATATTTCCAGCATGGGATCTTTGAGGTTAGCTTTCCAGCCTGTTTTCTTTGCTACAGCAATACCAAGAGTTTTTGACCATTGCTGTAATGAAAACATTCTCCCAGTGTTGCCTGAACACTTGCAAGAGACTCTAAAAGTAACTTGTGACTCAGAATCCAATTTCTGCCTCTTTGCTGGGGTGTGGTCATCATCATTATTTCCAATGGCTGTTTTCTCACTGTCTCCAGTCTTATGAGAAAATTGAAATATTTTCCAAGAGTTCAGGTTATCTGACCAACTATTGATTTGTTTAATTAATTCAGAAACTTGGTGCAGACCTAAAAAAAATACAAACAGTGAATAAGATAACAAGACTTATTTTTAAGAAATCTTAATCGCAAAGCTTATTTTTAAGAAACTTATTCATAATATAATTGACAATACATTGTGGCAACAAGTACAGTGAACATGAAAATCTTGAACTAGGATGTGCCTATCAACAGTCAAAGGAAAAGACTCAAAGCTGTAATTTTTTTTAAATTACTGTCTTTTAAAAAAATTATTTGAGATAATCTCTGGACAAACCTTTCCTTCTGGTGAAACCTATATTATTCTGAAAACATACTTGGATAAACAATCTTTCAGCTGATCTTGTGTCAATAAGCTTCTCACACTTGCCTTGAAAGTGAAATAAAACCTTACCATCAAACTGTTGAACCTTGAAATAAACAAAATGTGTCATCATTTTGCATTTTTCAAACAGTTAAATAAAAATAAAAAATGTTTGCTTTTATAAATATATGAAAACAAATTGAATTTGTATTCACATTTTAACCAAAGCACACATGCAACTTGCCATCATTCTAATTCAATATTGTAAACAAATGTGCTCCTCACAAAAACCACAGGATCATAGCACGGTGTTTCAAGCGTCGTAACCACTTTAATTACGGTTTCTGATATGTGCAATTTGTGTTAATATATTTTAACACATATCGTGCATATCAAAAAAGCCAAAAGTAAGAGTGCTAATGGCACATGAAACATCATGCCACACGGGTCCAATGCCAACTCTGCAATTTAGAACTACAAATGCTGAAATAGTACTTCGATCGTAAATCGCTAGCTGCCTTTGAGAAAAAAATCTATTCGCTTTATTACTGATATATACAGAAATTATTGAATGCATAATACCCTTACCTGCGTTGCACCTTTTGCCTTCAGTTCCTCGACTAGAAAACGCTCTGTTCCTCTGCCAGCCGTGCAAAAATACGGCGAGCTCACGACTGTTGACATTTTCATGCATGTACCGGAACCATGAGGTGAAGATTAGAGCGCAGGCGCGGAGTTCATACCAACCAATCGGTGACGAATAGTAACTCCGCGTGACGTTTGGAGAGACTTTACAGGAAGGTGTGGAATGGTAACAATGTCAAAACGGTAAGGAGTTTTTCTGACATAAACTCTGCTATGTTGAATGAATGGAGTGTGAGTACAATTATCAATATTGGTCTGTTGGACTAAGGTCTTTTTCGTTCGAGATCTAACGTTAACTTTAGTTTTGATTTGTTGTGTCAAACATGCAGTCAAGAAGTCGGTACAAGTACTAGAACCATTGTACAACCACTAGTACTGATTGTAATGTGCAGTGCAACTTACTGTATGTTAGCCAGCAAACGACGTGTACCTGTCTTTTGTTTTGATTTTTTTAACAAACAGTGATGATATCATACACGTATTTGGAACTCTGATGGATTGTTTAAACAAAATAAGGATTTGATTTGAATGTTACTTGTGAAGTAAAGCAGCAAAATTTACGCCAAGAAATAACATCAGTAATGCAACTATTAAATGCTAAAAATACTGCTAAACGATAATGAAAGGCAAAAGATGAATTAAGCAAGGAATTCAGCACTTGTTTTTCCCACTGTCATTAATTCCTTTTACCAACACTAATTTTCATATTTAATAAAGTACGTGTACCGGTACTTTGTTTGATTAAAATTACCTTATATGGGATATTCTTACCAAATTTAATTTTTTTGAAAAAAAAAAGCAAATATCTCCTACTTTGGAACCATTTCTTGACCTTTCCCTGCAATTGGTTTCAAGGTTTTGTACCAACATTCAGAGTGACTTCCCAGTCACCTAGACCATCTACTGTATGTCTTCTGGTGCATTTTAAAAGGAAATATGATACCAAGTGTTTTTATTTTAGAGGTTTTATCATCTTTAGTTTCAGAACTGGGAAATATAAGTAGTTCTGCATGACATATAGACCTGCAAATTTATGACTCAAGTAGTTTCTAAGCCATATGGCATATTTATATGTTATTTTGATATAAAGTGTCTAAAGGATGAAGTTAGCATACAGGGGTTTTAGATAAGTTTTCATTGTCTTAAATCTTTTTATTCAAATGTAGATAGATACTGTATTTATGTTAAAAGGCGTGTCAAATTATTTAATTTAGAAAAATGCAATGAGGAGTTCCCTTTGCTTAAAATTGCATTATCATTTTAGTAAAAAATATTGTGATTTTAGTCAAGTATTGAATTGCCTCATTTTTCTTCCAAACACCAGTATTTAGCCCTTATAATTACACCATATTAATAAGCAGATAATATGTGAATCAGTCATTTATGGTAATCACCTAAACTTTTTATGGGAAAAATTGTGAATTTTATAGATACAGTATTTTTTAACTAATTTATTCTAAAAATCAGATCAGTTTTATTGATTGGTAGGATCAAAAATGAAAAGCAGGCTTCCTTCAAGTTCTTTTTAAATTTATACAGTAAAAGCACTGCAAGTGCTTCACAGAAACATTTTTTCAAATCTTGTTTTTTTATGTTTCTAAAAGATTGATAATTTTTCCCCATTTAAAAGATCAAGCCATTATCATGCATGTGTGTAAGACATGTTTCTTTGTTTCAGCAGTGTTCATCTACTGTGGAAAAGACAATCAAGTAAGATGTAGCATCTTAGAAAAATCAGAAGATGCTGCTTCCATATATTGGTGCAGTCTTGGCATTATGGCTGCTGCTGGCTGTCACTGGACTTCATGGGTCCTGCATCCATGACCAGATCCAGCCAGATACAGTCCCAGTATCCACTTTACAGTATAGGTCCAGCAGCCACAGACATGATGACAAATATTCTAGTCAAACAGAACACAGTTTGGATAACTCGAAAAATAAGATAAATTATAAATACAGAAGGAAACGTGTGGTTGAAGCGTATGAACCCATCCGCATTATAGCCCACTATGAGAACTTGGGTCTTTCTGAAAATGAAGAAGGTCGCCTCAGAAATACTGTTAATATGGCCATTACAAGAATCTCAAATCTTTTGTCAGGTGAGTGTTAAAGCCAATTGAAAATTTTACTCCCTTCATGTAAGGCCAGGGCCAGAGGTTCATTTATTCAGAAATTACTAACTTATTTTTATCCAACTTTCCTAGAAAATTTGTATTCTTATTAAAAAAAAAGTTTTTCATTGTACCTTTGGTATAGTAGAGGGAATGTGTGGTGATTATTTAAAAATTTGAACAAAACTTGTATATTAAATTAATGAAGTTGCATTGAGGTTATAGTCAATATACATGTTAAAGACAATTAAAAAGCTCTACGGAAATGAAAGTGGGAAACTTTGTATGTATATAAAATGTTTATTTTTGAAGTGATGAAGTGGATAAAATAAGTGATGCTCCATATTTATTAGTAGCTTGCACAGATGCTTCTTTAGCTCTCTGATCATTTTTCTCTCTTCATGTATCTTCTTTTGAGGCATCGGCATTGTCTTGTGTCTATGAATAATAATGATTTTTAAAAAAGATGAAAAGAAATGTACACTTAATACTGTTTGTTATGAAGTTATCGTAGTGTTGTGGGACTGGGTTTTGATGTGCCCCTGATGGCTATTGGTCAGGAACAGGGTACATGATTTACAAACAAATCTTGTTTATTTTGGAGAATGACATTTTAAGTAATCATCTGCAAGAATGAAACGGGTAATTTGTGAGGAAGGCAACTGTACCTTATTTCATGCCCAAAATCAAAACAAGGTACAAGAAAAATGTTAACAAAGTTCCTGACAGGGAAGGAGACAAAGGGAGGGTAAATATGTTTACTGTGTTTGGTTTCCATTTCTCTGCTCCGCTTACTTAAACAAGACCCAGCTTAAGCGGTGTGTTTGTGCATTAAACTCCAGCATTGATGTGGAGTAATCATTGGACTCTCCCTCTGTTGGTGCAGTTGCTGGGAGAGAACAGTAAACACTGACTGTTCCTAGTGTTTCCTCAATTATGTTGCATTGAGATTATAGTCAATAAAGGACAACATTTTTTATGTGGGCTATTATGCTGAGTCTAAAAGGTGTACAAGTAGGGTGTTGATTTAATCCTATTGCATAAAATGAATTGAGTGTAATGCATGTGTGAACACGTGAATATATGAACTTTGCAATTTACATATGTGTACGATTGTCATTACCCAGCAACATAAAATGTATTGAACTGATTGCACATTAAATCTATGATAGATTCTAAAAAAATGGTTATTTTTATTTGTATATTTATTTCACACAAAAGTAACTGTGCAGTACCTGATGTGGTAACTAGAATATGTATTGATTTACATTGTGATGCCAGGAGAGCCCAATCTTATGTTATGGAGCAACAGTATACACAGATCACGGTAGCTATTGACAGGTTAAGATAAAGAGACGGACAAATTCTACCTGGTTTTGTTAACCTAGAGATTAGCCTTTAGCTAAGCCTGGTTTCTTGTATATCTGTTTCTTTTCATCTGTCTCCAACATGAACTGTGTAAATTTGAAATGATTAAAATGCACATAAGACAAAAATATTCTTTGATGAATTATCTTTTTAAGAGTTAAAAGCATTGGAAAGCGTGAATGTGTGTGCATGTCACAGTTAAATTCTAGAATATAACACAAAATTGCCCCTTCATATTTACCGATTTTGATTCAGTAAATTGATGTAAAATGGGGTATATGGGCATATGTTTTTCAGCATTTAACCTTTAGAAACATATCAGATATGATCTTGTTGGTAGGGTATCACGACCTTTCTAATAAAAAAAGACTCATACTGGTCTTGGTTTGCATCTTCATTTAGAAAGACTAAAAGTTGCTCGTAAAGTTAAAGGAGTAGAAAATACCCTTTTCACTCAAGTCTAGGTGTTGTTGACAGGGAATGGGAATTAATTCACACTGTGTGACATGTATTCCAATGTTTTCCTCCTGTATCTAAGCAACCTGGGATTTTTTCCAGCAGTTTTTTTTTCTTCTGGTAAAATGTTGTAGACTTTGAAACATGTGTTAATGGATTTACCAAGGTTGGGACACATTTCAACATAGAGTGTTTGTATTTGTTGAAGAAAAAATGAATCTGTTAAATTTTTTTGTATCCTGTCCTTGAGCAAATATTTTTTATAAATCCTTTAAGAATAATTTAAAATAAATTGTTCTCTTACAATAATGATCAAAGCAAACTGAATATATTTCCCAGTTTTAATGAGTTTTGATTTTGAATTGTAGGGGTAAAAGTGCAGGAAAGAGTTTAGAGTGTGAGAAACTTGTAGAAAATGAGTGAAGCGGGGAAAGAGGAGAGTGTATTTGTTTCAATGCCTTTTTGTTCAAAATTAATTTTATTTTGTAAACAAATAGCCTTTGGTGTTTGGTTGGAATAATATATTATAATGATTATGTTGGAAATAAACATCCCATATTCATTTGAACAAAATTCAATGTGAATCTTTAGATTTAACTCTGTATTTCTTGTAGTTATCCATGTCCAAGGTCCACTTCTCCTTAGTAGAGAGGCCTGCAATATCTTCTGGTCAGATGGTCCCAATGCTGGAAGGTAAGACTTATTATGTATTTCAAAAACCATTTCATCAGGTTATAATGTATGTGTACTTTTGATGAAAAGAAGGCTTAATACTTGTATCTGTTGTAACAGGCTGTTGGTTTATTAAATTTATTTAATTTGTTAATGTTAAACTACTACATAGGATGTTTTAATGTGATTTAAATTTATGTTATTAAACATGTTCAGTGCAACAAAAATTACACAAAGAACTACTTAACAGAATAAAGAAGATGGCTTATTGTAAAGAAGTTTTAAGTTTTACACAAATTTTTCCCATTAAAATCAGTGTGAAACAAAACTGTTGATTTGCAAGCAATTTCACTTGCTACATGTAAGGTTAGAAGGAATATTCATATAATACATAATTATATTTTTTCAGGTGCCAAGAGCTAAAAGTTGGATATAGAGACAGTGGCGAAAAATGTGGCCCAGATGATTTTGTTGTAAGAAAATCTTCTTCTATATGATATCAGTTTAGATGAAAAAATGATAATATTAATAATGGTTTAAATAATATTTATAATATTATTTATAAATATAAATATTATTTATAATATTTATAATAATAATAACAATATTTTAGTCTTAATTCTTACAAGTTAATTTGACTTAACAGTATTAAAACATTAACATATTAAACTATTCAGACAAGAAATAAAACCATTGTTAAGACATTGAATTAAAGGGTATGTTTGAAATACCATTGATAGTTTTATACCTAAAAGAACTTTAAACTCTCTAATTTCCTAGAAAGGTACATTTTCATTTTTTTCAAACCATTCTTTGACACTATTTGGTGCAAAATAAAGGCTCATTCCCAATAAAGCTATCATTCTACGTAGATCGATCCAGTTCCACAGGGATTCTGGCTGATTGCAGTCAGGTTAACAGGTCTCTCTTTGTTTCCAACATACTCTTATAACCACCAGCTTCTCTGTATTCTACTTAAATTAAGAGGAGTATTATCCTCCAGATTAGGGAAGGTTATATCATTGTCAACCATTACTTTTGAAGTTACCGTAGTGTTTGCGTTATTTGTTAACCTTTTTTTTATTTTTTCAGGAACTTAGTCATGTTTAATTGTCTTTTCCTAGAAAAGGAAAATGATCATCGTCAGATCTTTTTAAAAATTGAAAAAAAATTGAACTCTGACTTAAGGTAAAATATTATTGAATATTGTGGACAACTGATACTTAACATTTTCCCTACAGATCCCTAGAGAACACCTGAGTGGGTTTAGTACTTATGGTTACAATGCATCCCAACCAAACCAGCAACACTTCTCAGATGGCCCTGGTCTCCTAGCTGCAGACTATGTGGTTTACATTCAGGCTCGCAGTACGGGCAGCTGTTCAAGAGATGTAAGGGGTATTGCCTGTACTTAATACATTCAGAAGTTAATTTGGCATTATTTTTGCTGAAATCAAATAGTTTTTTTTTTTTTTTAATTAGAGAAGTCTTGTCCAATTTTCTGTGGTAAAATTTAACTAGCATTATTATTTGGTTTGGATTTGCTATTTTTAGTGAGACACTAGACATTTTATTTAACAAAGCATTCTCAGTGTTATTTCATAATGTGTGCAAGTAGCTCTCTCATTTTCTTATTAATTTAGAAGTATGTCATTTTCTGAGGGTTTCCTTTTTTCCTTGTTCCCAGAATTTTGCTGTGATGGCATATGCTTCTTATTGTCGACAAGATCAAAATGGCCGCCCTGTGGCAGGATATGTTAACTTCTGCCCAACACACTTAAATGATGGTACATTTGAGGAAAACAAAGCAGTGCTGGTAAGATTGTTACATGTTCTGATCATTTAGTATCATGTCAAAAGAAAATTCAACATTGTTAGGAAGTATATTATTATTAAGTAGAAATGTTATGTACGCATATTGTTTATTTGTGAAAAGAATTTGAGTTCGGATATTGCAGGATTGAGTAAAATGACATGAATTTTATTCTTGACATGTTTAACAATTGGGTAATTGTGCATCTCCTCCTTTTTCAGACTATGATCCATGAACTATTCCATGCTCTTGGCTTCTCCAAGAACCTGCTTGATGAATACCGGGATTGTTCTCATTCAGGTGAGTTGTGGGTTTCCATCAGCAGCAGCATTTTAAAAATAAATAATGGGTCTTTTTGAAAATTTGTGCTTTGATAATAACAATATTTTACCTTGTAAGAAGCCTCTTTTTGTGTTAATGGTTACAGAATTCTTATCTAAGTGGAAGTTGATTTAGTTTATATACCAAATGGAGTTTTAATATGTCTCTTTCATGAAAAAGAAAATTCAATTTCTGAAGATGACGCGAAACATTTCATATTCTCTTGTTTTATTGACTATTTAGGTAAAAAATTATAACAGATTTTTTTTTCTTTGACAGCCTCCGGCCTAAACTGTCCCAAAAGACACCGTGTTACGGGCTCAATCTATAGAGTAGAGAGAATTATCACACCTACACATGTTACTGCTACTTCACAACATTATAACTGCACAACACATCCTGTCAATGAGTTTGGTGCACCTTTACATTTGGTGGTAAGTTATGAACAATATCCTTTGCACGAGTAAGTTAAGTTGGATCATTGATTGTAAGTGAGCTTGATGTTACCAGTTGTTAATGTTTTCAGGTTTTGTTTGTTTTGTCAGGTGTTTGATTTTTTTCACATAAAAGTTCAGGACACATTTTTCTATTGATAATATAATGTATTCTTAACTTTGTGATAATTTTAAGGATTCTTTTACATGATTTATGTAATATTATTGTTGTTGATTTTTTTATTCAGAATAGCAATATTGACTCTCACTGGGATGCAAGGTTTCTACAAGGATCTATCATGGCGCCATCTATAGGCTTGGTAAGAATGATTTTACTGCAATTAAAATCCTCGCTATTTCATTTGGAATTAAACTCCACGAGTATTGAAAAAAAGCTGGAAAGTCAAAAACTTGAGCTGGAGGCAATGTTGTTATTTAGTATTAAGTGATGTTAAATTTGAATTTTTTGTATCCACTAGATCTGAAGTTAGCACTTGGTTTTCAGTGGATTTTATCTTAATGTAAAACCTTATTTACAAAATGTATTAAAAACTGTGCACTGTATTTTTTTTTTTATTATTATTTTTTTTTTTTGATTGATTTTTACTTATGTAACAAATTTTATTTTTGTTCTTCTAGCCACATTTAACATTTATAGATAACATGACAATGTCACTGTTTGAGGATATGGGATGGTACAAGGTTAACTATCAGGAAGTAGATGACTACCACTGGGGAAAAGGTAAAAATTTTAATATTATTAAGCAAAGTAATAATCTAACAGTATAGTCTAACACTAATAGATACGTGATTGGAAACTGAATTTTCTTTGGCTAAAAGTCTTATATCATGAAACAGTAAATGGATTAATAAATAACGATAACATTTAAATAGATGATCTGTTTTACTTCATAAATTTTTTTCACCCTTCAGATGAAGGCTGTGACTTTGGTTTGCAACAAGCCTGCAATGACGAGTCTGAGTTTTTCTGTACAGGAAAGTGAGTGATGAGTTTTCTTTTAAAAAGAAATGAGATCATTTCATAGTGCTGTTAGTTCTCCAACCAGTTTGTAACAGCAATGCCTCTCTTCAAATATTTATTAAGTGCCACTTAATATGTAGAAAATAAAAATAAAGTGAAAGATAGAATATTAGATAAATTTTGTTAGTTTATTCTTGATTTGATTTGAAGTTTATTTTTGTTTATGATACATTATTTTACTCAGATGTTTACATAACTGTAATTTTGAAATTTGACAAACATTTAATTTACACTGTAGTGATTTGGGCTGTCATTATCTGCACTTGGACAAAGCTCAATGCAGCAAAGATGATTTCTTGGGATCTTGCAGGATATTTATTGCTCAACCTGGGGTAAGTTGTAGTTTTATTTTTTTTTTCAACCTTCTGTGTTTGATTTCTCTGAAATTAGTGTTAAGGAAAGCAAAAAAGGATGTTATTTGGGTCTCATGAGTCATATTGTCATTTTTGCACTATTTGCATTTTACAGGTTAAAAAGTATTTACTCTTTGATTCAGTACTTCATTACTTGCAGTCTTCTATGTTCAAAGTGCATTACTAGCAGTATTACTTGCATGTATGCAAAGGTTGTCATAAACTATTGTTAGGTCTGTACCATATTACTGTATAACCAGCCATTCTGTAAAAAATGAGCTTGAACCAAGAAAGCTTATAAATGTAAAAAGAAAGGTCTCTTAAATTTGTTTTTCTTCAGGGTGCATGTTTTCTTCCATTTGGTGCTTCTGTGTCGCTTGGATACGGTGAAGTTCATAGTTCAAACAGCAGGTGCTTCCTGTCTAACCTCACTCTTTCAGTAAGTGCACAGTGTCACATTTTATTTTTTTTTTTTTTGCACCAGTTTCATTTATTTCATTTGTCTACAAAGTAGAACCAGAATATTTCTGAACTTTGGCAAAAAGCACAACTTCTAGATTCTGGAATATGTTAGGTGCGGTTTAGACTTCTAAATCAGTAAAGTTGGAAAATGGAAATCGAAACTGGAACTTAAACAGTTTGATGTGTTACCTGCTTAGAGGTAATATATAATATAGTACATACTATGTATTGTACTTCAGGGAACCAATGGTGCTATGGATTACTCTGGCAGGTGCTATGAACACAGGTGTGCAGGGATTAACCAAGTGGAGGTCAGGGTTGGAAACTCCAGCTGGATTCCTTGTCCTGGAGGAGACATGGTTGAGGTGACTTCCTTTTTTTAAATAAAATCTAAATCGGTTTTAGAGATAAGGACTACTGAATGTTTTTCACCTGCATTTCCCAGCAATTGACAAAATGAACTTTGAATATAAATCAGAATTGTTTATATCATTCTCCCTTTTCTTTGCTGGTGAAACAAAATGTGGAATCTAGTTGGATGTTTGTGAAAATTCTGGCGATATGATAACATACATTACCTAAATTTGCTTCATGATGATATCTTTTAATATTATGCTTTTTGTTTATTTATTTAATTATTTATTTGAAAATTTTCTTATAAGAATTATGATCTTAATTTTAAATGTTTTAAAAGGTTTTGTATTTTAGACAGTTCTGAATGCTCAGCATATTCGTCCTTATTTTAAATATAAGCGTATCCTGATATTTCAGATTCCGGGTCTTTTGGGCTCTCTTCTGTGTCCTATGGAAGGAGTGCTGTGTGCAACTCTTCCCTCATCCCCTCGCCCTCGTGTTACCCCTCAATCTTCATCCTCATCATCATCATTACCACCATCATCATCAACATCGACTACCCCTTCCACAACCACAATTAGAGTTACTGTTAAAGGTAAGTGTGATTGTGACATCCTCTTACTATTTATGGCATTTATTGAAATTATACTTGGTTTTCAAGGCATTGCAAACAGTTGGAATACTATATAGATTTTCAGTGTGTCAAGAGTCTTCTTGTACAAGTACTTTTTGGCAATATATTCATTCCCAGCAAGATAAATTATTACCAGTTTAGTATTGTTATAGCAACTCTTGACCATGGTTATCTCTATTTCCAGACCCATCTTCTTCAGTCACTGCAGAACTGACGTTCAATATAAACTACACTGCTCTTGTTGCTGCTGGGAGGGTGGATTCCTTCCAGAAGGCAGTGATAAAAGAGGTGCTAAAAGCAATCAAAATTACCAGTGATAGAATAGATAATATTTCTGTGAGAGAAGGCAGTGTTATTGTGCAGTTTGATATCCTCCCTGCAACTTACGAAGACCAGGGTAAGTTGTCTTTGACACACATTGCACAATTAAAAAAAAAAAAAAAGATGTTTTCCCCATTCCTGGTAAATATTCAGTTATGGTTGGGGTGGTTATAATATTTGATAAAAAATAAGATTTTGAACAGAAATTTATTTTTTGTTCCAGCCAAATTTTAAATTGTGAAAAGCCAATGATGTCCAGTAAAGAGTGTTGGTGGTGAAATGTAAATCCCTGTTTGCTTTTACTTGCTAGGCCCTTTGGTAAAGACTGCCTATGCTCAATTGGCCAAACTGGTAAAAGAAGAACAGTTCAAAGTCGAGTACTTAGGAGAAGAAATAAAACCATTATCACTCAGGTAAGGGATAAACAGAGATGAGAAAAAAAGTTGCATATTGGAGGAGAAAGTTATTTCTTCTTTTAAAGTTATCCAGATCCACCTGTTATGTTTTAAAGGTGTTTCAGATTGTACCAATTCTGAATAATAAAACATGGTATTATGATATATTTTGTAAATCATGTCATTGTTCATATTTTGACTTCTTTCAGGTCTACAAATCTGAACACCGACAGTCCCTTTCGTCTGGGTGCAGCAGCAGTAGTTGGAATAGTGATAGCCTCTCTGATAGTTTTCAGTCTCTTTGTGGTGATAGTGGTCGCTATCAACAAGTACAAAGTGCGCCATAGACAGGTGTGTCCTAGCGCTGCCTCCTCAGGCTCTGGCCACGACCTTCAGATGACCCATCTGTCTCGCACAAACAGTGCCGCACTGAGTGCGCGAGGAGTGGTGATAAGCACAATAGGCTCTGGTTTCACGCAGCCAGATGATCTACCAGCTATTTGAGATTATCCTTCTCTGAAGGAGCAAGATGTTTGAAAATAATTTTGATTTGATCTATAGGCTATTGCTAGTTAGAATATATTCTAAGGCTTATAAAGAAACAATGAGAAGCTGTCATTTAATAAAAATGCCAGTGTATAGATTTGTCCAGTATAATGCTTATAGAACATCGCAATATCTTTTCCCACAGTATTTTTTCATTCCAACTGTAACTTGACAGTATAAGTATCCAAGTGCAGTGGATGTGTTTTATAAGAGGCAATTAGATGCATTATGAATGTGAACACTTGTGCAATTATAAAGTAGTATAGCTTGTTTTTGCTAGTCTAAGACCATGGCCAGTGATTGAGAAATCTATTTCCGGATTGATTAATTGGATAAGTAATAAATTACTATTTAGATGATAGCAGAATGTCTGTTAAAAACTTACACTTAATATTTCCTAATAACTGTGATATTTTGCGTCCAAAGAGACATGTTTTCTGTAGGTATAGTATTTTTATAAGAGATTAATGAAAATGATGTTCAATGTAACATTTTGTATTTAAGCTTAATGTGCACCAAGTGCATCACATAGGCATGGTACAGTTGCTCTGAGCATTAGTTTTGAAATTATTTTAGTTACTAAATGTGATATAATGGCATTGATATCAAATATGATATAAGCATGATTTTATTTTTAACTGTCTCATGTATTTTCTTTCCTTTGTAGGGGGAAGGAGGCAGCGCAGGCTCTTTTTTTAGTATTTCAGTTGCATTCTTCAAAACTCGAGAAGGACCAGTGTAACTGGAGCCAAGAGTGCTCTCAAAAATTGGCACTACCAGGCTATGTTAGTTGTTGTTATGTGTCATATGAGGATTTGAGTCTTCTTTAAAATTTTTTTCAAGTGAGTGAAAAAAATATACATATAGATTGGCTGAATTTTACAAAATTTCTTTTCAAAAACTACTTTGATTTAGGATATCTTGTTTGACAGGAGGTAAAGAAAGTAACATAAAAGGCATTTAGATACTTATAGATTAAGTAATTTTAATTAGAAAATCTGTATTCATTATGAAGAATGGCTAGTATTTCTGGTAATGATATAATTGTCCAGAGGCATTTATAAGGCCAGTGGTACTACTTGTATACACAATAGTGCACCATAGGATTTAAGTGCTTAGTCAAAAAGAGATTTAACTTTGCTTCAGTAACAGTTCACAAATGTGGATGAGCTGCAGAGTTTGATTTAAAGGAAGTTAATGCTCAAGAAAAGAATGCCATCTGCATTTGGATGCATATTCCCACCAGAATTTGGTGTGTATGTCTAGTATTATGCCAACAATGGTCTATAGGTAATCAAAACTTTTTAACCTTGTTGAATATGTTAAACGTATGAAGAATAAATATACAATTGTCTTTCAAGTATTTATTTTTCATTTTCTTATTTGTTTTTTCTCAGGTATTTGAAGATAATGATCCATGGAATGAATGTTTGCCAGTGCCTATTTTTTTTATTTCACATAGATGTGTCCAAATTCTGGTTAATATCATTGATATGTATGATTTCAGTTCAAAATGCTATGAGTATCAATAAGTCTTTTGCAGCTAAGGGAAGGACGAGAGGTTGGCTTGTTTTGTTTACTGAGGAGCTGGCTCTCCAGCATTCTTTTGTTTACTGAAGAGCAAGTGCTTCCATATATATATATATATATATATATATATATATATATATGGTGAATGCTAATCTCTGTAGAATTTAACATTGGCTACAAATTTTTTGTAAACATCTCAATGTCGGTTTTTCTTTAACTTTTGAAAGCTTCACTTCGTAAAGTACATCAGTTCCATGTCAAACTATGCACATAAAACTCCACCATTCAGAAAAATGACTAAAACTTTAACTATTTGATTCAAAAGCATATGTATACACCATACAGATCTGGGAAGGAGGTAGGTGGTGTGATATTATTTAGATAAATGGGCAGATCAGACACTCCATATTCAAAACAAGTCTTTGTTTCTACAAGAACATCTTTATTATCTTTCTATATATTAAGTTTCCATTAATACATAAATCAATACACCTGTGATGCAGCTTCTAATACATAAACAGAACACTGCAACAGGAAACTGGTTAACAGTGGTTTAAGAAAAAATACAGTAAGAAATTGATCGGCAAACATTAATAAAAGGACGGAACAGTTAAAATACTATGTTCAGGGATTTTTAACCAGATGAAAAAGAAAAACTTTTAATAACCTTTAATATGCAATTAAAGATGTTTGATTATCTTGCAAGGAATTCCTTAAGATTTGTTATACTGGCGGTCATCAGATAGGACTATCCTTCAATAACTAGAAATTATTAACATAATAAATGACTTAAGTGATTTTACTTAAATATTTGGCTATTAATGACTTGCTTTCTGCAGTAATCAAACTATTCACTAGTTATCTGTTTAATTAATTTTTTTTTCAATTCTAAACAGATGAAAATTCAGCTGATTTTACCTGTTAACTGTGCTTAAATCACTTTTTCATTTACACATATATGCAAAGTATAGCAATATTGAAGTGCTAAAAATATACATGCAGTCCTAACAAAGATGCAACAATGATCACTAACAATTCAGATGGCTACTGTGGTATTGCACTTTATAAATCAGATACTTTGGTCCTCAGAACTGACTGGTATATATCATGGAATTCATGAAGTAAAATTCAATTCATACTTTAAAACATTGGCAGGGAATAACTGCCAAAGGCTTTCCTTAGTTCAAGTCTTATAAAGTATGAAACGGGGCACAGTGAGGATGCATTTTTAAAACTTTTCTAGTGCCTCACTATACTCTGGGATATCCTTCAAAGAACAGTTTGCTGGGGCTGTCCTGACTAGGTCTCTACAAACATCTTCTACACATACAGGTCTCTATGTGACCTTCTTTTTAAAACAACCAACGCTTGTGTTGGCCATGTTTATGGTCACATGGGGCAATAGACCGAAAGTTAGTAATCTGTGTTAAATTTTTAAGTCAACAACATCAACCATTACTATCTAAAAGATAAGGCTGTTAGAATTATCAATGGCACCAATAGAATGCAATCTGACAAAAGATGGGCACATACATGCAAAAAGAGAATAAACACTTTTGTGAAAAAAAGATAAAATTATAACATAAAAAACTATCTAAGTCAAAATATTCAATTAATCCGAAGTTCTGTTACAAATGATATGAAGCTTCGTTAACATATTCAACACACAAGAACAACTGAACTGATATGACAAATTGTACACTAATAATTACTATATCTACACCATTCCTCAAAAACCAATCAAAGAACTTGATTACAGAATTCTAGATTTAAAAAGAAAAAAAAAAGATTGTAATTGTGATTCCAGACCACCAAGGGTCAGTGCCCAAACACAGATTGCCACAGCACAAGTGATCTATGCAGCAGGCAAGAGAATTAGTAATTATTAGTCCACACCACACAACACGCAGGTCTCAATTGCGCCCAGTTCAATGAAAACATGGCCCCCAGGATTCCCTCGTCTCTAGATGTTGTAGAAGCTCCCGTCATGACGAAAAATCCCTTGGCCAAACAGTCATATGGTTGGCAGGTGCGTTCCCCCATACTTGTTCTTCTTCTCCCCTTGCTCACGGTGTGCATGCTTGGTATTGAGGACAGGTGAGGTAGAAGGTGCAGGGTGGTTACCTGTCAACTGGGGTAATGAGTTACTATTCTGTAATAAACAAATGAGAAAATAGTATAACAACTTGTCTTTAATACACAGGTAAATGTTGGAGCATTATTTAATACTATTGTACATCATTTCTTTCTTTTAAACACTAGTGAATTAAAAGTTTAGATGATGTCTAACAATCTCCATACTGGCAAATTTGTTTCATGAAAACATTCAAAAGATTATCTTTAAAAATATTTTGCTTGGGGACATTCTACTCTTTTACTGAAAATAAACTTCAAAAATAACTTCCACTAGCCTACAAGTAAATCTACCAAGGAAATTACAATTACTTCAACTTATACCTTACCATATTCACCTAACTAGCGCCACATCTAACTGGACATTTGTCTATTCCTGACATAAAGCATTCAGGATGTAGCTACAGGTATCATGCTTCCCACTAACCCCACATCTAGACCCAAATTTCAACAAGCTATAAGCCAGAGAAAAAGAGGAGTTTTTGAAAGTGAAGAGAGATGGAAGAGATGGAAAAGATGGAAAGGTAGAAACGAGGGGAGACAGTAATTTTAAAGTTGAAATGAAATGGGGCAGCGAGTACAGACTGCAAAGATGGGAGACAGTGGCAAGAATAATCATGCCAAGCTGACACAGTGAGGTATCACAACCCAATGGACTGTATTTTTATCATGCCAGAACATCTTAATACAATCTGCCATTGTTAGACAAATTGTATTCAGTCCGGCACATCTCCAGGGTGACTGCATGATGGAATTGTATCTAGTCAGCCAGACCACACAACAGATGTACCCCCAGTTGTGATCACCGTCAACTGTCATAGACATTGCATACTCTACCTACCTAACTGCTAACCATACAGATAATGAAAATTAACCCACCCCAGCATCGTAAGTCATGAAGACTGGTACTTTGTAAAGCCCTACCCCTGCCCTTGACTTCTGGTCCTTCCTTTCCTGCTGCTTGCGTCGCTTGTGGTTCTCTTCATTCGTGTTCCTATCACCAAGATAATCGTCCAAATAGGCATGACTTAGCAATTCTTCACAAGTTGAACGTTGAGATGGATCCATTGCAAAGCATTGCTAATTAAAAAAAATCATAAAATAGTTGTTAAATTGTTAAAAATGATGCCTGGGAATATTATATATATAAAATACTCTGAATATTTCACACACAAAAATGGTATAGCATGTTCATATATCTAAACATATTTTCTGGCCAGACCTTATGGACTATCAGTGGCCTTACAAAATACTTACTTGCATGAAATCCATTGCCTTAGAGCTTATATTTGGAAATTTTTCCTCGAGAGGCTCCTGAAATGTAAACCACAAATATAAGAAATCCTTCTTTTGCACAGATAGTACTTTGAAGTATGTTTTGTGTCATTTTATCACTGTAACTACACATATAAGCATTACGATGACAATATTCATCAGTATACTAAATGAATGTATACTTGTTACACAAGTAAAGACTAGAGGATCAAAGCAGCAATACTGCCACCAGGATTTGTGCCACCAACACGATTAAGTGCTTTCAATTTTGGAAGTTCATTTTCAATTCATATATCAGTCATTCTTTCATTAATGATTATCAAAACCCATCTGTTATTTATATGATCTGATTGGTGAAGGTATGTGTTCCCTGTAAGTAATCTTTTAAGACAGAAGAGTGTAAGAAATAATGTATCCTTATTTAAACCAAATACACCTTAATTGCCCACCAAAACTTCCCTTTACTCATAAACACTGTTGATTTCCAAATTGAACCTTCTCCAACTTTGTCCTTAAGACTTATTTTTCTAACACTTAAAATTCAATGTACTTTACAATAATATGCTCAATAATTAACATCCCTGCCCTGTGCGTTCAAAGATTTCAATGACCCTTCAATGAATTGCCCATAGGGATTTTATTAATAATAATAATAATAAATAGCTTAGCTCTGAATGAACTGGTTTACAGATGACCTGCATTTGGGGTAACAAAAGGCCTTTGTTATTCTACCTACAGGGCACACTCCATGCTTTTAAGTTCAATGGAGTGAACTTATCAAAGAAGGTAACAATCAAGAACCAAGCTGCCAACAATAGAGACGTGGAACCACATAACAACATGTTCAACACAGATGGCAATTTATTTCTGCTAAAAACCTTCCCCTCTAAATGATAAAAAACCCCTTTCCTTACTGGGTAGTTGGGCTAAAGTTAATGCAGAAGTGCAGCTCAGACCACAAGCTACATAAGGTATATACATTCTTAACATGTTCTCGGTGCATTCAGGGCCACAATCTTGAAACTATCAGACTAAAAATCACGAATTTCCAACAAATTTCCTTATGTAAGGTATGATTTTTTTTAAAGAAAAATATATCACTTACCAATCTGTCTGGCACTGGAATAGTTAACCCTTTAAAAAACTGATTGTTTGAAAATATGTCCACATGTCTTGGAAGAAGGTCACCTAGAATTTAAAAAAATTCATATATAAATTTTGAATTCAAGTGCCAAGAGAAGCAAAGTAAATTTCTTTTGTCTTTTATGGTGCACAATGATACTGATGTTACCATTTAAACAGGTCCAAGCATTGAAGATATCAATAAATATCAATAAATAAGATAAAATATCAATAAATATATATATATTTGAAGGCAACAGAATGGTTTTTAGGGGTTCAGTGTTTATTCTATATCTATGACACAAGTAAAAACTAGAAACACAATCAGAGAGCACAAACCTCAGTTAGGGACTTTAATTGTAAGAAAGTATAACAACCGACATTGCATGTGTCTTGAAGCAGACTCCCAGAAAGATTTCTATATGTAAGAACTACAACACATCATAAAAGTATTAAAAGGTTCTTGAAGGAAACTTCATTGGGTTATAATTTTTCCACCAGTGCAGCAAGTGATCCAATGTGTGCGTGACGTGTACCATTAAAATAAGTCAAGACATTGTTATTACAACTTGCTAAGCTTCTATGCTGAATGTGTTTGGGTGTGATGCAACATGCATTGCTTCGATTCGTACAGAGCATGCTTGCATGTGACATGTCAGGCCACAGCTTACAAATAATGCTTGAGACGTGTACCACTAAAAATAGGTCAAGAGACTATTATTACTTGTGTATTTTCGATACAGAGTGTGTTTCTATGGTACTCCTTTTCACCCTTATTGGTTAATCTGCCAAATAGGATCAATTCATTCAGAGAAAAATCCAAGAAGATCTAAGTATTAAATCTTGGGTAAACAAAATTTAGATAAGCATGTGCTCTGATGCCCTTCAATAAGTTAGTTTGCTTAGGGCCCAGTGAACTATCACATTCCCCCATTTATCAAAACTGTTGACAGGTCCTATGTGTCCTTCTTTTCATTAAAGACTTCTTCTGTCAATTTAATATATCTTATACAACCATACCTGCATGTTTGAAAATATCAATACACCACTACGTGCTGTCTGAAGATTACGGGCATCAGATGACAGATTTATGCATTACGTTTGGCAAGCATATCACCTATTATAGTCTAATAACACCAGTTTTGTTATTTTTCTATACTAAAGGAGTCATATTCACGAAATAAGGGCATATCTTCACAATCACATTATTCCATAATACTTTTTTTAACATCAAAGGTCTCTGAGTAAATTTGCATTCTATGTTAGAGTTCCATTATACACTGGCACAGGAAATGCAACCCACATTGTATTTCCACAAGTGTATACACAGAAATAATCTCGGTCCACAGTAATTCAACTCACTCAATCTCCCAGTTTAATAGATAAACCTCTTTAGTGTGTAGAGAGAAACAGGATCTGAACACAATCAAGAGTGCAATTCCATAATCTTTTGGTAATCATACATATGGCACAGCATAGCAAACATTATTAGGAGTACGAGATTTGACTGGGTTTATCATCAGTGTTCACTGGAAGACTGGTTTCCCATAGATTTAGATCGATCTATCCAAATCGACCTAACTCCTTGGGGGTTCACGCTAAATTGCTGTCACGTTCCAAGAGCCGAGCTCACACAAAAGTTAATTACCCCCTTACAGCTTTTAGTAGGCGGGACAGACATTTAAGCTGGTCAGGCTGACAACAATCTAGTGAGACTCCCCACAGGATAGATCAATCTAAAAATCTATGGGAATGCACTCTAAAACATCTTCAGTGCAGGACTCTAAGAAGGATATTGCATTAAAAAAATTCAAATACTCATAACAGTCTATAAGAGTTAAACCAACACCATTAAGTCAGAGCAGTCATACTTATTGTTTGGCATCCTATGAGACAGTTACCTAATGTTTTCCTGATAAGATATAACTGATCCACATCAGAACGCCCTGGCCAGAGTGCTTGCCCAGTGATCAACTCAGCAAACACACAACCAATTGCCCAAACGTCCACTGGAGGTCCATATGCAGTGTCCCCCACCAACAGTTCTGGAGCCCTGTACCAGCGTGTGGCTACATAGTCTGTGTACTCATCTCCAGGTCCTGCTGAATCAAAAAACATCTATCATTTCCAAAGAGCAGAAAACATGAAATTAACTCAACAGAAGAGATACAACAAAGACAAGCACTCATATAACATAGAATGAAGGTTAGGCCTGACAACAGCTTACAAAGGTATTAAAATTACTGAAAACAAAACTAAAACCCTCATGACTGAATAATAAAAACAGCCTTTGTGAGAAACATGTATTGCTACAACTGCAAAGCAGTTTCTACCTTTATGATAACATCAAATAACCTTTTAAGTATATAAACAAAAATAATGTGAAACAAATAAATTAAGAAAATCTCCAGAGAAAATTCAATTAAATTTTGCCCAGTGACAGATTGGCAAAGCAGTTTGTTTGAAAGTAGCATGTTTTATCATGCCCCAAGCCTGCTATAAGATAAGTTACTATAGAAAGATAAAGTACTTACTGAGTAGCCTAGCAAACCCAAAGTCACACAGCTTTACAACCCCTTGCTTGGTGATTAGAATGTTTTCTGGCTTCACATCTCTGTGTATACACTGGAATAAAACCCAACAAATTATAACAAGCAGTATAAACTATGAATATCATGTTACGGTTGAAATAATAAAGAAAAAGGAGACTGGAAATTTCCTTTACAAGATGTACATCAAAATATTTGGCATCATATTTAATAAAGTGGGGATCCATATTTTACTTGGTTTATGTAGTGAAGTGCTTCCTTAGTTTCATGATTACATAATATATAAAAACAGGCATTCTAGCAATGTCAACAGTTGAAATACTTGTAAAACCCATTGAAAATCAACATAAAGATACAAAAAGGCTTGATAAAAGCAGATCAACAAATGTTACAAAGAAAATATTAATTTAAAGTCCTACAAATTTTATAAAGGATAGCTGACCCAAAACATTTCAAATGCTAATAATTCAAAAAGAAAATGGAACACCAGCTAAGAGTTTTGAAAGTCTCAGAATAAGGCAACTTATTTTCCAGACTCCGGTCACAAGAATAATAGTGGCATAGTACCACATAGGAACAGAAGAGAAATTGAAACCATTTTCCACCCATGGCACTAATTGACAAAAATTTCAACCTAACTGTTTTGAATAAACATGACTCTCTGTACCAATAAAAATATAGAACTTTCCCAATAATGCAAGACTTAACATAAATGTTTTGGTTTCCATTGTGTTGTTACTGGCACAAGTGTCAGGTGTCATTTGTGTCTGTCCCCCCCTTAGTAACACCAACATAAATGACAGCTGAAACAATGTTTAATTGGATTTTAAGAGTAGGCCTCAGTGATGGCAACTCACCCCTCACAACATTACATTGCCCCTTCATTGATTCTCACTTCACCCCAGGCAACTTAACATGACTTTAATAAGACACAATTATGGCACAATCAATAAAAATGATTGTTAGCTGCATGTTTTGTTATGTGCTCTCTACAACAAAAGATCCAATAGGCACAGCAAAGTTCGATATTCCAATGGGTCACTAATGTAATGTTAGAAATATCAATCGTAATCAGGCCAAATGAGGAAGCTTTGTGATGTGTGGCAAGAGCATTGCCCATACCAAGAAGATCCACTTTACTTACATTATGTGCATGGCAAAAGTTGACAGCAAGGAGGGTCTGATGTATAATTTTCTTCGTCAGTGGTTCAGGCACCCTGGAAAAATAATGAAAACTAACATCAAAATGTGCTGATAAAATCTTAAACTTGAACTTAAAATGTAAATGTATAAACATTCGTAAGTGCTAAGTCAGAACTGTCACCGATACTACTGTAATATTTTTCTTTACAGCAAGTAAATCATGTAAATCAATGAAAATAAATGGCTGCTAAAAAAAAGGTCTTCTTTACCCTTTGGGATTCCTGTCTAATTCATTTAGCACCGTGTGATCCACATATTCAAACACCAAATGCAACCTCTTCTTCCTTTTGAATACTTCTGAAAGGTTGACTAAGTTTGGGTGTTTTAATTGCTGGAATGAGAAAAAAGGTACCAAAAACCATTAGCATTCTGTGCTATACATCAGTCACAAAGTCCAGAAGAAACTGGATTTAATTCATGCTTTTAATTGCACCATAAAAACAATCCCTACTAGTACATCATTATAAAATTAGAGCAATTAACTAACAAGGACTCCGCCTTTCACATGCCTCCCCACACGTCGTCCCTTGACTGGTCGAATTAAGCTGAGATTTAATTACTGTGCCCCTGCAGGGACGACGCATGGGGAGGCATGAAAGAGGCGGAGAGACCATTACAGGATTAAACGGTCTTCCTTTCATGTAGGTCCACCATATTTAGGCCGTGGACCAGTTAGCACTCAGATCTTCTCATTCTGAATGGCCCCTGTATCTTTTATTTATCACAACAGCAGATGTTGCTAAAAAACTAAATGTCAGACAATTTATTATCTATTGATTTCAGGAAATTATCCTTTTGTACTATTATTCCTTGCCAAGCTTAATCTAGGTAAAGCAAATATTTATAAGGTTGCTGAGCAACCTATCTACAGGTACTTCATCATACCCACTTCATTTCCTGGATTAACTACCCTATACAATAATGCATACTTCATCTTCAAAGACAGCTTCTTTTTTAGATTCAACAATGAATAATTGATAGAACTTGTAACCTAGTTTGGTAAGCAGTGCTTAACTCCCGTGAGTGTATTCATTTTTACAAATATATCCCAATGAGGATCAGTTTGATATCACAATGGAAGCAATTACATTTGATTATTTTTCCTTTGAAACCTTGCATCAAAAGCTGACAAAATACATTTGAAACCAAATTTTCTAATTTAAATATGAAAAACAAACAAAGAATAAATACAAGTACATTAAATACAATGAATAAATATTCCAACCAAAAACAGAAGTAATGGCATTAATGCATATTGAAACTTTTGACACTAGAAACCTGATAGTAGGTAACAATACTTATCAGTCACCACATGTGAGCTATTACATATGACCAAAGACAATATGGCTTGGCTTGATAAAATTAATTATTGGGATTAAAGCACTTTCCAAACATCCAAACACTGGTGTTATGATAAGTTTATTGATTTCAGAAGAGAGCTGGGGGTGGACACTAATGGTACTAGAGTCTGAATAACTGTTTAGAGAGCTAATGTTAGATTAAAATGTTTACAGCATTCTATACAATCCATAACTTTCAATGTTAAGTACATAAATGATTTCAAGTAACCCCATAGTGACACTGTTTTCATTTCATAACAGTAACTGGTTTATATATCATATTAAGGGTAATAGAACTAATACTTGAAATGAAGAGGTATAAGATTCCAACAGCCGTCCATGTATTACTTGTAGAAGTTAGGTGTTTTCAACTCAATTTTGTGAATAATTATGAGCAAATAAGTTCCAAATCCATTTTAAATACATTAAACTACAGATCTCCTGATGTTTTTTTTTTTTTTTTTTTTTTTAAATAAATGCAGCCTCCCAAGTCTAGATGTCAGTTTTCAAAGCTATTTTACCTGGTATTTCTTTCTAAATTTGCTAATGACATGAGTAGAATATATAAAGGTGAACATAGGACAAAGGCCAAGGCTCTTTTACTTAACACATTTTTGCCACACAAATATACTTAATATAATTTAGAAGACTTTTTATGTAAGTGAGACATTTTCAACATATATCAATAATGTATAAACACAAAACTGCAATAAGGATGGTTTTTCAAAAATACTGCTTTCTTTCAAATGACATATTGATCATAAAATGAAGGACAGTGTTAAAAAGCCAGTATTTCCAGCATTTAATTAAAATATGATCTTATTTTTTAGATCCTATATTTCAAAACAAATAACGATTAATAGAACAGGGTATAGAACAATGCCTATTCACAAACTTGCCAAGTTGACCATGGGAAAACTGACCATACTCATCGCTACATGTTCTAGCAAATTTGCCATGTTTAATCTCCACTCTCATCAAAACTTTACTCAAATTAAAAAAATGGGCAACATTTGCAATCTACAGGTATCTTTCTTTCTTTTTTTTTTTTTTTTTTTTTTTTTTGTATGATAACTGATACCTATGCAATTTGGAAGCTTGGATATTTTTTATCATTCATAATACTGCACCAATAATGAGACAGAAATATCTTAACAGCTGCATCAATGTGTATTTTTTGTTTTAAAAAATTTGTTCAATCTCCCATAACTATAGTAAAACATACAATGACACATTTGAGAGCTACAGGCTGGTGATTTGGATTAGTCTTTCATGTGTGTGTGTTGTGCTGTAGGTTGATTATTCATACAGTCCACGTGCATTGTGTACTAAGCTTCTTTTGCTACAAAACAGTTATTTTTGAACATATCGGACTGGTCTATCTTCTGTATGACTTAATTTAGATTTAGTTATTAATCACAAGAAACTGCACTGAAAAATGATTACAGGATTGGTAATTGTTTCTAAGTTGCCAGTGAAAAGGGTAACCCACCTTTAACATTCTGATCTCTCTCATTGCTATCTTTTTAATCAAAGGATCGTCTTCAGATTCTACAAATTTCTTGATGGCAACTAGTTGTCCTGTTTCTTTGTTCCTACATTTGAACACCACTCCATAGGAACCTTCTCCTATTTTTCCAATTTTTTCGTATTTATCCATAGTCATGTTCAGAGTTTATATGGTTCAATATGGCTACCAGGTACTGGCCCGAGTGGTAAAGTTTGGTGATATGTGCCACAGCTGAGTACCTTTGTAGACACAGTGAGATCAGTGGGGGTCTAAACTATGTAATGACATCCTTGTTCGTGAAGTAAAATACAAATACGACTGTCCCGCAAGTCTTCGATTTTCGTCTCGTCTTGCGTTCTCCTCTGCACACAGCCTGGCAAAATAAATATTTTGATAGTGAAATGTCAAACGATTTTAACAACGCATATCCCCGTAAAAAACTTGGTCAGTGTCCTACATACTGATTGGGTATGTCTTTTTAGTCTTTATACTACATGTCAAGAAATATTATTGGAACAATTCAAGAGCATTAAATTGAAAATTCATAGATTTTTCCTCAGTAATTACCTTCACGAATTCCTCTGGGAACATGTAATCCTCCGCCTGCCTTCTAGCTCATTTCCGGTTCGTCATAATTATTTCAGAATTTATTCTAATTTCACTTATCATATATGATAAAGACATACATTATGAAAGTATGTCTGGAAGTTATAGACAATTATATACCAGGACATATGAAAATAAAAAGAAATATTTAACCGGACTATAAAAGTAGTTCTGCGTTTTGCGGTTCATTGTTATTGTGAATACCACTGTGTATAGCAACCTGGTCACGTGATCACACAAGCCAAACAGCAAATAGTTTTTGGCGGTCCTCGACTCTTGCACATTGCTATGGACTATCTTACACACTGCTTTGGGCTTTTATTTCATATTTGGTGCGTATTTAAGCTGGTGGAGTTTCCATTTAATTAATTAACCCCTTTAAAGGCTCTATAATAACTTGCTTTATGTTTCTTCAATTTTCGTGATGTTTGGAACCGAACCAGAGAGATTTTAAAAATCGCTGCCAATTTGACTTAGGAATGTAGCCACCGATGTAAAAAAGGAGCTTTTCAATTTGCAGTCCAGTACTTTTTACTGATAAATATATTAGAACGCTATATGAAACCTTGAGTTTGAGCTGAAGTAATTGCCATGCATTTAAAAAGCTGTGTCGATTTTCTTAATTTGATTAACACTTTCTTTATTAGACATAATAAATAGGTTCCTTTTTTCTTACATTAGTAACTATGTCATAATTTTTGGCAGTTAATTTCCAAGGAAAAAAATATAAGCCCAACAGAAAAAGTACGTGGATTTGATCAGTAACCTAGATAGATTAGCCTTATACATCACTGATTTGATGGAACTCCCTTCTCTTACGGACCACATTAATTAGACTTAGGGAGACACGTATAGGGCCTTCTTTCTAAAAATTATTTTAGTTTTAATTATTATCATTATTATTATAAGCCTTATCACGATCGAAATACTGGTCTAAGTAGCCTATTAATTCTTTTTTTTTTTTTTTGCCTCGGACCCACTCCCATTTCATGATACATGCAATAATAATTTCCAATCATTTATCGCTGCCACTAATTAGGCTGTTGCCCCCTTACACACAATATACAATAGAGATAAATTAAGGGCAAAAAATTACATATTGCAATGGCTGATCCAGATGGTCACAACAGGTACGTGCACCTTTTTTAGCTTCCGATGTACCCCTTCTCACCCCTACTCCCATTAAGAACAATAAAATACGATGCGACACGTGACAAACCCAATCAATTTCTATAACTCTGCATATTATTGTTAAGTTGCCCTCGTCTAATTTATTTTCTTCGTCGAATGAAGCCAGGGGGAAATTTTTATTCTTGTGCCATTCCTTAATTGCTACCTTCTACCAGGATCACCGAATATGCCCTCACGATCCCTTCTCCCTTTTCTACTCACCATCCACCCTTAGTGAGAAGAAGACGAAGAAGAAGAAAAAGAAGACGTGTCACTGAACAATAACTTAACAATCACGAACAGTTACGAAGAGCAGTTTTATTCAAAAATTAAGGAGAGAAATGGATCACAGAGATAACTATGGGGAGCAAAGGGGAATATGACACACTTAGTACCCAGGTCAAACAGACAGAACATAACTGTAACCCACTACGATGAGCATTTAGGAAATGTATATCAATCCACTAGAACAATACGATTGGTAGTTAATACTGTAGATAGTTCATAACAAGGATAATCAAGGCTAAATTTTTCAGTTTTCATTCATGCATTTTTTATTTGAATAAACGATAGATGAACCATATTTGTATGGATGAACATATAAAACTTAAGCTTAGGCCCCATTCAGAACGAGAAGAGCCGAGTGCTAGCTCGCTAGCAAGACCGCTCTATCCTGTAATGGTCTCTCCACCTCTCAAACGCCACCCAAAGCGTCGTCCCTGCAGGGGCACAGTAATTAAATCTCGGCTCAATGCAAACGGTTAAGGGACGACGCGTAGGGAGGCGTGTGAGAGGCGGAGAGATCATTACAGGATTAGCGGTCTTCTTTTCATGTAGGTCTGCCATATTTAGGTCGTGGCCTAGCTAGGACTCGGCTCTTCTCATTCTGAAGGACCTGAATGCTCCCTTACAAACACATTTGTAAAAATGTTTCAACAATCAAGTCAAGCAAAGAGTTTCAATTCAGTTTTTTAGATTGTGAACCCGAGATATTCTCAATGTTATGATAGAATGCGTAACTATTTTTCAAATGCCCGATGACTAATTAAGATATCAGATTTATTCAATTTTAGAAATAAAACTGACGTGTCAAAGAAATAAAATGTCATATTTATGAGAAAACTTGCTGACTACCATAAATGACTTCTTTCTGACGATTTTCATTTTCAGTTACGGTTAAAAGTATTGTGTTACGACTTTCAACTATGAAATATTTGCATTAGGCCTACTATCTCATTTGGTAATGTAAGGATATGTTATTTTTTATGACCGATTTCTCTCGGTCCTTTTTTTATATTCAAAATGTACAATAGTCTAAGTTTTCCTAATAAGGATGTCAGAAAATTTATTAATATCAACTATTTTTTACGATATGGGCCTACCATTACAGGCTAGATTGTTTCAATACCCGACTGTTCGTCCCCAGTGTGTTAGATGTGACAGAGCTATGCACGACCGTCTTATCCAAAAGGCCCTGTTAGACGTCACGTTTTCAGGACGATGGTGGCGTTTGGGTCGACAAACGTCTGGGTCCCTGTAACGTGACTGTCACTTCTTTTATAAATGTCTGGCTTACACGACGAGTGTCAAGGTCTATTGGGGGTATAACAAAAACCGAAATCGGGATAATAAAATGAGATCGCTACACAGAGCTAAGAACAAAATAGCCCTTAGGCCTACATCGAGAACTATTTCTATCGAAATGTCTGCTGACATGTTCATATTGTACATTTTGAAGCAAAGTGTTGTGAAATTGTATCAGTGACATTAAGTGGTTGATGTTTAAAATGAATGTACTCGAAAATATTGCTGCATTATGCGAGGTCTGTTTAAAAAATAAAGGGACTGGCACTGCGCCTCTAACAATAAAATACTGCATGGCGTTCCCCTTAGAGTCTTATTCACTTTTTTCTGTCCCTTTCTGCCACGCTTGTAGTAGTCACTGCTTGAAGGGTTCGTCTGGGATGCGTCTCAGCCCCTTCATTTTCGCCTCCAGACCTTCAAAACAGTTTTCCTTGATATCCAGGTTTAAATCCTCTGTGAAGAAGTGTGAAGATCTTATGAAGTTCAGTGCCGACTAGCTTTTTGAATTTTCATCTGAAGCCTACCTCAAAGCTTTCGGTCTCACCCAAGACCTTGGCTAGTGTTGATGGGTATGAGTAATAACCACTGAGGTGTGTGACAATTGACATTTTTGTAAAGATGATGGTTCACATTCACTAGTTGCACGTTACAAGTAAAATAAAAGCAAGTAAGTAAAAATCAAGCGAGTTATTGAGTGCAAGTTTAATTTCCTTAAGAGTCAACATGTGTGGAAATTATGTTTGTGTTTAAATAAGATGGTAAATGTCAAAGTCACATAAAGTGTTTTTGATTGGTTAATTTCAAAATTAAATTGTAAGTTCTTCCTCGTGTATAAGACATGCAAACTGAGTTTTGGGTACGATCTAAGTATGATAGATAGCTTTAGAGTTCTAAATGAAAACAAGGCTCTTAGAGTTTGCCTAATAAGGAAATGAGGAATGGTGGAATGACAAATCAGAATGGATAATTCTGGTAATCACGCAAAAGAGGAAAACAAGTAAATGCGTGATCGGTGCGGAAAAATATACTATTAATACTATTAAATTTGTATGAAAAATGAGTCAGTGAATAAATGTTTGAAAGCTTCAAATCTTGTCGTTGTCGCTATAACAGTATTATATCTCCCCGTCTCTATTCAGGCTATTGACAACCCCCTTGGGCTCGGGAAAAGGACAAAAGTCACGCAAGCAAAACCTGGTGAATAAAAACGTTACCTTGCTGAGAACCCCCTAACACGTGCATAAAAGCGTGGCAGAGAAGTGTGGAAAGGAATACGACCTAAAGAGTGTCAATATGAAGGGGAAACCATGTACTATGTCATTTCGAATTATAACAAAATTTTCGTGACACTAGTTCCGTTAATATTCAGACACATGTATATGAAATCTCTGATGACCCATACGTATGATGAATAATACATTGTCAGGGTAATGCTTATAAACACTATGGTTTACTGTCTTCAAATGCAGCATTGATTTGCCCTTCGTCGGCCGTGTTCGCTTGACTGGAAGTTTCCTCTACGGCGGATGGTTCACCATTCTGAATGCGCAATTCGAGGTCTTTTTCTTCGTCCCATTTCTTGTGTTCTTCAGCCCACATGTCCTCTTCTCCCCTCTCGCTGACTTCTAAGAACTTCTGGCCTGCTCGGGAAAGCAAGAAAAACGAAAGTGCTCCGAAGACTATGATACCTACGCATACCAAGACGAACTCAACGGACAAAGGACGCACGATAGCGAAGGCACTCACCAAAGCGACTGTGTCTATGATGTAGATCAAACCAGCCAAAACCAGGCGATGGAAATGGGTGCCAATGACAGAGCCCAAGGGAGCCCCAAACACGACGATGGGAACACAAACAGCTAGAAACTCCCAGCTTTCCAATTCTATTGCTTCCATGATCACGCTCCGCCAGTAAAACCCAACCACGGTGTTTCCGGCCATTAAAATGACAGATGTTGGAGTTGACGTTTTCTCGCTCACACGGAATAGTAGCGTAAGGATGCTGAAACTACATATATCTAGTCCACTTCCCGCAAAAGCTGTAAATACTCCACCAAGAAGACCTGTGGCAATAAGCACTAGCGCTTTCCACCAGTTGAAATTTGGAATTTTCGGAAACGTGCGCCTCTTGTGATATCTGTTCAACCAGAACAAAACGAAAGCGAAAGAAAACCAGATGCATACAAATCCCATTTTCTTCTGTTGCGGGGTGAGTCGCGGATCTATGAACTCTAAGCCGACGATTGTACCAATTCCTCCCCCAAGGGAGCAGAATATAATGGAATGCCATTCCAACTGAACCTTCATCCAGATGATGGTAAAGGCAGCGGCAGTCATCCCGGCTGACTGGATCATCAGGGAGAAATCGCGGGCGATGGAAGGCTTGATTCCAAAGGCAAGGGTCATCACAGGGAAGGCGACGGCACCACCCCCTTCGCTGGTCATTCCTACAGAAATAAAACCTTTGCCATGAAAAGCACTAAGGAGCCCTATTTGTATGAACCACATCAGGCATGGGTAGCCTCACTTAAACCTAAGACCTAGACTTAATTTCTTATTCTTAGAGTGTGACTCTTCCACTTTTCCCTTGAACAATTCAACAGATACAAAACGTAGATACTAGTTTAAAGAAAATGTAAATGTTTAAACATGTTTTGAAAAGCATGTCTAATACCTGCAATCAATGATCCGAAAACCATCGTAATGGACATGAAATACTTTTCATTGAAAAGGTGCCACAGGTTCCGCTTGGCCATGATAGTCAGCCATATGAAGAGAAACAAGGAACTTGGGATGAGGATTCCAATAATTCGGCGATGTAATATCATCGCTTTCTGATACCACTTGGCATCATGTCGTATGGTCTCAATGGCTTTCTGGTGAGTGGCAGTCAAGGATTGACCTAAAAATGAAAAAAATGTCAGATGAATACTTGCTTTGAAATCACCGTAGGATTTATTCAAGAAAAGCTAATGCTGATGATTGTTATAATATATGATTTTAAGCAAAATTCCAAATAAGCTATTTTGGAATAAAGATGACTGTATTTTGCAAGATTGTATATAAATAACTGTTGATGGTGCTTAGCCATAACATGTATTTTTTATTGATGTACCAGACACTCACGAGACTTACAGATGACATCATAAAAGCATATTATTGAAGCATTTGAAACTGGCTTTGAATTTGTTAAGTCAACCTATTCAAAAGCTTGAAGCATAAGAAAGGTACACATCAAAAAGAAAAGCACGAAGAAAATGATTGCGCGAGTCACGTCATACTTATTGTACTTTGTTGACTACAACACATTTTCAGTTTTTTTTTTTTTTTTTTTTTTTTTTTTTTTGCTTTATATTCACCGCTGTCTTTAAGATATTTTTTATTCTGAAAGTGCAAAAATGACGCAGTTGAGTGGTCTTCGAAAAAAAATATTTTGGATTTATGAACAACAGAATTTCTGTTACAGAAATATAAACGATGTAAACACCGTGCATATCTGTTGCTTAGGTGCACATTCTTAAGTCTGGGTTCTGTGCGTCATGTGCATATCGTTTGTTTGTTTATGAAATCCTGGCATTGCATGTTACATGTGTAGACCGACATATCACATTGCGTTCTGTTGCCACGGTGCTTTGGTCGCTTTTTTTACATGTAACATTACACGAATCTGTACCCTAGTAAACAACTTCAAAGAATCGTTTTAAAAATAGCAGCAGGCCCCACGGACAACCATTATATGTAAAATCCTGCATTTTATAAGAACATTATTTTATATCGTCTGTTGATGTATTTTTATTCCATCTACATTGAGCAAGATTTTGGATTTTGTGCTTGCGCTTTAATTGGAAAGTCTAACAAGACTCAAGGGCGGATCCAGGATTATTTGAAGGGGGTCCTAGGATGCGAAACCAACCCTCTCTCCCCCAATGTACTTCCGTCAGGACCCCCCCCCCCCCCCCACCCCCCTAAACCCCGCCACTGAGACTTTGTGAGAGAATATCTAAAACTACGTCGCCGACAGAACAATCAAGAAACAACTCACCCTCCCAGAAGTATTTCTTCAAAAATGCCGCCAATGAAAATGGTCGTTTTCTTCTGCAACATCCTGTGCGGGAGTTGTCGGAGGTGTCTTCGGCTGTGGCAGACGTCGGCTGTGCCAAAAAAAAGAAAAGTAGTTCCAAATATAACGTTTTAAACATAGTTTCTTGTTAATTAGTTTACTCAAACCATACATTTAATTGTTGAAACGAAAAACACTAAACTTTGTATAATTCCCCTTAAAATGTACATACCGGGAACTTTCATCAGGACATAAATCCGACTAGCAATCGATAATTTTTTCAGGAGGTATTAGGTGAATAGCAGTACACTCTCCCAAGACAGAAGAACATTGAGCCTATTGATAACTTTGTCGTTTTGTCTTTTTTTTACACTTAATACGTATAATATGATATGTGCGAGTACCTACACATGTTGGCTAAAATATAACACGGGTGCTTAGTTTACTTATGCCCCGATATTAGTGTGCATCGAAAGGTTCACCAACCGGTGCATAAGCAAGTTCAGCACGTGTGCTATTTTTCATGCATGCATTTGTGACGAAGAAAGCCAAGGGCATAGGGCACCAAGACTGAAACGATATTCATTAGTCAACCAAGGCTTCGGGGGGTCGTACCCAGGCCAGCGATTAAAAAGATTGTTTCGGCTACATTTTTGGTATCTGAGTTATTACAAAAAAAAATGGGTATATTTATTTCAAGCGCCTGTCATGTAATACGTACCATAAACTGGGGGTTTTCGACAGGTTCGTTTCTTTGAGTGTTTTCTTTAGGAATCTCGTCCATGGCTCTCAAGTTTTCTTGTCTGAAACAAATCGCACAGTGCATAAAACAGTGTAAACGGAAAACTGAGATCATACCACTAGCTCAATATGAAAAGAGTTTTGAATAAAGCAATAAAGAGCAAATACCGTTATAACTTATACCAGTATTTATTTGAATCGAATGTGACGGGGCGTTTTATGGACAGCAACTACTCGTCACAATATATAGTTATCAACAAAGATCTTTTTTATGTGGAAGGAACTTTTATTCTTCTCACACGGACTACAACAAGTTGGGACCACGAAGTCCCCTGCACAGTCTACCCTCAGTGGTATCTTTGATTTTAAACTTAATTCTTACTAAATTTGTAACACTACCGTGTTATACATATAACAACGCCATGTATTCACGTCATATTTATGCTCTCGCAAACGATTTTGAGGGGAGGGGGTTATACTGGAATCACCCTTGTGATCGGTGGTCGCTCTGTCTTTTTGTCTTCAAAATATAATTTCCTGTATCTTATGTGCTAAGATCCCGATAGTTGAGAGAGACATTGGTAATGACCAGTTGAAGTGGCCTATACATATTCATGTCACTAGGTCAAAGGGCAAGGTCATAGGGTATATTTTTGTTGACATCTTCTTAGCCTAGGTTGGTGATACTTATTGGAGAAATTGGTCATGGCAAGTAGAAGTGCCTTACATATATTCAGTCCACCTAAAAAGGGGATTTGCTTTATTTTGAAGGATTTGCCTAAAGTACCTAAACCGGTATTCGGGGAAATATATGGATATTACAAATATGACCTTGGATTTGACCTTTGAGCCATTTTTTCAAGATCAAATGAAGGTTTTGTTTTTTCCGTTGCTCTCCAAAGCAAAGCGATTCAGTGTAGTACGTAACCACATTTATTACATTGCCATCACATGCCTAAAAAGTCACTGCACCAAAGATTACGTCAACAATTTCATATGCAATGCCATAAAGGGCACTTAATTTTAGTTTCTACGGCTTGCAAGAATAAAACATTTTATAATTTTCACTGTCGTCACTTTTAAGTTGTAGGTCACCAACTGACTATGTGGTTTACAATATGTATTATCAAATCGTGTCTGTAACGCATGTCTCTCGCAAAGGTTTGTTTTATAAGGTATGCAATATGGAAATATTTGCTGAGTCAATTGGGTAATTGGCATGCCAAAGTGATCACATAACGAGCTCCATTGATGTCCACTGTGATCCAGTTTATATATATGTATGGAAGACATGTAAATATATATGTGTGTGTGTGTGTGTGTGTGTGTGTGTGTGTATGGAAGACATGTAACTGTAACTTAACTTTTTGCCTTTAATATGCACAGAATACTGGAAAGGGAGTGGGAGTATTATGCATAAAAAAACGAAGAATTAACATGTTAACAGTTTAAAAGAAAACGGATTACAAATGGAAAAATAGTCAAACCTCTTGGTTCGCTTGAAAGATGTGTCTGTCATTTATAAGTATAAACATGTTTCGTAACGGCGTCACTGAGTTCATTTCCAATTAGATGCGCCATATTTGAACTGGTGTCATATTCATGTGTCGGTAGTCACTACCATATCAATATGGCCGTGACGAGAGGACACGATACATTGTCAGATGTAAAGGAGCAAGAGATGACATTAAAATGACAGGGAACAAAGATATTATCTTTGATGAACTACAGATTAGTCTTCTCAATTTTTAGGAAGTCGAGCTGAAACCGTTAGTTAATCCATACATAATCATAATCATGCAACAACCATCTATGCACGACAACCGAATAATTACTAGGGGGAAATTACACCTGGGACGTGGTTGTATAAGAAATAATTTGCACGCACTATGCAAAACATGCGCGCTCAGTCTTGTATGAATTCTGATTGAAATTGAACATTTATATATATAATCGCCTTTTCATATTTTAAGAAGAAGGGATTTGTAATTTTTAAATTAATTAAAAATTAATAAACCTTTGGAGGGGGGAGGGGGGACTCCTCTTGCCTCCAGAAAGAAAGGGATTTTAGGGGAAAATGGTAAAACTCGGAGCATTTTAAATCGTAATATATGTTACATGGAACATACTTTTGCTGTCTGGGCTTTCTCATCTTTTGCCCTCGCTATCCGGTCAGTTCTACTATTTTTGTAGAAAAAACGGCGGTCTCATCGGGACACTTATGTTTGTTTAGAACATGTCACGAGATATGACAATGACTATTTACTCGTTGCTTAAGCCCCCTTTACACTGGACGGCGTCCTTTCTGCGTCCCGTAGCATGGTCCTGTTTCAAAGTTAAAAAAAAAACACTTTATGTGCTGACAACTGAAAAATCATTGAGCATTTATTTTGCAACCAAAGCGATGCTATTGCCCCCTTTTTTACGACCACAGCGATGCCATTAATTTTCATTGTCGCACATAGGACGCAGAAGGGACGCCGCCCAGTGTAAAAGGGGTTTTACTACTACTCGACTTTTTACAAAGATAATACCTTTATAAACCTTATGTCTGCTTTTTCTGTCACTTGGCCCTGGCCACCCAGCACACTGCAAAGTAGGACAGTTTCAGTACTCTATTAGCTAAACACAAGTCAGATGAAAGTGATGTTCATGGTAAATTCTCACATTAATTTTCATATTTTTTCATATTTACTTTTCGTCATTTTCTTCTGCATTTTTTTTTTTTACATAGAAATATGGCCACTTGGCAATCTGCAGGCTAACTGGTTCGGATGATATCTGAAACGGCGTTTTAAACTTATTCAGATAGGCACGATGAATTAACAAACAATTTATGTTCAGTTCGGGCTGAATTAGAACATTACTTTTATTATTTTTGTCAGAGCACACCTGTGAGGCGAAAGGTGCTCTAACGCCTATTACAAGCGGATTTTATATTTGTTTCTGAGATTTTCGAGGTTGCTTTTATGGTATGGTGTTTCTACATAACAGCTGGAAAATGTTCTCCGGTGGCTAGGCTACTCACACTGTCCAACTTCATCTATATTGTTTTTGAAAAAAAAGACGAACAACTTCTTTGACACACATGATATAGACTTTTTGTCAGACGCTTGTAAGAGTATAGCGTTACTAGTGTTACTTTACTAGTCCTCATCCTCAAATTCTAAGACTACTGCATAACATCTAAAAAATGTTCACCGATTGGTAGGCTACTATTACTGCACAACTCCATCTATATTTTCATTTTGCAAAAAATAATAAAAAAAAAACTTCTTTGTCACATATGATCCAGGCCTTCAGACGATGCATAAAAGATTGAAGTGACGGTCATGCACAACTGAGCGTATAGGACCTGTAAAATGTGTTGTAGAAAGGTGGGTATTCAATAAACACTGTTATGTAAATGTAATATCGAATAAGTAGGTCCTTTGGCGGTCATCGGTCATCGTGAATGTTACCAGGTCAAAATATGTCAAGATACCCTTCCAGCCGCACCTAGCAGTGCGCAAAATCATAGCTATAAAAACTTATATCGGTTCTCAGTGATGGAAGTGCCCAAAAATGTATAACTAGTTTCAAAATATCTTAATGATGGAAATCATATTTGTCTTAAAATTTGACATAAACTTGAAACGCATTCATCTTTGTTGTTAGATAAGTTAAAAGATCTTAAAAGAGTCGAAAAATCTCACGACTGAACGGAAAGTCCCAATCAAAAATGTTTTGCCCATTTTACTCGAGCGGTGCAAATAATTTTTGGAGACGTTTTAGTCATCCAATGTTAATGTAAAATCAAGCGATGAAAAGGTTGGTCGAATACGGTACGAGTAGCTGCAAGCTGTCCAACACGAATTTATGCAACCAAAATTTATTCGGAGCACAAAAGTGTACTAACATTCAGAAATGAGCATAAATGTAGACTTGTTGCACACCTCACGACGAAATAAATTCTATCGATATGAGGCATGTCCAGGAAGAGAGCGCGCAATTTAATCATGGTTGCCGGTAGCCTTTACATATACTGACAGAATAAAAAATGAAAACATTACTGTCTGAGCATTTTAACATCTTTAGAATTGGTGAATTTCTAAAAGGTCGCGTTAAACAGAGCGTGCAAAAATGTGAAAAAGTAAAATGTGGTATGTATTATACACACATATTTGTTGCTTTTCTTATTACAACTTTACTTTAAAGCATCTTAACTGTTGTGGTTAAATACATCTTATTGCAACTTCTTATTAAATCCAGTTTAGACATAAAAATGCGAATGCGTAATTGTCAGTGACATTGCAAAAACAACCGATTTAATTCCATGCATGAACTCCGTCAAAACTGATCATTCGGGTTAGAAAAGTCGCATCTTCTATTTAGAAAGTGAATTATTATTCAACCTTCATTAATGGTATATTGAATGAAAAAGGTTGAGTGGGACTGTTTTATAAACTATAAATATAATATGCTCTTACCTGTGTTATGCAAATACTGGTATGGCCTGATGTTGTGCGCAGAGCGACGAGAAAGCGACTGCCTGAGGTTACCAAGCGGGCATACACCTTATAGGGTATGTTTAAATTATCTCCGTCTATCGATTACTATGAGATACGTACGTTTGACAGATATGATCATGTGCCTCCCTCTATATATAAAAGAAACGCACGGGTGAATTTCAGCCAGTAGAGAAACAGGGGAATCAGTTTCTGCCCCAGCAGAGCGCCACTCCTACTTTAATTTATCAGATACGATGCAAAAAGGCTGAGAAAGTGATTTAAACGTCAATATCTTATAGTTTTCTTGACAATTTCATAGTGATTTCTACTATCTAATTCCGATATTTTCAAAATAAAAAAAAAAGAAAAATTCGAAGACCACTTTTTCTTCACTTGCCGTTACTTTTAAGTGAACGATTGATTACGTGTTCTGTGAGTCAGCGGGACAGTACTTTATGCATATGACTTCTGATAAAAGTAGAGGTTATTTAAAATGAAAATAAATATTTTTATTTAAATACACCAATAGTACACAAATGGTCTCTTGCAATGGCCTTGCACCATTACTCCAACCTGTTGAATTTGCAGGTTGAAGCAAAGTAGCAGGAGGTTATCAAATTATTTAATATTTTTCCAACATTTATAAACACTAAATTGACTTAAAATGATAGGGAAAAATACGTCAAAACCCTTCACATTTTACAGCAATCCTTACGGTGTATGTGTGTATTTGGGTGAGTAGAGGGGTGGACCCATTTCTTGATATTCAGGAACTGTGAGTGCTGTTCCGTCAGAGGTGGAGAATTGCGCATCTGGGCGAACTGATCGAACTTCAGATAAAACTTTTTGTATTTCAGGTGACCGGATAAGCAGCCAGACTGCCTTAGAAATTTGTTTTCCACCTCATGTTTCTTAAATAATTTCAGTTATTTAGTCATAGAAGGACTGAACTGTCACCAAAGGTTAATGCTCAACTAACACTTGAAGAATATCAGATCACATATGTCAGCGATTTGAATTGTGCTCAGATTTGTGTTCAGTGATGAATGGTGCATAACGCTTCAACGTAGACCATCACACAAAAGGAATACAGGAAAGGCTAGAGAGCAGCTCGGGGCCTATACATGGGAACTATCAGCATAAGATAATTGGTGCGGCAACAAAAGCTAGTATTAAGGTGCGTCTGTGGTGCGGGAGAAAACGCACGATATAATATGCATCCCGAGTTGCTGAGATTACTGGAAAAGGACCTCTATTATCAGCAAGGTAGGGGCATTCCGATGATAGAAACGTGGCCAGTTAAATCTGAAACATGGTGTAATCAGCGCTAGACTTGTAACACGTCGACGCGAGGTGGCGGATATTGACCATACTTGCACATAATTTGCATCAAATGGAATATGCATGATGAAGATGGTGTTTACCTAATGTGGACGCAAGCGAAACGAAAAGAGTCAATTTCTCCGAGAGAAAAATGTATCTAGATGATCAACTCAACTCGGAATGTAAAAATAATTTAAAATATATAATAATAAATACATAAATAAACATCATTCGTGATTTTACTGTATATATGTATATTTTGTTTAAAGTTGGGGGGCAATATACGCTAGCTCTACCACAATTGACATCAATAATGCAAAAACATTCATCTTATTATCAAAGTATATATCATTTATGTAACTTTTATATAGGGTGATATTGCAATGTAACTACTTGCAGAAGAATGCCACAATAAATACCAATAAATAACAATTAGTTGTCGCTAATATTTGCCTCTCAAAGTATTTAAAGTTCATTAACTTCAACTACATGGAAATGTTTAATATGTATCAAAAATGCGGGTCATCTGTCTCGTCACGAGAATACATCTTAAATTAAAAAGGCAACTTCCTGATGTTTTAAACCTTAAAATAAAATATTTTCAATCTACTTTTTTCGTCGTACCAACCACTGCTATCTTGGCAAAATTGGATTTATTGTTTCAAATATGAATAACACTTCTTAAGTTGTACAGTGAAAAATTTTACGAAACGATACACTGTTGGCGGATATTGTTATCAGCTTGATTAGCCGCGACTGTTTTTTTTTCACACAGTTTTGATTATACATGTGTATGAGGGTGTGCGCACGTGAAAAGAAACCGTGCAGAAATAGTTATTCAATACCACTATCTTTGCTGTTTCCGTGTTTTCATGCCATTTAAACTGAGGCCCGTGATACATTATGTTCAAAACAACCATCAAACGACTCTTAACGGCTTTCAAAAATCGCTGTTTCATCGTGAAAACATAATTAAGACGGGGGTAACATTTCAACTTACTTAAAGCCCCACATACCGATTAATATATAAAATGCCTGGGTACTTAAATAGAAACTTATACTCCGCAACGGGACTAGGAGCAATAGTTTTTAGTGGCAGATTTAGGGGGTGTCAGGGGGGTCCTACATGTAACACCCCCTTCGATTTCTGAAAAAAATCACACCAATGGTCCCCTCTTGAAATTAGAATTTTGACTGGCTGAATCATAGTTCTATACCGTACCAAATGGCACCATTTGTTACAATTGAGATAAAAAATCAATTGTTGGAAATGCAATCATTACTTTCAAATGCTCGACAGCATAAAGAACTCCAAAATGGCCGTCAATAAGATACTAGTGATCAAATACTTGACCAAAATATGACATTCTCTATTGAAAAAGAAACTGGTGTTTATTTCATCTAAAAATCACTTATAAAAACCTAAGAATGGCCAACAATGACCTATACAAACATATTCTTACAACAATATTTTAAGTTGAATTTATAAACTATCAAAATATACAATCTGGCTGCAAAAATGAGTCTCTCCATCACTTGGAAAAAATAGGGGGCAAGACATTTTCTCTAAGGTAATTGTAAATATCTTTGTGGGATTCTTTTAGAGTAGTCAACAAAACTTCCACAAATACTGCACCTAGAACCATTGAACATAATAAAAGAATAATAGGAAAATTACTTGATTCAACTTGGGAGTACTTGATATGCAAGCAGTTATGCAACCGTCAGTGAAGTTGGTGATCAAGTTACCAACTATATCTCCTGTTTGCAAGGGAAAACACCATTGCAGGAACTTGTGCTGATATAAAAGTCAAATATCTTAGCATTGTATGATTTATTTTTTATACAAACGTGTGTGGAATGTAAAAATTATACATCGACATTACAACTAATTATGAATATTTAAATACAGCTGTCAACATGACTTGGTCTAAATAGTATCAAATGTCTCTTAAAAAGCATTCTATTGCTTCTACCATTTAAAGGCAAAATCATTATATTTTTACCATGTGCAAAATGAACAATAATTATTAAATAAGGAACAACTGACATGAATAAAAACTTCTCCCAAGAAACTGAATGCTGTCTTCTAGAGATTTGCAAAAGGTGCTAAAGTGTGACAAACTGCAACAGTTTTAAGTGATAAATTTGATAGATTTTGAAAAAGTGGCTAGTGATAATGTCTGAAAGGCACATTGCTATTGAACTATTTCCTTAACTCACATGACGTGAAGATAAGAATTCCAAAATATTTTTCTTTCTTCTTTTCGGTGTGTTCAAGTTTTGCCTAATAGTGATGGTTGGCTATTGCTAAAAATGGTTGTGTAAGCCAGAAAATTGGTTAATTGCATTTAAACAACAAGACCCCTCAAAATGTCTCTTAAAATACAGATAAATCATATCAAACAATATAATGTTTGTCACTTTAACAGGAATCTCAAATCTTTGTTGTTAATATCACAAGTTAATGACTTAGCTCATTTTAAACTTTCTCTAAATGCAACCAGACCATACTAAAACCTAATATGGAAAAAAAATAGTTGCTTAGAAAAAAAAAAAAGCTGCTTAGTAAACAAACTTCAGAATTACTTCTTGGTCTGGTGGCAAACGTAACTTGTTCAAATTAAAAAGATGTTGTGAGTGCAGTAGTAGAAGTCAAACATGTTGTCAGCAGATCTCATATTTTTTTAATCTTTGCAGATTTTTTTCACAGAGTGCCTAAGTTTTTCAGGACTAAAGCTGCTAGAATGCCTCCTCCAAACATGGCTGGCACAGCCGCAAATGACAGTAAATTAAGCAGGCCAACACCAGAAAGCCCATGTCCACTGAAAAATAAAGAAATAAATCTTAAATATAAGAAATTACAATCATTAAAATTAAAACGATGGCCCCTATATAAAGATATGCACATACTATTCTGATAACAATAGCCATGCAGGAAGAATATATTACCTCTGACATTTTTAAGCTAGTGCTGCACAAGATAATGACCTAGGTATGAAATATTTCTATGGGCTGTAATTAGATGGTAACATATCTGAATGCACCATCAAAATCTTGATTTGCCATAGTCAGTGCCAGAGACTTTTAAGCTACTAGTCCATCTAGCAATTGGGGGTCTAAAAGTGGGCTTGTATTAAGTATAATAGTAACTTTTTTTACAGGTCTGGTGCCCCTTTTAAGTGTGTAATTGCCTAGTGGGACAGACTGCTGTGTTACCCACCTGGTGCAGCCTCCAGCCAGCCTAGCACCAAACAACATCAGGGCACCACCTGTCAATGCAGACAGTGGTGCCACCCCCCTAGCTGTGCCTAGGGATCCGGAGGCAGAGGCAGACAGGTAACCACCCAGCACAGCACCACTGACGTAGAATACCTGGAAGAGAGAATAATATTATTTCAGTTGAATTACTTGTTTGTGATCTAATTCCTGGGATGTAATCTGATTTTAAGATGTAGGAATACCAGAGTCCTGACCGAAGGTGTCATGTTTAATGCTAATGTCTTAACCTCTTTTCATATTCTAAAAGAAAGGTGTACATTCTAGCTTGCTTATAAAAATACGAACATTTATAGGTACACTATTGGTATGGGCCTAAAACCAAACATATGACAAGGTAAAACTAAATGAAAAATCAAAGCCTTCAGATTATAATTATAATGTTGTTTATTTTGTAAATCTGGAAGTAAACAGGAGGTAAACAAAATGTTTTTAACTCCTGCATATTCACTTCACACAGGTGGTATGTAACACAATGCACAGCATTTTGATTTAAAGTAAAAAAGAGTTTTGTACTGTGGTGACAGATGATATGTTTCTGTCTGACCCCAAGGTCAGCTGATTATCTAAAGCCATCAACCAAATGATATAAACAGCATTTTTCAAATCATCTTATATCGTCAGACCTGATTTTTATTTCACTTAATAAAAACAACAACAACAACAACTGATTTGTTAAATTATTGGACCAGTAAATTGTACCCCAAAAATTGAAAACTGTGTTGTCCTGCTGTTATGGATTAAGTCACTTACATTGTATATGTGTACCCCACCTGCATACCAAACTGGGCATGTCTGCATGCCCCTCAGCTATGTTACACTCGACCTACAGAATAAAAAAAAAAACGGGTGACCCACCTGCCACCAGTTTCCCATTCCTTTCTTGAATTTTCTCAAATAGGATGACAAATTCTCCAGGGGTCTGTTCACCAGTAACTGACTGACTATTGTACAGTAGCTGCTGCTTCCCCCTAGAGTGTCGCTGACTGCGAGAAGGATGGGCACCTGTAGCAGACCTATGATAGCCCCTGCTAAGGCTGGGGGCCAAGCTCTAGCACTCAGCCAGGATGTTCCTACTGCACTGTCAACCTACAAGAACAGTTGTTAAGGCTGCACACCTCATGAAGATTCTTATCAAATATTTTACTACCAAGTACCCATGCTTTACAGGTCTTTTTTTTTTTTTTTTTTTTTTTTTTGAGCAAAGTGCATTCAAAAATTTGCAAAGTAATAAAAAAAGTTTAAGTGTATGAACTAGTACACTGGTTTTACACAAATTCCTTCAAATCTTCTCCTCAGACCAATCTAATGAAAAGTCTAACACTACAGTAAATTTGAAAAAAAAAAATCCACTAAAAATAGACATGTCAACATTATAAAGCATCAAAGAAGTGAAAACATTTTAAGCATCATGCATTTTTCTTCACAATTTTATTCTACAAAAACAGGAGATGAAAACCTACTGCTAACTCAGTCTGCCATGGCTTCCACAGTTCCAGTCCTGCCACCGCCATTCCCAACATGGCCGCCATAGGAAGTGCAAGAACAAAGTATGGGCTGTGTGTGGCACCATCAAGGCTAAAACATTGTCAGGATATCATTTGTATCAAGGCAATTCAAATTTTCAACAAGAAAAACACTCAGAGAGCACAGACCTCTGTCAAGGCAGCTAAACTTAATTATTATTATCAATTAATAAATTGTTGGATTGATTACAATATGATCAATTCAAAGTTGATAAGACCATTTCTGACCCATCCTCAAAATATTTATCAAAATGTCTGTAGCTCTTTGAGTTAGGCTGTTCACTTACAAACCGACAAAGACAAAAATTAACATAAGCTGCTTGGGAGAAATAAAATGTAAAATGCAATATGTTTTTACATATAAATGAGGCAAGGATAACAATTAAGCTCATGTGGATGTGTCTTACCAGAATATAAGGTATTCCTGTGCTTTAATTTCTATACATTCTAATTCTTATTTGTTAAAACAAATTATATCAATTTAGGTGAAATATGTTGATTAGATATACCTTAATACTGTCATAGGCTTGCTGGGTTTGGTAAGTCTCACCACAGCTGGCTCTACAAATCCATACAGTGCAGCACCCAATAAAGCTCCAGAGAAGGTGTATACTAAAATGATGAAATTATTAACATAATGGCTGGACAGCTTATATTTCCCAAAAGAGCAAGAAAAAAATGAGTGCAGAATATATTGTATCTATTTACTCAATTTCATTTAACACATATCTCTCCACCTCCAAAATCATTGCAATTCACTTCAAGTGTCAAATGTGATCTTATCATTACCAGGATCTAAACTCATTAAAAAAAAACAACTCAAATCAAATTAACTGGTTCAAAAGGAATTCAAATGACTTACTTGCATTTTCAGCAAGAGCACCAACCTGAACTAACACCATTCCTGGACACTACAAAAACCAACAGATAATACATTGTGAAATAACCTATAACAGCACTGAGCAACCTTGTAAAGTGAATTGAAAATATTATGTATTATCCAGGGGCGGATCCAGAGTTATTTTCTGACAGTCTTCCAATTTATCTTTGTTGATCCATCCTCCATTTTTGACCATCTTCCGACAGAAAAAATTAGTTACCCGTCAATGTAAACTTGACAAATCTGACCGTCTTCCGGAAGACCCAGAAGACGCCCTAAATCCGCCCCTGTTATCTACGCAGCCATTGCAAAGGTCCTCTTAGACCTACGGATAAACCTTATAGATAAATCATTGTAATGTTTAGAAAATTGCAACTTATAAAGCATCATCCACAAAAATAAAAATGAATAATAATTTTTTTAAAAGGTAGTAAAGCTCCCTAATTTTTATACATTATACATGCATTCCTATATAGCTATTCTAATGGCTGCAGCAATAATGCAGGGGTAGTGAGTGATAAAAAATCTAATAAATAGTAAAATGCAAATGTGTATAATATTATACACTAACACATATATGCATGACACTTACTGCTCCAGACAAGGTCATGCCTACTCCTAAAAGCCCTGCCCCAAGAGTTACTGTAAGTAGTCCTTTGTTGTTAAGACAGGCTACGTATTCTATCTGTGCCTTCTGAAATTTTCTTTGGGTCACTGGCAACATGGACAACACAGACATAGAGAACATACCTGGAAGCATATTTGGTTTGCCTTTTATAATGGAGATTTGCATTCACAGAAACTAAAACTAGTACTAGTGTCTATATCTAAATCTACAAGTGCTATAGTATGTAGAGTACACATGCAACATGTCAATGTCTATCACTTATTAAGAATTCTGTGCCCTACATGACATGCAAGATGAAGTAGAACTTCATGGGGATAATGGCACATTGGTTTTCAAAACCCCTAAGACAACACATTCTAAAGGGTCAGCAGACAGTTAGTACCAGGCAATTGTGGTTGGTGTGACTGGTGTGATAGGTGTGATCTGTCCCTTACCTGAGGAAACAGCTGAGAGGAACATTTTCAGCATTATATATTTTTCAAACACCATTTGGGAACGGATAACTTCGGGTTCAAAGACTGAAAACAAAAATAGCAAACATCTTCACACTTTTGCCTGGCATAAATTTCAATTTCTGCTCAAACAGATAGCATATTTATATGAATAATGTTATCCATAAATGCAATTAGCCACCAAATGAACACAATGCTGTTGATGTTAAGGATTTATTGCTTGCATTTGGGCACATTCATTTGACAAAACTACCCCAAAATGTGAAAGTAAATGATCACAGTCTATATGGTTCAAATAAATCAAAAATATAACCAAAGCTAATTTCACATTACAGCAGCAATACCAGTAACATCACCTTTATAACAGTGTGTCCCTTTCCAAAATAAATTGGAATCAGATAATTACAATCAATCGTTACTATAAAAGCAAACATTGGGTTTTAACCATGGAAAAGAATCATGAAAATTGAAGTAAGACACATGCAACTGGATATGTTTGTAACTAAAGCACATGCATATTCATCTCCAGCCAAGGCAGAACACTGCTACAGAAAAGACAACAACACAATCATACATCTGAGCTGACCCTTCTTACTACACAGTCCACAGGTATGGTATGCCAATATACAGTGCATGCATCTGTGAAGGTTCCATATATGAAGGTTCCATTTTTTTTTTTTAGTTTTTTGATGATATAATGTTATAAAGCAATACCATGTAGAGAACCACATGAGATTCCACTAAATTATGTTTGACTTTTTTTACAAATCAAAATTTGAGGTACAGATTATTTAACATCCCTATTTTATATATATATATTATATTTATATATATATTACATGAATATGACCTATACATTCTACTAGTGCCAGACACCTCTATAATCAGAGACATTAACCTGGGGTTCAATTAACCAATACAGCATGCTAGCAATCTAAATCCTGTTCCTTACATTCATATTGAACCAAAAACACCAATTAACCTTGGAATTCCAAAGTTGCTGCCTCGTGAGCACTCTTGAGCACTGCAGATCATGTGCATTCACTGTTGGGATTTATTTATCTATTCATAATGATAATAATAATATTATTATTATCATGTATTTGCAGAAATGGCAAATTTTTCATTGTTACTCCTGATTTTTAAATAGTTAAAAAATAAAAACTCTCTGAACAGTTAAAAGCATGTTATGTGCCACATAAGTTCTCAAACAAAGTTATTAGACACCAACAACAATCCATTAAAGCCCCCTTTACACTGGACGACATCCATTTTGTGTCTCATAGCAAGACCCCATTTGACACTTAAAAAAAAATCTACATGCTGACAACTGGCAAATCATTGAGCATTCATTCTGCAACCAAAATGATGCTTGCACCTCCTTCTTATGACCACAGTGATGCCAGTTTCATGGTCCCACAAAGGATGCAGAAAGGGGGTTTATGCAGTAGAATTCTGGTTGTTCATTTGCTTAAAATTTTAATAGCCAGTGGCACTTGCAGGGGCGGATACAGAGCTATTTAACTGACAAGTCTTCCGAATTATCTTTGTTGATCCATCCTTCATTTTTGACCATCTTCCATCAGAGAAAATTAAATACCCCTCAGTGTAAACTTGAAAATCTGACTGACTTCCGGAAGACCCAGAAGACGGCCAAAATCTGCCCCTGACTTGCATCTTGTGTTTACATGTTTAAAAAACAACTGTGGTAGAAAGTAAACCACACAGATTCCTAAATTAACTGCCATGTGCATTTATTTCAAACATGAATAGAAAGGAACTACAAATATCAATAAAACTAAGGTAGGAATTTAACCACAGTTCAAAATACCACTGTGAATGGGATTTACTACCCTCCAGAAGAGTAGGGCAAATGCCAGTTCCAACAAGCCTTTGTTTTCTTTAATTCTATCAATTTTTCTGTATTTAAACTGCCTAAAACTCATGAAATGTGATTCTCTAAAATAAATAAAGCATAACAGGTTGTATGACACGACTATTGCTGGTAGCAAAATATTTTGGTAGAGTTGGTAAGATGGGTTTAAATCCTTTTCATCTTATAAGTAATAAAACTACTTCCTTGTTCAAATCACAAGAAAGATAGGTCACAACACACAAAGCCCCCCTTCCTCATACACAAATCTGATTATGAAAACACACAAAAAACACATACCTCTTCCTTTTTCCATAGCAATTCCAAATACAACTCCAGCAGATGTACAAACTCCAATGACTTTCAGTTTGTGCAACAAGGAATCTCCCTCCCCAAGTTCTGCACCAGGATGAGTTTGTTCAGTTTCATCATGTATAGGACGCCTTCTCACTGTAGCCATTGCACCTCTAACAGCCAAGATGAAAGGAGTATTCTGGGGTAAGAAATATTCACAGGTATTGTTCTGTAAAAGAAGAAATGAAGAAAGAATTAAACATGGTCTATTGAATGCACCCTGCGCTTCAAAAATATGTTGAAACAAACCTCTACACTAAAGCATACCCTTGCCGTTTCAAGTAACTTGAACAATATTTAGCTTGAAGGAACCAAAAAGAACTTTAATTGCAAATGATATACAGTGGGAGACACAAGGTGTGGTTATTTATAGCCTGGAGAGTTTGTAACACAGGGTGTTATGAGGTCTCATCTGGGATAAGTACGTACCTAGCATACAAAGCCAAAAGTGAATGGAAATTAGATGGAAAAAAGTGAGTCAATGTCAATCAATCATTAATTGGGTTTTAAATAAAATATGAAATGTTTTAAACTTTTAATTCATCCACAGATTTTATGGGGAATTAGTCAATAAAGTTTTCTATTGAGATTGCCAGTAGGTACAATTTAGTAAACAACCAATGAACCTGTCCAAACTGGATATCTAAGCATAAGTACTGACAGATACAAACAAGTGACTTCAAGGACAACCTAGAAACTAGAAAATTACCACCTTCATCCTGTTATACTGTACCAAACAGCATCCATTTATGGAAATAGTTTATTGAATTCATCTTGGCATTTTGGTACTTTTAATTTAGACAATTATGCATGTCCCTATATTTGGAGTACAAAAGGCACACATTGCACATACTATGCATACTTTAAATGATTAATGTTACTTGAATATCAAGCCTTAGATGTAATAAGACAGAATTTCTTGGGGATTTCTTCCATTTCCACAATCTTATTTGCTATCGAATATTATTAGTTCACCAGTGTACGATAGGTAGATACACTTGGAGGAAATTACTGATGTTAAGGAATTGTGCAATAGACCATGTCTCCTCGATGATAGTATATGATTTTTTTTAGATGGTCACAAGAATGTACTAAAAGAATTGCTGAAATCATTGAATGTGCATATGCTACTAGGTGTCACATTAAAATATTAAAAATTGGATTTAAATCCACTAATTAAATGGATCTAGGATTTCGCTAAAAAGGGGGGGGGGGGGGGAAACACCGCCAAGAAATGTAAAACAGAAGAAGAGGTTAATTTTATCATAATATTTGGGGCACAAGATACAAAATTACTTTGTTAAGTTTTTCTTAGCTTTTTATCCTTTTTTAAGAGGAAAGGAAGAGGAAAAGATGGAAGAAAATAAGAGAGAAGGGTATTTTTGAAGTTTCGAAATGGGGGGGGAAGCATGTGCTCAATATGCCCCCTCCCTTTTCTTATCAGCCACTGCATACACCTGAAATTAAAGCCTTTTAAGGGATGTACCTAAATTGCAGTGCTATACACTTGAAAAAATGAGTCCAGTGGCAAGTAAACATGGGAAACGGTCATTTCAAACAAAATAAGGTGATATAAAAACAAAATATATAACTAAGTAATTGCTTTTATGTCACCCTATTTTGTTGAGAATGACCCTTTCCTTTGAGCAAAAAGGTTCATTAGCTTGGTTGTTGGATAAATATGAAAATTCTCAGACACAAGCCTAAAATTTTCCGTACCGTTAGCTTACGGCCAACCTGGTCGAAGGCCTTCATCAGACTGACGTGAGTAGTTGTTCACACTCACTGACCGCTAGGTGGTATAGCCTTTCCTTTGTTTAATTGCAACTGGACTCGTTTTTTCCAGTGTATTGCCAGGCCTACCCAACTACCAGACGCGGCACCTACAGATCCTGAATAAACCGGTATATCAGACCACACTACCCGTTTTCAAGGTGTGTGTCAGATCGCATCACGTAGTATCAGCCACTTCACCCATTTTGCCTGGCCTGCGATGTGATAGCGATGATCCTAAGCAGGGTTGGCAAGTAGTGCATCTCATCTAGATTCATGCGCTGCTGCAATTTTCCCTGTTTATGCTAAAAATCTGACAATACCGCAATTTTTTAACATAAAATTTAGGTTCGAACATAGCCAATGATGTTTTGTAAATAAGAACGTCCAAACTTATATATTAATTTAGAAAAGTAGACCTAATTTTGATAGTGGAAGCATATTCTGTCGGGGGTTAAATATTTTCATGGCTAGCGGGATGGACGAGATTGAGATAGTCGTCTGTCGCCATGTTGTTGTATTTATGCAACTCCTACTTGACGAAAACGGGCGCCATACCCGGATGACAGGAAGGCCTACAAAATTTGTGATGGGGTATGATACTCCGTAATGCGATCTGACACACACCATGAAAATGGGTTGTGTGGTCTGATATACCGGTTTATTCAGGATCCGTAGGTGCCGCGTCTGGTAGTTGGGTAGGCCTGATTGCGCAATTTAGGCACACTGTACAAGCAAGGGGCTGGCAATTGAAGCTTGCACAGGGTATGTCTGTGAAAGGCACATTAACACAGCCATTTACCAATTAGCTCAATTTTCTAGAAACAATGGTGACACATAAACCATATTTATCATATATTTTTGCAAATAATAAGATTGAACTACACTGTGCTTGCTTATTGCAGGAAATGTATACATGTACAACTTAAAGTACATGTACATAAAGAAGGCTTTTATTTGATGCAAAATAAATAATATTCAAACCAGGTAAAAATATCTTGAACAAGACTGACCAAAGGATAACATACATGGGATCTCTCTCCACTAAAGTCATATACTCAACTGTACACCATAAGCCACGAGTGATTAATTATTTATTCATTAATTGTGTCAGTCCAAACAAAGTGCCAATAATGGTTTATCCAACTGAAGAACTAGTAAAATGCAGCAAGCACCCAACAAATGAAATTATATCAATTTTCATAAGTATCCAAACTAATGGTGTTTCACATGGCAGTTTCAGTCAGGCAATTCTGTCGCCAGCAGTCACTTGAAATGTGAGAAGTACATTGTGTTCCCATCATTATCCACTTTGGGCAAAATTGTAAAAAAAAGTCACAATATTATTGTGCCAATCCACACCTTGCATTTGACTTTAGGAGACGTTGCACTTAGTTGCTTAATTTGATGACTGTCCTCTTTCATTTTGAGAGAAAACCCCCGAGTCCACAAACTAATAGTACGCATACGCAGTTTTATTTTACCAATACAACCTGAAACAGCCGACCTGAAACTGTAGTAAGAATTGAAAATAAAAGTCAAAATTCAGACAATGCCAGGGCAACTCCGAAGATAACGCCTTTTTCAGAATTATATAAAGTATTCCGGGATATGGCATGACCTTGCCTGACACGTTCACTGCTGTCGAGTCTCCACGGCTCCAGACCCCATCACAAGGGCTAAATGAATGAAAGAGCATAATAAAGATTAGTACGTAAACTTGTTACCCCCAGGGTTACCTCCTAGGTTGGGAGTAAAAATTCCATACCCAGCAATATCGTTGTTTGAAAAAATGTTCCCTGAATAAGTGTTACTCGCTCTTGCGTCAAACCAACATAAACATCAAACCTCTGACGTCTCTGCCCAAAATAAACATGGTTTGAAGGTAACCTTGACCTTGAGTCAATGACAAATTTCACGAGCATGCGCATTGGGCTAAGCATCAGCACGTTCTGGGTCAAACTAAATGTTGGAATGCCAAAAGATTCAACCGATAGCTGGAAACTATTCATTTAAAATAAATATTTGCTGCTTACATCAAGGATAAAAAATATGATACTACTATAATACTTGTGATCTGTATATTAACGTTTCTGCTATAGAACTTATGAGTTGATCTAATGTGGTTATGATGGAAAATTATTTAATAAAGTTATATGATATCTCATTTTTCTCTACAGCGCAAAATACTTAAAGTTTTACACGAAATATTAAACTGTTAAACTTTAAATCGATTTGTGGCTGAATNGGGGGGGGGGGGGGGTGGGGGGGAATAGCATGTGCTCAATATGCCCCCTCCCTTTCCTTATCAGCCACTGCATACACCTGAAATTAAAGCCTTTTAAGGGATGTACCTAAATTGCACAATCTACTGCAATACAGTGTTATACACTTGAAAAAACGAGTCCAGTGGCAAGTAAACATGGGAAATGGTCACTTCAAACAAAATAAGGTGATATAAAAACAAAATATTAATTGCTTTTATGTCACCCTATTTTGTTGAGAATGACCCTTTCCTTTGTTTAATTGCAACTGGAATAATTTTTTCCAGTGTATTGCCGAATTTAGGCACACTGCACAAGCAAGAAGCTTGCACAGGGTATGTCTGTAATAGGCACATTAACACTGCCATTTAGCGCAATTTTCTAGAAACAATGGTGACACATAAACCATATTTACCATATATTTTTGCAAACAATAAAATTGAACTACACTGGGCTTGCTTCTTGCAGGAAGATATATACAATGTACATGTACAACTTAAAGTCCATAAAGAAGGCTTTTATTTGATGCAAAATAAATAATATTCAAACCAGGTAAAAATATCTTGAACAAGACTGACCAAAAGATAACATACATGGGATCTCTCTCCACCAAAGTCCTATATATACACCATAAGCTAGAAATGAGTGATTAATTATTAATTCATTAATTGCGTCAGTCCAAACACAGTGCCAATAATGGATCATCCAGCTGAAGAACTAGTAAAATGCAGCAAGCACCCAACAAATGAAATTATATCAATTTTCATAAGTATCCAAAGTAATGGTGTTTCATAAGGCAGTTCCAGTCAGACAATTCTGTCGCCAGCAGTCACTTGAAATGTGAGAAGTACATTGTGTTCCCATCATTATCCACTTTGGGCAAAATTGTAAAAAAAGTCAAAATATTATTGTGCCAATCCACACCTTGCATTTGACTTTAGGAGACGTTGCACTTAGTTGCTTAATTTGATGACTGTCCTCTTTCATTTTGAGAGAAAACCCCCGAGTCCACAATCTAATAGTACGCATACGCAGTTTTATTTTACCAATACAACCTGAAACAGCCGACCTGAAACTGTAGTAAGAATTGAAACTAAAAGTCAAAATTCAGACAATGCCAGGACAACTCCGAAGATAACGCCTTTTTCAGAATTATATAAAGTATTCCGGGATATGGCATGACCTTGCCTGACACGTTCACTGCTGTCGAGTCTCCACGGCTCCAGACCCCATCACAAGGGCTAAATGAATGAAAGAGCATAATAAAGATTAGTACGTAAACTTGTTACCCCCAGGGTTACCTCCTAGCTTGGGTGTAAAAATTCCATACCCAGCAATATCGTTGTTTGAAAAAATGTTCCCTGAATAAGTGTTACTCGCTCTTGCGTCAAACCAACATAAACATCAAACCTCTGACGTCTCTGCCAAAAATAAACATGGTTTGAAGGTAACCTTGACCTTGAGTCAATGACAAATTTTACGAGCATGCGCATTGGGCTAAGCATCAGCACGTTCTGGGTCAAACTAAATGTTGGAATGCCAAAACATTCAACCGATAGCTGGAAACTATTCATTTAAAATAAATATTTGCTGCTTACATCAAGGATAAAAAATATGATACTACTATAATACTTGTGATCTGTATATTAACGTTTCTGCTATAGAACTTATGAGTTGATCTAATGTGGTTATGATGGAAAATTATTTAATAAAGTTATATGATATCTCATTTTTCTCTACAGCGCAAAATACTTAAAGTTTTACACGAAATATTAAACTGTTAAACTTTAAATCGATTTGTGGCTGAATGTATCTGAATATAGATAATTCTAATAGCACAAGCATTCTTTGGAAACCGAAATCTTCGTTTTCTTTTAATCATTTGGAGGTGCGTCCAAAATCAACGCATTTGATTCGTCTAGAACATTCAATGCTTACGTCATGCGGGTCAAGGACGTCACAGCTGGGTCGGTATATATTTATAGCTAAGAGAAATTATGTTGTGGCACCATTCGGCGCTAAGTCTCTTAATGAAAGTGCTTGGAAATCTCTTTGCAGTTCATTCACAAACGGATTATTATGCAGTCAAGAAGGCATAGCACCGCTTATTAAGTTCAAGTGAAGGTGAGTTAACGCCTCTATTTTGTTTTGGACTTGGTGTTGGGAATTCCTCTCTCGATCATGTCTTGATCTCCTGTCGACTCAAGCCAGCGAAATTCGCCATTGTGATAGTGGATATGCCGGTTACACGTGCCGGATGTAAAATATTTCAATTAAAGTTTAAGTAAGTGGAATTGGTACTGCGGGTTTGATCAGTTTTTGTTGTCAGTGTTGTTAACTGTAGTTGTCAGTAATATCAACTGACGAAGAAAAAAGCCAATCGAAATGTACATAACGGTACATTAATTGTATATTCATATATGTACATTTCGCAGTGAGCATGTCACTTATGATCTGATCTGGATATGGTGATATATATATAGTCTAGGTAACCCATATAAATTGTATTAAATTAATACAAATTGAAAGGTGTAATTACATCATAGCTTAGACACAGTATGCGAGCTTGTAACACTGCATGCTTGTTAATTGATGAAATATTATTAAGCTAATGTCTTTTTGCCAAAAGTAAATGTCCCACTGGAATTCAAATCAATCAGGAGGCTGCCTGGATATCCACTATACTTTACATTGAGCATTTGTAAGACAAATTCAGTACTCTTGTTGGTTGAATGGTTTAACTTTTTATTATACTTTAAAAAGAGGAATATTGTAACTGGTTAAACTGCAGAGTATGTTTGATGTAGAATTTAAATAGGTGTAATAAAATCATTAACACTTCTGCTACAGCTGTGACACTTTGTGATTGTAATTTATGTTGCAAAAAGATCTCATTAAAACAGTTCAAATTTAACTGAAATACATATTGATCACATTGAAATTCACTCTAAATCCCTTTGCAACCTTAATGCTTTTGAGGCATATTTATAAATGCTATTTAAAATTGTTGTTGAAATTGTTGAATTGAAGATTGAATTTGCAGTATTTGATGTCATGGTAACATTATGTTATTTTGATAAAAACTTAAGTGTGCCAAGTACATGTATCCTGTCAGTGTATTCATGTATAGAGTTATTGAAGTGGTACTTGTGAACATGTACCTCTACTTAGTTGCTTTCATTTAGAAGAAAGTAGGCCTATTAGTCTTTTTCACTTTCCATTGTCCAAGAGATCGCTTCTGAAAAGATCAATTTTAAATAAAAATCTTATCATCAGTTGACAAAATTGATATTCAAAGCAGATATATATCAGAGGAACCACTGAGTTAACCTCCTAAGTTATAGTCCTCCTTTTCTGCAGTCTTCACATGAGCACCCCTATATGATGCTGTAAGTGATGGTGTAACTTATAAGATTTATAATGAATACTTAATGAAGTAAACTTCGTTATATTTACAGTCTTAGTGATTTGAGTTTATTTCTATGTTTGGCACTACCAAAGGGAAGAAGGTTAGATTGCTAGTCCAAAGCATGTATTTTTATTATTTGCTCTATAACTCTATGTTATGAATTGCCAAAATTAAAAGAAATTTCTCAAGTGCTGAAGTATTTTGAATGTTGATCATGGTTTTCAGTATGTTTTTTTTTTAAGTGTTTAATCCATGTGTATGTGAGAGCTGCATCTTGATATTATACAAAAAACCACTTAGCAAACATATATCTGAATGAATAGGAATTAGGTATTAATTTAGAACTCAGACAGTATAATTCCAACCAATTGACTTGATAAAAATGCATACAAGATGCATGATGTCATGTCCTCCATATTGGGTGTTAAGTTAAAGGAAGTTGACTATGAATTCATATGGCGGTAGCATGCACGTGTAAACTGGCACCCAGGGATGGATTGCTGTCTGGCCTTGATTGGGAAATCAATTGGACTGCAACAAAACTGTCATTTATTTGATTTATGTTTTATTGCTATGGTGATGGCAGCCTACAACCAAGTCATGGTTTTTGATATCCTAAGTATTAGATATTTGTGGATATGCTACGGAATCAGAAAAAAAAAAAAGAATAATTTAATGAACTGCAAGTATATGAAGAGGTGCATGTACACTTATTCTCAGTTGTTTACTGTTTTAAAGTACCTTGGCCTTATGAGTTTTGAGCTTCTGACTGCTACTGTCAGAACAGATAAACTTGGGGCATAGTTATGTACAGGCCACTGAATTGGGACATGCCTAATTTTGTATGCAGGTCAGGGTTGCTTGTTTCTATTCAGACTTATAAAAAAGGTGAAGGATTTATAGGCTTGGTTTGGGATTTAATATGAGGATGATAACACTATTCTCTGTTTTTTATGTACCATTATTAGTCAGCATGCCATGGCACTGCATCTTAGATACTCTGAATTGCATAGGATTGTCTAAAAAAATATATATATTTCCACCTTGTTTTCTTTTTATTAAACTCACTGAGATATGTAGGAACAGTTATTATATTATATAACGTAAATAAATAATTCACAGTGGATGAAAGATTGTGTAGGAGTGGCATAATAAATGTGTGTGCATATAAAACAAATGGAAAGCTGCCCTGCTGCCTGGTATATCTTTTGCAAGGTTTACAGAAACAAGCGATATACAGAATACATAAAATTAAAGATATGATATAGAGAATTTATTCATTGGTTGTAATGACCATGGTCATGGTGATTAGATGAAGATTATGATGATGCAATGTTATTTCATATCCAGCCAAGATTTGTAGAGGTGTGATTGACAGATGTGTGCGTGTGACCATGTAACATTGGTAACAAAGATTTTAGCTACTGGAACTGACTGAATTTTTTTTTTGTGAAACTTCGACCTGGTTCACCTTAGTAGACATTGCATACGGTGTCAGAGAGGATGCAGTACAACAATGGTTCTGTAAATGCTTTGCCAGTCTTGTAACCAGAGACTTTAAAATTTTTTGAGGTAAACCTTTCTACTCTTAGGCAGCATTCAGAACAGTGTACTAACTAGTCCGAGGGTCAAATATGGTTAACACGCTCGAATACTTTTCCAAGGGGAATCTATTCAGTGTCTTTTAGCAGATTAGATGGCAAGCTTTTTAGTGGGTCGCTATATTTGACCCTCAGACTAATTAGTCCACTGTTCTGCATGTGGACTTTGTTGACCCAAGCGGAGAAATGGCATATATATACACACACACACACACATGCACATACATGTGTGCATGTGCGCGCATAACCTGAATTGGATTTTGAACCCCTGGAGCCTCCCTTGAACTCCCTGTAGGGTTGCTTAGACTTGATGGAGATAATGTGTAGGTAGCCTTGACCAGTACCTCATGTACTTAAGCTGTGAAAAATGGGAATGTTTGGAGATGGGTGCATTTCCTAAAGTATTAACCTGACTGTAATGTCTATGATGGAAGTTTGAGGATTTCAGGAGCCTGGTTAACTTTTAGATGCAGGGCTTGTGCACATTTATCATAACTTCAATGGATAGGAAGCGCTAATTGATGAATTATATTTATGGTAAACCTTAATTACTTGTAAAGTGAAGGTTCCAAGATTCTGCAAAATAAGAAAAGGTTAGGGTACAAATGTACTCTTGTCTTAAAAAGCAATAACAAGAAGAAGTTCTCATGAATAAATACAAAAATACAACTCTCAATAATTAATTGATTGGGATGATATTGCGAAATACTCGGCTGGGTAACATACATTTGAGCATTGATGCATATGTGACATTTTTTTTTACTTCCTGTACTTGTTTAAGAATAAATAAATTGTCCTAGCAATGTTTTTTACTTCTTAACTTTCCTGCTAGTTATTACCACTTATACTTAAATATATACATAGATATATCCGATTTGTAAACTTCACCTGATTGTCATCATGGATCTGTTACATGTCTATATTTTATGTGTACAGTATACACTGATCAATTAGTGTATACTGTACACAGATATAAGCATTGTTTTTCTGCTACTTAAAGTAATCTGTAGGAATGTTGGTTTCACACAAAACACATAAGGAAGTTCAATTTAAGATATTTTGAGTTTAATAAAAGTTTTTTTAAAAGTAAGACATGAATCTGAGTCATCTGTACAGGTAGTTTTAACAGTAGGGATGGACTGCAAGAGAAAACTGTTTTGGGAAATGTGCAAACCTTCATGTATTAAAAAAAACCTTGGAAATAAAAGTGTTGTTTTCCTGTAAGATAAACACATACACTAATTTGGAATCTTTAAAAAAGTAGATTATGGTAAATGTCGTGTTATTTTCAGGATTTAAATCCCTGTTGCGGATGGAAGACAGATTTTAAGTGTGCATTTGAACTTTATTAAGTTGATGAAACAAGTTGGTTGTGGTGCTTCCTTAACATCCAGAAACCTCAGCTGTCTCTCAGTATCCAACATACCTTAATTAGTTTTGGCTAAGCAGCTGGAAGCATTGCCTAATTAACTAGAAGATGAACCATTCCACAGATTTTATTGATGTGCAAAATAGATCATTTTAGAATAAAATATTTTAGGAAAAGAAAGCACTTTTTCTGTTGGCTTGGTAGTTCTTTTCATGGTACTGAGGTGTGCTCTTAATTCAGCATTAATTGAACTGAAAAAAAAAAGGAATGTTTGCTCCCCCCCCCCCCAAAAAAAAAAAATAAATAAAAATAATTTTAAACTACTCTTTTCATAATATGAAATTCTTTTGTCGTAGCCATGAACATTTAGTTTTGTTATGTATATAAGGATTTGTTTTCTTTGAAGTGAAAAAAAAAATGCTCTCCTCCTTGTGCACTGATATAATCATCTTTTTCAGAATATGTAATAAGAAACAATGTTGTCTGGTCTCTAGTGACTTAAAAAGCTAATTAGGATGCAGAGGGTTGCAGAATTTCATATATATTATCTAATTGCTCCAGATGTGGAAACTGCCTGTCCGATTGGTCATGACTGCTTGAAATGCCAGAGGACCAGCAAGATTTTTGATATCACTGGTTCTTTTCATATCACTCATATGTAACATTACTGAAAATAACCCCTTACAATAAATTGGGGTACTTTGTATCTATAGCCATGTAAAACCAAACCAGCGAGATTATATTGATCAGTTCATTTGATATACATTCTTCATGATTTGATTTTGTTTTCAGAGATTTGAAAAGTTCATTTACGGAGAACTATCAAAAAATATAGAGGATGAGTGCTGACTCCACCACAGTGAAACTGGAGCCTATGTCTAATGGCATGGTGTCCATTGCAGACTATTCTTCTAATGGAATGGTGAATGGAGCTGTATTCTCTAGTGATCAAAGTGATACCTCCTCGCCTGATGATCGCACCATAGTGGTCTCCTCTCCTAGCCAGCTGGCGCTAGCGTCAAGCACAATGTCTCCAGATCAAGAAAATGGGGATGTAAAGAAGACATGTTTAGTTTGTGGAGATGTTGCATCGGGGTATCATTATGGTGTAGCATCATGTGAAGCATGTAAAGCATTTTTTAAGCGGACCATTCAAGGTAGGCCATCTTTTGTAATTTTTTTTTTTTAGCTTGTTTTTAGAATTTTTCTGTCAAATTTATTTTTACACTGTCATACCCATAAAATTAATGCTTGTTTTGATGTGGAATTGTATAGCTTTAGCAGTTGTTGAAATTCTTGTGAGTCTCCTTTGTAAGATGATAAACGTCTTAAAGTGGGTGATGAAAAATAATGAAATCTTTAGCAGTTGTTGAAATTCCTGTCAATCCCTTTTGTCAAATGTAAAACTTTTTAAAGTGGATCATATAAAATGATGAATGATCTTTAATACATAATATAATGAGTTGCTTTGGGGATGAGATTTGTGGTGTCACTATGCGTGGAAGGTTTGAAGCTGAACTTCATGAGAAATTTGCCTGGGGATGGAAATGTTCACATGCAAATATGGGATCAACCATCTTCTCTGCTTCCAATTATTGAAAAGAAGGATGATTTATGACGTTGTTCTTTATATTAGATTGGCTTTGTAGATAATATATTGGATCAATCATGTATGTGACAGTATACTTCCTAAAAACGTAAAACAGATTTACCTGTTATATGTACTGTAGTTGTGATTTTACATGTGAAAGTCTGAATTTAAACTTTTGTATAATTTTTTATATAATTATATCCACATTATAAATTGTTTTAATTATTTTTTTTATTAAAATTATATCTGTGACAGTCTAGGCAATATTATTTAGATTATTTTTCACCATCCTCTGAAAAATGTTATACATATAAATATAGATCAGATAGCTAGCCATATGGTTCAAAATTCTGGTACACACCTGCTGGTAAGCAAGTAAATTATCTAAGTAGTTTTCTTCTGGGGCTCATAGTATTTTCTAATTACCAGATCAAATGTAAAATAGTTCCAGAATAGACCAAGAGCTACTTCTGTTGAAATTAACATGGCACTTTGGAAAAAATATTGAGAATGTTTAGGATTTTTTTTTTTTTTTTTGGGGGGGGGGTTTGGTTTAGTTAGGACTTGCTTCTTACTGTTTTTTAGAGGGGACAATTTTATCCAACACCTAATGGGTTATATTTTTCTTTTTTTCTTGTTTTTGGGAAACGTGAGAAAATCTGTCCTGGTCAATATATTGCACATTTGACGTCAAATTATATACAAATGTAATTTTACGTCTGTTGTGAAATTGGCTATGACAATAATGCAGCATCATATTACATACTGATTGTGCACATGGAGGGCAGTAGGTGGCAAAAATAACGGCAAGGGATTGATCTTCTGTCGTAAACAGACTTGACAGTAACAAAGTCAGTGACGCCAGACGATGGTTGAGGTTGTCTTTGAATATGCAGTTCCTGACCTCTTTGTGGCAAAGAAACTCACAGTTACAAAAGTCAGGAGAAAAACATTTGAGATACAATTAAATATCTGTATATATGCCACAATAATTATTTGCCGTGCCCCCAAGTTAACTCTTGTGGTAGGGAAATTTTGTATTGTTAAGTCACGCCTCTCGACAGCTCTTATAATAGACAAACATTACTGGCTATATTGGCCCCAGTGACCTCATTGATTTGCATACTCCCTTTTTATTGCATTTGAATGCAAGAACCCTGCAACCGGAGTATCACGGGACAGATTTTGATTTCACCACTCATTTATTTGCAAATTTCTTGTTTACATGGCCTTACTCACAGTATATTTTGATGAAAATTGCTTAGATGGCTTTCATACTTATTTTATGTATGAATTCAATAAAATGAGAGAGCTTGTATGTGAGGCTATATTGATGGTATTTAACCATTTACTCAGGCCTAGACAAAAAGAAAATTGGGTACGTTTTAAATAATTCACCAAGTATTTGGATCTGTGGTCTATTCTAATTCATCATCAATTAAAAAAACACCCTTGAGTCTATTACTACCTATACATTTATTTGGCAAAACTCAATAGTCAATTATTGACTGAAGGTTATCTGTCAGTTAATTAGCAGAGGAGCATATTCTTCCTAAAAATCTGTTTTGAACTGATATCAGCATTTACTGTTACCAAAAAAATATTTTTTACGTTCACTGCCACCTGAATGTTCATGAGAAATGTGATCTATGCTGGAAATCCCATCCTCTACGGATCATTACCCAGGTTTGTTTGTGATCAAGTAGTTGTTAAAATGATATCACGCTGGGCAGCAGCAGCATGAAATGCCACCCAGTCAAGCAGACTGTGGTATCATCTTCTGGGATTTTTATGTTGACATTCACTTTGGCATTTTCAAAAAAAAAAAAAAAAAAAAAAAAAAACACAAATTTGGTTCCTAATTTTGGCTCATTCAGAACAGAAGATCCAAGGATCAACTGATCCACAGATCAAATATGGCGGACCCTACATGAAAGAAGAGCCTACTAATCCACTGATGGTTTCCACACCTCCACACGCGCCATTAAACAGATCAAATCAAGGCTCCAAGGTTTAATTGCTAGACCCCTGCAAGGACAGCACTGTGGATGTAGGGAGACCATCAACAGATTAGTCGGCCTTCTTTCATGTAGGGTCCACAATATTTTATCCGTGGATCAGATGAAAAGAAGGGTGGACAGACAGACAGACAGACAGACAGATAAATATATTAATTTTGCTCCATGATAAACATGATTTTGGTTAAATCATAAATATACTGTGTTCACATATGTCAATTATTTAAAGTTCCTTGCACTTGCCATTAATTTCCTGCTCCAAATTAACAGCAGCCATAGACAGTAACTGTTCAATTTATGAATCCTTATAGTTCCCTGGTTGGTTATTTATACAGACACAGAAGACTGCTTTTAACGAGTTAGATTGAGGGTGTTATAAGGGACTGAATTAAGTCTGTCCTGGCTGTGTGAGACAATTAACTGACTGAGTCCTGTTGACCCAAGCTGACCTATGACTGTCTATATGAACAGGGATGTTGCATAAGGTGCCTGGATGTGAGGGGGCATATCAGGTGAATGCCAGTGCTCTGGCACCATTTACATAGCTTATCAACACCAGAACAAATCTGAACGAGAGAGAAAAAAAAGAAAAGGCAAAATGCGAGTTAAAAATATATGTTATGCAACACTGAATGTTTAGAAGGAGTAGGCAAAAAATTGATCCATCATTTAATGAAAGTAAAGAAGCAAATAATGATAGTGCAGCTAGAATCAATAACATAGTAATTGCAAATATTGCTTTGCAATACTTAGTAAATAATGCAAAACATGGTATAAACCTCCTAATTTCCAACAATTTACACACAAAAAATGGCCTGGTGTATTGACTTTCAGTGCCCTTTGGGACTGCAGGTAGTATTTTCCAGGTATTGCATAAGCTCAGCCCCAGTGGTAAGACCAACATTTGAGGATAGATTTTAGTAGCCTGTTTGTTTTATGTAAACATTGAAGGCCGGATACCTAGCAACTGATTATCACTAAAACACTATAAGACATAAATATGCATTTATGGTGAAGAGATGATGCTATTTAATTTCTTGCCACTGATATCACACTTGACCACAGGCTGCTATTATGTAATCAAGGCCATTTCTGCACTGGGAATATTTTTGTAAATCATTACTTGGACTAAATAGAATTACTTCTCTAACTGTTGTGCATAAATTTTTTACAAGTAAGTATGAGGAATTTATCATGTAATCTTGCCTGTGAAATGTCTTGTAGAATGAGTATATATAGCACTGAATACCTGAGTGGTTTGATGTGAGTTAATTCCATGTCATTGCTCAAGGTATGTGCTGGTATTATTAAACCTGGTCATTAAAAGAATAAAAAAATCCTGGTGCAAGAAAACACACCTGTTCTTACACTTCATGCTAAAGATAATCAAGCAGAAAAAATTGTTATGTCATGTTATGAAAGTTAAATTAAGTGGTAAATATCCTGAATAAGAAAGAGGTCATTTAAAAGAACCTGTTTTGTGTTTGTTGCATTAGTTTTGCTGCATTGTATATGTATGAATTGGAATTATATTTATGTTTGTGGCCTGGCCTAACCAGCTGTGAGAAAATTTGTATTATAAAATTTGATTCATATTTCAAATGTGGCAAGAAGGTGAAGTAGTTTGATGTAGAAATGTACACTGTTAAGTACAACAGTGTTATTCATCCCTGAATTGACCCTGTTGCATATCTTTGCTTATAAAAAAGGTGCTTTACATAGCACTTGATATCTAAACATGGGAAAGGGACAGTTAAGATCTTTGCAGTAGTTCCAAGATTGATTGCAAGGTCTTGTTATTATTTTCCAGGTAACATTGAGTACACCTGCCCAGCCAATGCCAACTGTGAAATCAACAAACGCAGGAGGAAAGCGTGCCAGGCGTGTCGTTTCAAAAAATGCCTGCTGATGGGCATGCTAAAAGAAGGTAAGACATTGCCCATAGCCTTCACCCTAAAGCAAAGAACAAAACATCCAGTTTGTTTTGATCACAATTGTCCCAGGGCTGAGGCTCATAGACAACATGCTTTTTGGACCAAGATAAATACTATTTTTTGCAGAAGAAAATAATGAAAAAAATATGATTAAATTTCATTGAAATCAATAATTAAATAAAAATAGATCTTGATCATTAAATCACAACCCAGAGAACTACCATTGGTCAGATAATAAGCAACTTTGAAGATGATCATGATGAAAGAGCCAGAGGATTTCTCTTGGCACCTGTATTGTGCAGTAATTAGATCAGCTTCCTGCAGACAAGCTGCAGGCTCTGTGCAGGTTCAGGATATCCTAATGAACAATATGGCTGGCCTGTGCAGATATCATTGGTAGTGACTGGACCATATACCTGGCCTCAGAACCATATACCTGGCCTCAGTTTAACAAGAACTTTTTAGCCAATATCTAAACATGCTTTAATTTGGCAAGAAAAATGCAAAACATTTTGCCTGTTGGTCTCAAATTTCTTGTTGATTTACTTCATTTTTTAATTTAGCTATAATAACCCAACTGTTTTTGTAGAAGAAATTCTATTTTAGAAGGAACCCAGTATACCATNTTTTAGAAGGAACCCAGTTTACCACTGAAGCATATTACAGACCTTCAGAGTTCTTATGCCTGTTTGAAGAAGCAGCCAACCTATTTTCTGTATTTTCATGTCCATTTTAGGGACTCATCAGCTTGTGTAATTCCAAACAGGATATTGATCACATTTGTTTTCATTTTCAGTTGCAAATTTTTGGAAAATTAGCTCAGCTTATCAAACGTGTATAACATACATTTTTAAAAAATCTAGATATTGTACAAATGGGTGTCCTCTCCACTTCAATCCATCTACTCTCTTTTCTCTCTCTTTGTAAGCAGAGGAGCTTAGAAAAGATATTTCTTACTTTTTATGAACGTTTTATTGGGGACACATTGGACTAAATGAAAAGTAAGATCTGTAAACTATATGTAGATTTTCTTCTTATAAATATTTTAAGAATCGAGGGAAATAATAAGTATGCTACTTAAGGAAATTGACACACCAGCTGAATTTTTTCTAGATATTATATCCTAGGAATTGTTATCAACTTTTCTAATATAGGACTGTTGCTTACTGGTCTCTTAGTGTCTTGGGAATTGTAACTCATTCAGGCTAGGATTCTGTAATTCCATTACAGCCTTGTGGGAAGCTCAAAGTTCCTTAGCACTTCTCCATTATGAATGTGAGGAGGTGGGTAGAGGAGATCTTCTGCCACGTCTCCTCTGCTTCAATGTCTGCCATCCTGTTGATGCAACAAAGGATCTCATCAGTTCATCTTATAAAAGATGAAATGCATTTCCTAGATTAGGGTATTTCTATTTGAAAATCTTTTGGCTAAGTTTTGCCTCAGTTTTGAGGCTAAGGGTGGGTGTCTGGGTCACCTTAACCTAAACAAGTCTATAAAAATCATTGCACGTTATAAACAGGCATTGCGCCTCGTGGTGTCTGTGGCTTTAAAGTAGAAATATATTACCTCACTGAACACAATAGCATGTCACAAAACGGAACTCTTTAGAAGCATTGTATAGGACTGAATAAGATAATACTTCAAACAGTCTTAAGTCAGACAAAAGTCAAGTCAGTTGTAATGCTGAAATGTGATAATATTCCTTGTCTACAATTGTCTACTTCTGCAGAGTTTTTACTAACATATAAAAAATGTACCCACCAGAATAAAGTAACCAAAAATTACAAATTGGGGTTCTTTCCTTTAAAAGGGGATCTAATTTTTACTTCCTTAGTAGACCCATAACTTGAAAGATGTCATAAAACCTGGGCCCCATAACTCAAAAGCATCGCGTATTGCGAATAGCGATATCACATAGAGGCTGCAATGTATTATATGGGGCGAGTATGAGTTATGGAATCAAGACGCTTGCGCTCTGTCACAATGCGCAATGCTTTCGAGTTATGGGGCCCTGGTAGATCAAATTTTTATAGCAGAATCCAAGCCTTTTCTGGTCTATAGGATGGTTCTCCCCCCCCCCCCCCCCCCCCCACTTAA